AAAAGAAGAGAGATGAGGGAGAAGGTCTTTGATCTTTTCTTTGATTTTTGGGGTTTAATGGAAAAACAAATGGAAAATTGCCGTTCTATGGCATCTTTGGATTAAATTGGCAAGTAATTGGGTTTAAATAATTCCTAATGTTTTAAATAATACCCAGTGCCTAAAATATATATCGAGATCTTTTTAACTAATTAGAGATTTTAATCTTTCTTTGTAAATTCCTTCAAAGGGGTGCACTGTTTACGAGTTTTGCAAAGAAAATGATGTCAGTAAAATTGGTAAATTACGTCGTAAGAGTAAAATTTGGAATTTTTGTCTAAATGTCCAAAACCTGGTTTGATTGATTTCAGTTCTGCGTTTCGGCTTAACCAATGAAAAAGAAAAGTGCAAATCCCAATAAATATTTTGAGGCAAAAGGCTAATAATAAAAATTATACATTCAGCTTCCATTAACTTATATGAGTATTATTAATGTGAAGTGAAACCTTGCTGTAAGACACAACTAGATGCTAGTTGTTTGGTTTGCAGCCACTACGAAACTGATTTATTTGTTTCATTTAAAAAATAAATTGGCCGACCTTTAAATATATATTATTGGTTTCAATTGTTAGCGGTTTTGTGCTCACCCAACGTAGGATCCCGCAGGCCCCAATGCCATAATGTCACTGATGAGATCATGTTTAAATTTTTTTACATGTAACTCGACATTGTTCAGTGTTCCCTAGCAGTAATTACTTAATTAAAAAATTTTGAAAAAGAAGGGCAGGTAGATGTAGAGAGGTGCCACAATTCGCATCGGACAAGTAGAAACCTTCCAGCCTCTATCATTTCCTTAACTTTAATTTGGTAGAAATAGGAAGTTCCTTGTAACAATTTGTTTTCTGATTAATTTTATTTTAATAATCTCTTTAGTCAGCAATTGGCTGAGATAACTTAATGAATTTTCTCTAATTCCTAATTCTCATTTGTTCTGTTTCCGGTTCAGCTTGCCGGTGGTTAATTTTATTGAAGATTGACAATGTGCATGTTCAAATGCTGATGGGCCGAACCTTTTTACATGAATGACATCACAATGCGAAATGAAGCAGTGCAGATTTTTTTTGAGAAACATAAACTGGGTTAATGAACCTATGGATCGTTAATGTATTTGAACAATTTAATCGTACAGCTTACTGTCATGGCTTTGCAGAAAGGTCAGTATTTTGACCAATTTGGCTTTGTTAGAAAATAAGCACAGTCATTTCTTGCATCCGTTCATAAGAAACAAGAGGGGAGAGAGAGAAGGGGAGGGGAGGATTTTGAAAAGCTACAGTCGTGTGCAATAGGAAGTGTATGCCCGTTGTTTGCTTTTCAAAAGACGTCCATTTCGTTTTACGATCTGATAACCTTTCAACAATGAGATCTCTTTTTTTTTGCCACGTCAGCTTCCCAGTTCCCTTATATCTCTCTAACAAGTTTAACTTGAATTTCCTCGCTACGTTTGAGGTAGACAGTATCCACAACGGACTTTCAATTCAGATTTTGAACTCCTGCAGTTAAAAGAACTCTTACCTACAATTTTGATAATTGATATCCACTTAACCAGAACAAAAAAAAAAAAAAAAAAAAAAAGAAACTTTTAATTCAGTAAGATGAATCAACCGAACCTTGGCAAGGGAAAACCAAATTGGCAGCTAAGAAAGGGGTGTGTGCCAAGACAGGTAGAAGAATCAGGCTGCCGGATTTTTGGCAGCATCCAGATTTCACTAGCAGAGTTCAATGATGATTCGCCTTCATGTATAATGCATTCATCACGTTATTTTTTAATTATTTGATGTGTTCTGGGCCACTGTAAACCTTCCACAGAAACTCTAAAAAAAAAAAAAAAAAAAAAAAAAACTTTTAATTCAGTAGATGAATCAACCAACCTTGGCAAGGGAAAACCAATTGGCAGCTAAGAAGGTGTGTGCCAAGACAGGTAGAAGAATCAGGCTGCCGGATTTTTGCAGCACAAGAATTTCACTAGCAGAGTTTCAATGATGATTCGCCTTCATGTATATGCATTTCATCACGTTATTTTTTTTATTATTTTGATGTGTTCTGGGCAAACACTGTAAACCTTCCACAGAAACTCTAATCAAAATGACAATTGACTAAGCAACCCAAATGAAATCATCTCATTGCCATGTCACGGTAAACAAATCTTCTGTCTTTCAAGGTCAGCACAGCTTTCATAAGCATGCATCTAAGAGAATGAAGATCATAAAACTCCAACTAGCATCGCATGAAGTGGGAAAATGGTCAGTTGCAAGAAAAAGAACACAAACAAATGCTCTAAACCAAAATCAAATCATATATAGCGATGGGTAGACACTCATTGTCTTACCTGCCTATTAAGAAATATCGTAATTATCGAACTATTTCATACGGCTGTCTCTGTCCATTGGACTAAGAATGTCAAATTGGAAACGCCATGTGTGAATATCCTATTGCATAATCCCAAATTAATTGGACCTACATGGATCTTTCTATTCCACCAAATTCAAGGCTAATCTTCCAAAAGATGTGGGGATAAATTCATACAAGTACATCATAACATAACAAAATTTTCAAAACATAAATAGTCCAAAGCTTTAAAACAAACAGAAGAAAGTTTCTGGCATCTGGTGAACACACAGGAGTTCGTAAGTGAGGCTGCAACTACCCAAACACTACGCAAATGCAAATCTGGAATAGCCAAAAACATAGGCATCGGATACAAAAAAAGGCAATTAACACAATCAAAACCTTTATATCCTATCTCTCACAAGTCACAACGCATGACAACCAACTCTCAAGCCATCAAATAGCATGAAGAAATTATATTCTAGCTCCATCAAGTTCCCAAATTGTATAAGAATTCATAGCTGGTTGCACCTTCCTAAGTTATAATTTTTTATTATTCAGGACCCAATTTAGTCGAAATTGCCATAAGAATTTCTTGATCTTTTCAGTATCCGCATGTTTTATTACACAAATATTGCAGTTTCACCCCCAGCCTACACATGCAGCTGAGGTGGTTTGCTTATCTATCAAACTATCTAGCAAATCTCAGTAGCAAAAAACCTAATAATGGTAGAGCCCCATTCCTTGAAAAGAAAAGTTCTAAATTCTAATCAGGCAACATGTATAGATAATTAACAGTTGCAATGTTCTTTGAATCATATGGAGATTGCAAAAAAACTGATTGATCTTATGTCTTTCAAACAAATTCAGATAATTACCTAATACGAAAGTTTTTATTTTTTCTACTAAAACCCCAAATCAAATAAATCCAAATACGTGACTATGAAAATCTGAAGGAGTTTTGATCAAATTGCAACATTCACTAAAACAATAAATAACAATTCAATAGGCGGAAAATAAGTATGAGAATTCCACTGCAAAGTTAATTCCATTAAAAATTAAACAAATTACAACTCCAATTCCAATTTGTATTCGCTATATCATAAATTGAGTATGATTGATCCGTAATTCCTTCCAGAAAGTAAAAACGAAAGGTGAAGGACCTGATGATAGTTGCGAAGCTAATCGTCGTCATTCTTACTTTTGGGCTTGCGATACTTCTCTTCGATGATTTTGGCCATGAAGAGGCCAGTGGTGGCGAGCTTCCTGACGTTAGGAACATCGTAGTTTTGAGCAATGTAAACTCCACAGACCGTTCCTGCTATGAAGGAGAAACAGCTCTTAATTATCCCCATCGACTATGCTACTCTATTGCTATAATTCCTGCCGCAATCTATTACGGACTTAAAAGCTCCCGCCGCCTCTAGTCGGAAAATTAGGCAGTCTGGAGGTTTTAGGGCGAGCGTGTTTTGGATTCTGGAAGGATCCGTCACATGAGATGCCCGGGTCCATGTCCCACCCATGGACCGGGGCAGTAGAAAGCTGCCACGTAAAAATTGAAAACACAATTGTCAGCTACGTGTAAATTTTTCATTAATGAATGCACCACGGTTACACAGTACAGTTGATGACCTCATTAATCATTAAAATTTCATATATAATATCGATTTTGGAGAGCATTATTAATGGAACGGTGTTTTAATTTATCATCTTTTAATTAAAATAAGAAAACTAATATTTAATATAGAAGAAACAATTTTGTAACGAATGTGATTCCAAGCCAGCTAGGCAAGGAAAGGACAAAAACAATGGCATTAAGTTTGGATTAGTGCTACACAAAAACAAAATTATAAATTATAAAACTATAAGAGCATATTTGTGTTATAAAGATGTCCCATTTTGAATAAATTTACAAATTTTATCTTCAAATGAGTGTTTATATATTTCATCTTCATATATTTATGAACACTGATCTAATAAATAATCTATAGTCATTTATTGTAAAATTATAAAGGTGTGAATTTAAATTAAAAATAACTTTATTTACACCATTCATTGGCCTCACCCATGAACCGAATCAATTAAAAATAATTTTTTTTTTGCTTAAATGATGCATTTATGACATTTTACTGGGAAAAAACATAGATAAAATAATAATTTTTTAAAAAACATATTTTATGATCCAATACATAAGAGATATGCAAGTCTTATCCTAAAATTAATGCAAATGTAATTTACAAAATTGAACTTTTCAGTAATTACTTTTATTTTTGTTTATCGGACATTAGAGGCAAATGATTCATGAAGCCTACTCCAATTAGTTTGACTAAAAAGGTATTTGATTAGCTGATTGATAGCTAGTTTGATAATACTAAACTTGGATTTTATTAACCTCATAAGATAATTATAGTAAATTATTTTTTAATTTAAAATAATATTTTTTAAGCTAGTATCACAACTAAATAAATCGGACACGATACTTCGTTGCTATTATTGTAGATCAAATATAAGAAATAAATATTAGGATTTGACTAATCAAATTTCAATCAACACAAATCAATGGAAAGCATAGAAGACCAAATGTGAAACAAATTGTAATTAAAATTATATAACAAACTTCGATATCTATGAATTTTTCACTTATAATAAATATAAAAACTTTCATTCACTAGTTTAGCGATGGAATATATTGCACTGTCAAACTTCAAAAAAAGAATACAAATATCTATAATATAAAGAAAGACCGTAAAAAAACAAACTATACTTAAAACTCATATATTTGGAATTTATTAAAAAAGATGTAAAAAATAAAGAAATCAAGAGAATAGAGGAAGCAGAAACTCATTATTAATTAAATATTTTGGCATATGACTATCAAATAAAATAATTTAAGTAACTAATACTGATATTTTAAATATTAGATAAAGTTAAGTTTTACGATGTTAAAATTTATAAAATCCATAAAGTCAACATTGTTTAAGGTATAGATGAGATAAGATTGGTGTATATGCTATTTGTCTGAATTAATATAATATAATTTCACATATTATTTTTGTAAGAAATGACAGAGACAATGACATAAATATAAAAATTATTTTTTATTTTATTTATTTGTGCAATGGCAAATGTATAATATAATAATGACAGTATTTTTATTTTAGGACCTGGCTTTCGCTTTCCCGCAAAAAAAGACCACCCTAATCCATCTCTCCCTCTCTTTCTCTCTCTAAAAATTTGGTCTTTTCAGTTTCTCTCTCTACGAAAAAGTGCGATGCAGAATATGACTGCCACCGACGCCGTGCTAGTTGGTTGATGACCTCCTTCTCCTTCTTCTTCTCAGATCGCAGCATCAGGTTCTTCATTTATTGCAAAGCGAATTTGTTGATTGTCGTTATTACCATTTTGTATTTGATTTAACACGTTATCTACTGATTGAGAAATGTAAATCTATAAATAATATTTTTATGCTTCCATTTACCTGATAATTTTCATTGTTGCTTGCTTGATTGTTCCGAATCATTTTGAATTCAAATCTAGGGTCTATCTTTTATCTTCGTTTTTTGTATTATTTTGGAATTGTTTATGTGTTTGCAATTGATTGAACTACGAAATTAATTGGAATTGAATAATTGCGGTTAATTGAAATTTTCTTTTTAAGCATTTGAGACTCTATTTCTATGGGTTACTTGAAATAGCCTTCAATTGAGTCGGGTAATTACATGTTTAAATTGCAATTCTCTTATTCTTAAGAAATTTATATGTATTGCATGTTTATTTTGTTCTTTTTCTTTACCCTCATCTGAAAGTAATCATTTTCTGTGTCGGATCATGATGGGTCTATTAGATGACTATTTAGTCCTTAATATACGAGCGTGCGCGTGTTTTCTGCATATACTTATTTGTTCAAATATGTTGGTTTTTGACAGTTTAAGCTCTGCACTTTGAGGCCAATGAATGATAATTGCTGGAAAAAGCTATCTAATGTAGTTGGTATTGAAAATCTGGGAATTGGTTATTGAAGAGACTTTTCCTATTGCCAATGGGTGTGGGCTATTTAGCAATTTCAGGAGTTTCCACAGTTTTGAGCTTTGTGGGTCTACAATGTTGGACAGAGTTGTCATTAGATAAACTAAAATCTGATGGCCTAATTAGTGAGAAATTTATTAGCCCAGAGAATGGCAACCACACTCTTCAGTTGTTGCTGGGCTCCTATGCCACTGTTGCACTGCTGGCAAATTTTGTCTTCAATGCATTCATTCTACTAAATCTATGCCTCAAGGTAAATTTGTTTTGGGTTTGAAGTATTAGAAGTTTACAGTTATTTTTTATTGGTTATAAACACATTGAGTGCATTGTTGGTGTCATTGCTTAAGACAGATGCAATTGTGCGAAAGACCCAAAACGAGGCCTTATCCAAACATTACAGAATATTCAGTTGAAACCTTGATCTGTCCTGTGTTTTATCCTAATCTAGAGGAATGTTTCCATTTTTTTTTTTTTTTACTGTGTGTATAACTGTAAATAGACCTAATTCAGATGCTCTAATCTTAATCAGGTTTTACACTTTATTCAGATGCTCTAATCTTAAACAGGTTTTAGACCTAATTCAGATGCTCGAATCTTAAATTGTTTTCCATATTTGACCTTATGAGCTGTAAAATAAAAGTATATACAACCATTTGCTTTTGCCTTAATATGTTGTAAAAGAACTTTTTTTCTCCTTTCTGATATTAATTGGGATATCTAATGCTTTTCCTTTTTCTAAGTGAACCAAACATGCCTTTAGTGTCTTCTCAAATTACAAAAATGTATATTAAGAATCTATACACGTAAGAATTTTACACTTGAGTTTAGCTCTATATCTAATCCTTTTCTTCCCCCGTGGTTTTGGTCATCATACATGCATTTTCTTTTTATGTATTATGATTACTTTGATGGTTATGGTTATTGTATTCAATATGCAGACTATTTTCTTTGTGGAATTATATCCTTCTGAAACTCGAAAACTAATGGAACGGCTTATTAATTATGTTATTTACAAGGTAAAAATTTCTTATTGAGCTGTTTGGTGGTACATATTTGATTTTCTTTCATATTAACATCGATCTGCTAGTTTATTTTATTTAATTGCACCGAGTCTGTAAATATTCTTCTTCTTGTGGCAACAATCGGGTTTGTTGAATAAGGAAAAAGAATCTCTGAGAAGCTCATTTAAGAGGACCAAGATCTTCCCTTTTAAGTATCGTTTTGGTCCTTTTCAAATTCTCGCAAATTCATGATCACTAGACATAGGATTACTTCTGTTCCCTTATTTTCCCCATTGTTCTGTAAACTATTCGACGGGTATTGGTTATCAGGGTTGTCAGATTGTATGTCTGAAAAGTTACATATCTATTGGAAAATTGTAACTTTGATTTGTTGGTAGCATTTATGGTTAAGCAATCCTATATTTCTGTTGATGACTGTTGGAACAGGGGACATTCCTACCGTTGGTTATTCCGGCAACAATATTTCAAGCAGGTCTGTGGTCAATCTGGTTGACTGTTCTCTGTTCTTTAAAGGTATGGAGTTTTATGATAATCATGCTATTTTAAATTGACTTTAGGCATCGTAAACTTGCTGGTTTACCTTGAATGAGTCGTATTGTATCTGTACAGATGTTTCAAGCTTTGGCTAGAGATCGACTCGAACGTCTGAATGCATCTCCTTCTGCAATGCCATGGACTTATTTTCGTGTGTATTCAGTACTATTGTTGGTACTCTCTGTTGACATCTTCTGGTAGTCTCTAGTGTCCTAATCTTTTCTTAACAAGAGTGATTTAGGAACTGCATTGATGTCCGTTTGTTTCTGTAATAGACAATTAAATGAGAAACAATGAAACTTGTTGTCCAAAATGTGTTATGAGTGTTGGTATTTCCTTAAGTAGAAAAACAACATTTGACTTTGACACGCACTGGAACAGTAATGTGTGCTCTTCAGTTAGAATGTAAATGTTCATTCAGAAGTTGCAACTTAATGTTTTTGCCTTTTTCATTAGAGAGTGCTACTTCACAATGACAAAGGACTCACGTACTTGCAAGTAGGATAGAAATATTCTTTTTCCCCCCCATTTTAAATTTTTAATGTTTTAATTGATCTCAAATACTTGGCTTCATTTTTGCATGAGTTCAAATAGGATTAGAACTGCTTCTTGGTAAGGATCTTTTTGTGTTTGCAGGATAAGGTTTTGTTTGGTGTTATGCAGATCATTGGATTCATCCATGTTTCTGTTATTGTTCTTTGAGCCTTTAAGTATTGCATTTGAGACTATGCAGGTAACATATTGGAATCACTTCTTGGTTGACTTAATTGTAGAATGAATCTGTTTCTTGATTTTGGCTCTATTGGTTGGTACAAGTAATTTTGAACAGCCAATTTTACTGTAGGCAATGTTGGTACATGGCTTTCAGTTACTTGACATTTGGCTTCACCATTCTGCTGGAAACAGCGCAAGTTGCCAAAGGTTCAAATTTTTTGATTCAATAGCAGCAGGTATTTCCTGAAATCTCGTTTTAATGTGTGAAAGTGACTATCATGGATGCTGTTTGTGGTAGTTGGTGGCAGCTCTCACACAGAGTATGCCCAAAGCATAAATTGCAGGTGTATACAATGCAAAGTAAAGTGTGTATTTTAGAAGTGAAATTCAAATTATTTGCTAGAGAAACATTTAGACCGTGCAATATGAAGTTAGTAGAGAGAGAGAGAGAGAGGGGCAGAGGGGCTGGGAGTATACATGCAATTTATGCACCCAAAAGTGACCTTTCTTGGTCTTCAATGTGTTTGAGATCCTGTCTATTACGATAATTGGAGAACATGCATAACATTGTGGATGCATTAAGAATGCCCTTCTATCAGTAATCTACTTGTCAACAATTAAGTTGTAACAACTAACAATTGTTGATTAAGAATTAAATATCCTCTGTCTATACATGTTCTTGAAAAATGATAAAAGGCTTTTTAACACCTAGTGGTTAAGCTGAAAGCTTGTTGTATTATTATCTTGAATTCTTGATTGTCCTTTGAAAAAAAGGCACTTAATGTATTTTGCTTTAGGAACCTATTTGTTACTGCAGTCGTGTGGGCCAAATGCAAGTAAACATGCATTTGGTCCTATTTTAGATTTGGGACTAATGCGAAGATCTGTATTTTGTGATGCAACACATTGTGGTGTGCAAGAATACGCTTGGTCCTAATGGTTGCTAGGATGATTTTAACAGTGTTGGTTGGTTGTCCTATTCTATTTGTAGCCAATTTATTCAATTTTTCAAGCTTGTAGTGGATTTAATTGTGGTAATAACTTATAATTACGGTGTGCAACGTAGGTTCATTGTCTGAGTGGAAAGGCATTCTTATCCGGAATTTAGGGTTTTCCCTTGACATGGCAACTTTATTGATGGCACTTGGTCATTACATGCATATTTGGTGGCTTCATGGCGTGGCATTTCATCTGGTGGATGCAGTCCTTTTCTTGAATATTCGTGTAATTACCTTATCTGCTGATTACAAAACAAAGCATTAGTATACCATGACTGGTTTAGGATTCAAATCTCACACTCCAATTTCATGTCCTGGCTACTCATTGGCTCTGTTGTTTTGAGCAGGCCTTGCTTAGTGCTATTATAAAGCGTGTAAGAGGATATGTGAAACTAAGAATAGCTTTAGGAGCCCTTCATGCAGCACTTCCTGATGCAACATCTGAAGAGTTACGAGCATATGATGATGAATGTGCTATCTGCAGGGTATTCTTAGTTCATTTCTTCCTCCTCCCCTCATTGTTTTCTTTAATTGGATCTATAAAGTGTAATGAACTGGGTGTATAACAGGAACCTATGGCTAAGGCTAAGAAATTGCATTGCAGTCACCTTTTTCATCTTGCATGCTTGAGATCTTGGTATGATTTAGAATTTTCTTTTCATTTTTTTTATTGTTGGAAATAAGTTTGGACATCTCATAGTGCTAGAGTTAATACAATGTTTAATATCATTGAATAATGCCAGGTTGGATCAGGGTTTAAACGACATGTATTCATGCCCCACTTGTCGAAAGCCACTCTTTGTAGGCAGACATGAAAATGAAGCAAGTCGTCAGAGTGGAGACATTTCAAGTGATGAGCAGCTTGCTCGTCAAATAAGTGAAGGACTTGATCGGCAGAATGGTCCTCCACCTACTGGAGTATTCCCAAATCAGACTCGGAATTCTATTGAAGGAAGCCCTTGGAGGTTCAGACCCTTTCTCAATATTCAAAATAGTCTCTCTTTTCTTCATTAGTTAGAATTGAGATCTTCTAAATTTATGACTGATAGACTTCTCTGCCACTGTTGGGCTGTTGCCATATTATCTAATATCTAACAACAATTATTTTGTTAATGTTCATTTTCTGCAATGAGTATTTGCATGAAGGCATTTGGTCTCTAAACCACCTAATATGGGTCTAATAACACTTTTTCCTCCCATTTTTGTGGTTGTGAACTTGTAATTAATTTTCTGTCGGTTGTTATTGCTGGTGGATCTATAGAAGTGCAGGTTTGGATTCAAGTTGGCTCCACACTTGGCCTAGCCAAAGTTTAGATGGAGCTGGTCCTTCTACTGCTATGAGATCAGTTGGATTGGGTAGAGTTCAAATGATGATGAGACATCTTGCATCTGTAGGAGAAACGTATGCTCAGACTGCCCTTGAGGATGCTGCTTGGAGTCTTTGGCCCATGAATCCCTCTCAAGCTGTTGCATCTGGTTCTACTGTCCCTCCTGCTACTGGTGGAAGATCAGTTGGAGGTACTGGTGGTTTACAGATAAGAACTGCCTCACGTTCTGTGAATGATAACATAGCAAATATGCTTGCCATGGCTGAGACAGTACGCGAGGTTCTGCCTCATATTCCCGATGAACTGATACTCCGGGTACATATTGGATTTCTCGAAAACATGTCTATGTTTCCAAATTGTTGCTTTAATTTGTCATGTGTGATTAGTACTTCTCTTGTGCAATATAAAACATATGTGCTTGCTTGCATGTGTACGTTGGTGGCAGGAGGTAGTGTTTGTGACTGTTTTTGCAAATATTTTTAATTTAGTTTTGCACGTCTAGTCTCTACTCACTAGGCAGGTATGACTTTAAATTTTGATGGATTGAGGCCCATTCAGTTACTAATCTTTATTGTTATCGTAGTTAAATAGCCCTATTGTTATTAACAGCTCTAGACATTGCAAATATGTGCTCATTTCCCAAAATTCAATGTGACTTGTATATTCCAACTTCATTAGAGGATATGTTACATGGGTTATGTTTTAGGGCCGCCTTCTTTCAATTTCAATATCTAGATTCCACTAGACTTTGTAATTAAGAATCCAATGTATTAAACTTTGCAGGACTTGCAGCGAACAAATTCTGTAACTGTCACTGTCAACAATCTTCTCCAAATGTGAAATGAGTAATGTAGTCAAATGGTTCAATGTGCTCCAAGTAGTCAACCTGTCATTTTGTATATCAAGTATCTGTAGGTTTGAAGCTGTGCACTAATCAGGCTATGTTCAATTACTCACAATACTCTGAATTCTCATCGCACTTTTGCCTTTTGCCAATTATCTACAAGCTTCATTCTCTGTATATACCAAGTTTATTTTACAAAAGGAGGGAAAGGCACATTACAGGGTTGGTGTTTGGTTTTCCTGCAAAAGAATAAAAGTTGCTACATATACATAGATGGACAGGTTGGCGTTTTGCTTAAGCCTCAAACAACATATTGGTTGTTGGTTCCATTGCCAAGTTGAAAGGGACAAAGCTTTGCTGTCCATTTCTGAATATATAGTGTACAATAATGGATCATGTGTAAGTAGTAGCTCTTGTTAGTTTCCTGAGGGAATTATTTGCGGGGTACCTTCACATTGTAATTTTCCTTATTTATAATGTTTATTGAGCCTTTTCTTACTCAAGTATGAATTTTTACCCTTTTGTTTCTACAAGCAATTTCTTTTTCTTCCCCCACTCCCAAAATGTCTACATTTTTCCTTTTTTTCAAATTTTACATAATGAAAATTGAATAATGGAATAAATTTTGGTATTCTTCATGTTATGAATTTCGAATTAAATAGGAATAATTTAGAGGTGAATTTAACATTTATCCATGGGTAATCCCATGCTTGAAATAGAGCTTTGGTACGTCGCCCGTATTCTTTTACCAATTTCTTTAGATGGAAGGGAAATGAGACCGCAAACAGCGGCGTCGCGGCGACCAAGAATGCTGGACATTTAGAATACACTTCTTGTATTGCCGATGACAGGCCACATCCCAAGGCTTCTTTGCCGTGCCGTACTTCCACGCCGTCAACCGGAAATCCCTGTTTATTAGGCTCCACGTCCTCAAAGTCATAACTCAGACTAGTAGCTGTTTTCAATTCTCCCTTTTATTATTATTATTATTATTATTATTATTATTTTGGCTTTCTCCAAGACGTGTACGCTCAGGTAAATGAAGGAAACCCTTTGATGAAATTGATAAGAAATAAATTAAAACTGAATTTTTTTTTAGTACTAATATTTAAAACCTTAAAATAAAACTGAGCTTCAAATCTTAATTAAACCTTAATTAAATAAATGAAAATGAAAACAATTATTTTATTTATTTAAAATTAAATAAAAAATGAAAAGAAATAAAAGTACCACAAATGTAATATGTTCAAGTTCGTTGAAGTGAGCAACTTTAATGTCTCAATCTAAGTTAGAAATTTATTCCGAAAGTTGCATGACTGAATAGTGTTTTTTTGGACCACTTATCATCCAGATTGACATAATTTAAAAAGAGATCATCTGCAGAAAGAAAACAAAAACAGTGAACTATTTGTCTGTCTGCATATTTTAAGCAAAGAAAGAAATTGAAGAAACAAGCAATTAATAGTGATACTTTGGGTGGGAAAGAGCAACAAGCACGGAGCACCACAAGCATGAAATCAGACGACAAAAATTGGAACTATTCATGAACAGAAGAAACAAACGGGGCTCTGTCCATTGGATTTGTGATCCTACTTCCTACATCTACATGTTTTTTTTTTTCTTTCCCTTGATTAAACTCCCATGATATGATTTTTTTACTATAATCTTTTTGACTATTTCACCTTAATTCCCTCTTGGTTTTGACAATTTCATTTTTTAAATTATTCCTATGATCAATGGGCATGTACATATCGAGAAAGATGTTTCAAAATGCTCTGCTACTTTTCAATTTTCAATTGAAAAAATTACATGTGTGGCTGCTATTTTTCCCCCTATAAAGAGGGTGGTAATTGGAGAGGAGTTCTAAATTCCTAATCCTTAGTCATAGGTAGGAAGAATAGTTCTAAACTCCTAATAATCCTCAATCAAAGGCCAGCTCAAGCCAGCTTCCATATATAATAATAATAATAATAATAATCACTAATTACATTCCTCAAAGCTTAATAAGTTGCTCTTCTATCTTTCTTAGTGATCTTAATTAATAAGAATGTATATTAACTTGTGGTTTGAGCTTACAAAGAAGTGATTAATTGAAGAAGAGACTATCGTATCTTTCATTAGACTCATCAATCAAATCCATATTCTGCATGTTCTGTTTTTGTCTTCTACAAAAACCTCGCAGTACAACGAATAACAAAACCTAATATCCCCTATATACATATATTATCTTTATCTTTTCCACTTTTTAATAGTCCTTAAAGAGTCATTTCTCTCCAATAATGTCGTTCATTCCCTCATTTTTCATCGTCCTCTTATGTCTTTCCATGCATGCATGTACTGCTCGCCGTTTTGGCTTAATCAAGGTTGGTATATATATATATATATATATATATACACCACAACATTTCTCATATAAATATTCTGTGTTTCTTTCTCTTTTAATTATGTGTTAACTAAAACTAGCTTTAATCTTTAATTCAGGTTGGAGAGAAGGTTAAGGAAAAACAGGAGTCAGTTGGAGAGAGCATTATTGATGGCGGTCTTATGAGATCAGAAGAACCAAATATTGACTCGATTTTTGTCAGAGAAAGTACAGGTCAAGCTCCAATAAAGCCTGTTGTTGTTCCGGTTTCTTGGAAAGTACCAAGCAAGATTAACCATCCTCCTGCGTCCTTTCACTACTCCGACTATTCTATGCCAAGAATGCGTACTCCTTCTCACAACTGATGTTTTTTTTCTTAATTTTGTTTCTGTTTCCTTCCTTTTATATATATTTATATATGTTTTTCACCTTCATTTCATAGATTAATTACTAATTACACATTAGTTGAACTTTTTCCTTTTTGTCTTATTAATTAAGTGATTAACTAGAATAACAGAGATTTAATTTAATCCCAAGCATTTTTCTACCCCTCTGCATTATTCTTGTTCTTAAATTCATTGTTGTTAATTACTAATTAGCATTTTTAGCATTTTCAAGAATGTTACTGATAGGAATGGAACATGCAGGACAAGATGAGATTTTTAAGTCTTCTTCCTTGGCCGTACCTCTAATAAAGGCAACAAATATTAAGGTAATATATATAGATATATATTAATATTTTTTTTCCACCTTCAATTTCCCAATAGAATTAATTAACAATTACACATTAGTTGAACTTTTTCCTTTTGTTGGGTCTTATTAAATTAAGTGATTATACGAGAATAACAGGAAGAGTTTAATTGTTAAATCCCAAGCATTTTTCTACCCCTCTGCATTATTCTTGTTCTTTAAATTCATTGTTGTTAAATACTGTAAATAGCCATTTTAGCATTTTCAAGAATGTTACTGATAGGAATGGAACAATGCAGGACAAATGAGATTTTTAAGTCTTCTTTCCTTGGGCGCGACCTCTAGATAAAGGGCAAACAAATATTAAGGTAATATATATATATATAATATTATATAAAATATACAGATCGTTCATATCAGATCGTTCTGATTAGTGTTATCCAGGAATAATGAAAGATCAGAAACATAAAGTAATACTAATTACTTTATTTCATTTCTGCATATGAGATCAAATTAATATTGAAAATGAGAAATGAGAACAGTAAACTAAGTGATCTTCATTTTCATTACTTCTTCTTCCTCATTAAAGGTTACCAAAACGGTACACATACAGACAACAGAAGGCAACCAAAATACCAAGAAAGAAAAGAAAGAAAGAAAGAAACACAGGATTGGATTTCATTTCAAAAAAATATTCAAACCGAATTGGCTATAATATAGAATTGAGGTTTATTAATACATATAATATGAATTGAGGTTATTAATACATAATTATATATATATATATAATATAATAATATAGGTATATATATATACATATTAAAGGTTTATGAATAAGGAAAGTAAATATGCTGTGCTTACTGTAGGGATTAACAAGAAGCAAGAAGGACTATCAGTAGTAAAGAATTTTGGATCCAAATGATATACATATTAAAGTATAATAAGGAAATAATATGCTGTTGCTTCTGTAGGGATTAACAAGAAGCAGAGGACTATCAGTAGTAAGATTTGGATCCAATGTAAAGAAAGCTAACAAGAAGAATGTACAAGAAGATGCAGATACCACAGATTATGTCCCACCACATGAAAAACCACCCATTCACAATAGAAAAGTCTAATTAATCAATTTATACCCCCATCCAATCGAATTAACCACTCACTGTATATCGTTTTGACGACTATATATAGTATAATTGCATGAGAGGTCCACATGACTTTATCATAAAATGATTTCCTTTGCAATTTTTTTTGCCAGGAAACAATAAAGCTTTGGAATATATCTTTACTTCCGAACCAAACTTATTTTAATTTTGTGTTCGAGTAATTTTTGTAAGTATTCTAAAGGGGAGGGATACCCTTGATGTGTAGTCCATAATATTATATTTGGCCTTCAATGAAAAAAAATAATGTTCCACAGGTTTGGTCTTTTTATTTATTAAAAAAGGGGAAAAAATATCTAGATGTAATTGGTTTGCAGCTTAGAGTTGATAAATAAATGTTTACAATCAATTGCATGTTGATTACATTTTGGACATTATCAGATACTAACTGATTTAATATATTATATTATATTAAAAATAATTGATAGTAATTTCCTTTTCAAATTAATATTTATGTGATTATTTTATTATTTTATTTATAAATAACTATTAAACATTATTATAAAAAATATTTGATGACTATTTTTATTTATATAACAAAAAAAAAAAAAACCAAAGAGAGCCTAAATAAATGTGAGTTGATAGTCAATTCATGTTTCCTAGTAAGATAATGTTGAATGCTCTTTTTCAACAGCGCATAGATAAGTTTGTATCTATTTTAGTTTGATTGAAGGCTACCTTAGTTTAGGTAATGATTAACTCTTTGTTTTCTCGTACCAGTGTAGTTTTCATAGCCTCATAATTTTTAAGGTGTAAAGAGATGTTATTATTCTCACTTGGTCCCACTCCTATACTTTTCTTTTCATTTTCGTCCATCATTTTTTTTTTCTATGTATCTCTCATTGTGCTACTTGAGGGAGAAATGAATTTTCTTATATTTTGTTTCATATATAAGTATTAAAAAATTGCAAATGAACCTCTATCTTAATGATAATTAAGGAGTGATATCCATGAATCAAGAGGTTTCAGATTCGATTCTTGATCATATAATATTTAATTTAAATTTAGTAGCGCAGAATCCAAGTAAATTCTAAAACTTTCTTTCGTGTTAGTGCTTCCATGAGTCGGTGGATTGTTGCTTTCATTTGTGAAGATAAAGCTGTATATGCTTCTCTTTGATGATACTGATTGTTGCCAAATCCAATTTGGTAACTGTATTCTGACCAAAACATAACATTAATTATTATTGGTAAAGAGAATGTGACCTCAACTGTATTCTATTCTCTCAACTCCAATTATTTTCAAAGTCATTTTCATATTTCGGTCATCAATTGCTTATTTAATAAAAAATTGTAAAAAGTTGAGATTCGAATTCTATCAAATTACTTTTTTAAATTTTCGATGTATTAAAAAATATCATTTCCACATAAAGTACATAACTTTTTTTTTTTTTTCTACTTCGATGGGTCGTTGTGCCCAATTTTTTACTAATACAAACTAGTTATTTTTTAATAATAGTTATCGCATTTGAAAAAATATTTTATTTTAAAATACTTATTACATTTGTGCTTTCAAGAAGTAATAAACTCTTTTTTTCCATGTTTACCCTTTATTAGGACCAATAACTATTACTTCAATTTAATGGTTTCTTAAATAATTAATATTAAATTAAGAGTAATATAATTAATTTGCTTAATAATTTATTATAACTTAGACAAATTTAATGATTTTCTTAAGGAACATGAAATTCCAAATATGACAAATATTATGGAACAAAAGTAATAGCTATTAATTAGTACTCTCCTATCCCATCCCAGAATATAAGTCGTTTAAAGTTTTTGTACAATGATTAAGAAAGTAATTATTTCTCTTAGATTATAATAAACTCAAAGGTAATTTGACTAAATTATCTTTTATCTTAAAAATAATAGTTGCTTGTGAAATATTTATTGTATTTAGTGTAAATAAGGACAATATTGAAAAATATCTGTTTATCTTAAAAAATAAATAGTTGCTTTGTGACAATATTTATTGTAATTAGTCGTAAATAAGGACTAATCTTGAAAAAAGATATCATTTATTTTTCTTGAAATACACAAAATAGATTATATTTTGAGACAAAAATTAGGTATACACCCTGAACAGAACAACTAGGTAGAGACCAAGACAGAAAGGAAAGTGGTTAGTTAGCAAATTCAATAATAGTTAATAATCCTGTCCTACCACCAGAAAAATTCAATCAAGGAAAAGAGTAAGCCATTAATTAGAAGTAGATTAACCTGCAAAAGCGTTCAAATCCACAAGAAGAACATAACTATGGTCCAAAGGTAATTTGACTAAATTATCTTTTATCTTAAAAATAATAGTTGCTTGTGAAATATTTATTGTATTTAGTGTAAATAAGGACAATATTGAAAAAATATCATTTATTATTTCTTGAAATACACAAAATAATTTATATTTTGAGACAAAAATAGTATACACCTGACAGAACACTAGGAGACCAAGACAGAAAGGAACAGTGTTAGTTAGCAATTCAATAATAGTATAATGCCTGTCTACCAGACAAATTCAATCAAGGAAAAGAGTAAGCCATTAATTAGAGTAGATTACCTGCAAGCTCAAATCCACAAGAAGAACATTAACATGGTCACAAATCTGTGAAAGAGAGTATTTAAAATTTAAAATCTCAATAAACATGATCAGTGGTAAATTAACATGCTCTAATCTGCTACAGACATGCCTTAATTTGATGAGATTAGGTTTGGGCTTGTATACGCAAGTCCGTTGGGCTCCAAAGGGCTTTTAATGCAAATTAATAGAGATTGCTGACACTGTGCTTATTTCAGTGGGCCCAATTTAACTTCTCATCTCCTTTACAAGAAGGGTTTCCGCAAGCTTTATTCTGGTGTTCCATTAATAATATTGAAATGGTGACTTAAAGGGGAGGCCCGGTGCCTCAACCGTCACATATATAAGCAATAACTCAACATATAACCAAAGCAACCGTCTCACCAAAAGCCACATCAACAAATAACTGCAGATTCCTACACTCACATTCTCCCCATGCCACAACAATAACAGCAACGTAGACAAACACACAGCACCAACTATGGCAACAGAGCGATACTCCATCTTGCAAAAAAGAGTTCAAGAACTCGAATCCTATCTCAATCGACTCTTTTCTCTTCCTCTTGACAGTGACAATCCATACCATGAAGAATACACTCAAGACTTTGATCAAAAACTCGACTTCTTGAAAACTCTCTTATCAACGGAAATCGTGTCCAGCCCCGAGAAGCCACAGTACCACTTGCAGCACATTGGTCAGAGAGTGTCAGAGCTTGAAACTGCTTTTCGTAAATGGAACGAGTACAAAACGCCGCCGCATGTCCATGAAGAGACGGCTTCCACGTGTTTGTGCAACGAGTCGTGTTTGAATAATACAGATGGGGAGGTGGAGCAGGAAAATATTGTGGTTGAAGGCTTGATAGAAGAGAAGGCGCCCGTGGAGAACGAGAGATCAGTTAATGTTTGGTGGGTTTGTGGGAGTTTGGGTGGTGGGGTGGTGATTGGTATGCTTTTTATGGGTTTTGTTATGTTGAAGTTTTGCGGATGTTTTTCCCATGGCCAATCTACAATGTGTCTTACTCCTACTTAATCTGCAAGAGGTTTTCTGTATGATCTTTACTTAATTGATTTCTTAATTGACTGTTATTAGTTATAGAATGATTCTAATATTTTTGTTTCTCAATTTTTAAATTAAGTTCTAGAGAATTAATTATTCAATTCTGAAATTAATTGTTTGTTTCTCAATTGGATTGAAGAATTGTTAATTATATCCAGGCTCAAGACAGGTTGATTTATTTGTTAGTTGTTAGTACTGTAAAATCATGTGTTGCGGTCCTTCACAACTTTGTGTCGTATTCTTGCACGATAGGAGAATTTTTAAAGCGAGTTCTGCACGACTTGTCGGTTATGCTGGTCGTTCTATTTGTTCTCTCTTCCTCGAACGGCAATTCAGTTTAATATATGGGAGCATCCTATCCGTTATTGAGAACGGTAAAAGGAAGCCCAGTCCATAATTGACTTTGTATCTTGTTGATCACGTGGGGTCCGACTCACAGAGCATATATCTCATTTCGCACAGTAGCCCTCCCATGTGTAATCGCACTACCAGATTCTCTTGTCTATGTAATTCTTTGACAATGACGTGGACATTTTTGTACATTTCCGCGCACGAATATGCGGCGAACAACACTTTCTACCATTTATCGACCTAGTAAGATCCATATCCACTCCGCTCACTCTTAAATATCGCAGTTGATTTAGCGCCGTTGAATTCCCAATTTACCCTGCCACCCACTTTTTGACTGTTCTGTTCCTCGTTCTGCTCACGGGCTTGTCTTTTTTTTTCTCGAAAGTGTCTTTTAATTGATGATCTTTATCTCTTAGTGAGCATCCACTGGAGCCAAAACTCGTTCAATTAAGTCTAACTTGACTCATTGTGCTTATTGTTTCAACTCGTCGCAACCATGAGCCGATTCCGGAGAATCGAGATTCTCGAGTCTCACTGCCCCTCGCTCTTTGTTAGAGAAGCTGTTTTAGCTCCCAAGGCTCTAGCTTTTCCCTCATTCCTAGTAGAAGAGGAACACGATGATCTCAGTTTTGCTCTTGATCTTTTAAACCCTAATCCCACTCCCTTTGAGCTCTTCGACCCAGTGTCGGATCTGATCCAAATCGAAAAAATGCCATCGTTTTACTCTTACAAGAGGGTCCAGCGACGACTGGGGACCGAGTTGTTCTTAGAGACCTTATGTGATCGAGTCAGCGCTCTCGAGTCTAGGTTTGACCGCTTGCTCAGCTCAGAGATCCGCGGTGGAGACCGGAAGTACACATGGACAGCAGAGATCAAGGGGCCGGTAGAAAGGAAGTACAAGTGGACTGCGGAGATCAAAGAAGCAAAGAAGACTAAAGAAGAGAAGGAGAAGAAGGTGGGAATTGAGAAGAACTACAAATGGGTTGCTGAGATTAAGGGGAAAGATGAGGAGCAACCGATAACTCGTAAATACACTTACGAAATATCCAGGGGCAATGGGGACGAGTGTAGCGGATCAGTGAAAAAAGATAAGAAGGATAAGAAGGAGAAGAAAGAGAAGAAAACAGATAATGCCGTGCGGTTGGTGGAGATTGAGGAACCCAATGATCATGGGGTTGTGGTGCTGAGGCAGGTAAAACGACTTGCATTTTAAATACTGATTTATATTCTCTCAAATGAAAATGACATTTCCGTTTTTTTCCTCTTTAGTGATAATTTCAACGTATTCAAGTAATTTATTTGACCATATTTATATTTGAGGGAAGGCGTTTGCAAAGAGAGCTGGAGTATCTAGGATTCTCAAGGGAAAGCAGAAGGAATTGTCTCCTGAAGATGCTGCATTGTTGATCCAGCTGAGTTTCAGAGCATATCTAATACGTAGATCAAAGGCTCTTCGAGCTCTTAGAGAGCTTGCTATTGCTAAGGCCAAGTTGAAGGAGATCAGAGCATTGTTCAATAATTTCTCCTACCGTAGACAAATAGCTCGTGATGCGGAGGAGCGCCAGAGGTTCTCTGAGAAAATTATTGTCCTGCTCCTCACAGTTGATGCCATTGAGGTAACACTGTTTCTCTATTTATTATTTAATTATGTAATGTTGGTAAGATTTTATTTTCCTAATTGCATCTCGTCATGTAAACCTACCAATACCTACCAATTTCTCCACAGCATGGACTTTTCCCCATAATTAAAGTTTGTCTCTTGTTAAGTACCCAAGACTTAGAAAATTGCACGGCTGAGCATATTTTTTAAATTTCAACTGCTGGAATTGTTTTATAGTTGGTTAATTTTATTTGAAAATTAGGTTAATTGATGTAGATGGCAAACTTTTTGGTTCAATGATCCCTGCATAAAGGTGCAATTTCAAACAGGGGCAGAGCTGTCCTGTAGTCACTAGTCAGTGGGGGCAATTGCCTTATTGAAATTGAGTTTCTATTGCATAAATTATAATAATTAATATTTTGGTTTGGTGCCCCCACCCAAACTGAATTTAAGCAAATAAATGCAAAATTTCTTCAAGCGAAAATAATAGTAAAATGTAAGATTCATGAAGTCTAATAATACTAGTACTTTTAACAAAACAGAAAATAATGCGCCCTAAAGCAGAAATGAATGGAATATGTTTAACCTCTAAATGCTACGCTCTTCCTTAAAGATTGAATTTTTGATCACTTGCATATAGTTTTATTACAAGAAAAAGATTATGGTTGGAGTCTTCATTTTTGAATACATTTTATATATCAGTATATATAAAATTTATTAATGCTTATTATTTTTAGATACTCCCTCTATCCGATTTTTTCCTACTTTTCTTTTTCATCCGTCTCAAATTGTTATCTTGTTCTCTTTTTTAGAGGTGAATAATATTTGAACTTTGCTACTTGGCCTTTATTTAATATGCTTCTTCTTCGACAAATAATAGCCAAACCACTAAATTATCATTAATTAAAATCTTGATATAAAGGCTGCTGGAGATTTCCCCATTGGTTCTCACATTCTCTTGCCCTCCTCCATGGACTGTGAAATCAATGGAATTTCACATTTCATCGTTTGGTTAGAAAATGTAATCCATGTATTTGAAGGTTATTCTTAGAATAAAATTAGGTGGTTTTAAATTCCATCATTAGTAGAAAATGATATAATAGAGAAAATCTCACCTCTGAGGTGGGATTTCTTTTTCTTCTAAAATAGTGGAATTGAAGCCTTATAGAATTTATTACGGCTTATTTTTTCTCAACGAAATGAAGGAATCTAACAAATTTGTGGATTTTTGAAATTCCATTATTCCAAATAGGATGCTTTAGAAGTTTGGTTCAATGCACCCTTGGTTTGGATGCATAGCTTTCTTTGAAAGACGGTAATGGAAATGTGAAATAAACGCGTATCCTGATCAATTCATTGGCAGACAAAGTTGGTGTCAAGAATTTTAAATTTCTTGATTCGATGTTCAGTTGCAATAACAAATTCCATTTTTGCTTTGGCTGGGGAGGTAGGTAGATGCATGGTTTGGCATTAAGGAGGCTTAGGTTCAAAATCTTATACTTTCTCAATTAGAAGGTAGGAATACTTTGATTTATATAGAAAGTGAGATTTTTTTTGGGACAGTGAGTTTTTTTGTTAAACAATCCATATGACTGTTAAGCTATGCATCGAGAAAGGGTGGGAAGGCAGATGAGGCTTGAGCCGAAACCTGCAAAAACTGCTTTGGGCCTGGGCCAGAAGAACTTCTGGCTTCCATAAACATGGGCTGATCAGGCACTTCTAATTGACTTACCAAAATTTAACACACCTTCAAATGGCTTTTAATTTTACTTCTCTTCTTTCAGACCTTAGAATAAGAAGAACGTGACTTTTCTTATTTTAAGTGTTTTAATGCATTTGTTTGTTTCAAATTTCTTGACCTTTTGGTCCGAAAAGAAAAAATAACTGCCATTGATTGGGCATCAAGTGTCCCATTTTCATGATGAATAGCTGACGAAGCATGCGTTTGATGCTGGTTTCTTTCTATCATCTAGATTGTCTAATATGAGTCATCTTGTATTATCACACATCTTGGAGCCGTATGAAGTATCTATTTGACCAAATGTTAGTACTTTTTGACCTCTGCCCCATCCTTGCACCCGCATCTCCCAAAACATGGTAACCAAAGATGTCGGTTCATCAGTTATTTTGACATGTTGCAATTTTAGGGAGCTGATCTGATGGTGAGAGGTGCAAAAAGGTCAATGGTAGATGAGCTGGAGGCAATGCTTGATGTGGTGGACCCTCAGCCTCCTGGGAAATTATTTTCAATGAAAAGACGGACATTTGATATGCCTGATGCTGTCATTCAGAAGGAAATAGCAGCAGGAGTGGCTCAAGTTGTGCAAATGATTAATGAAGATTGAAGAGACTCGATGCTGGGCTGCTGTCCCTTCTGAGGCGTGCTTGTGACTACATGAGTTTGTAAAAGATTGTCCCTTTTTTCGGGTTTGGGTTTAGTTGGTGTCCAGACATTTTGTTGTTGTATTGAGACATATGGAGCAGATTTGAACTAGTTGGCCTGTTGCTGTGCAATGTTTGTAGATTTCTTGTGCTCCTCTTGAAAGCTTCCTTCACTGTGTTTGATAAGGCTGTAGTAGTTTGTTGTTATAATTATTTCCATCTCCAGTTCACATGAATGTGCTCAATGACAATTTTTTTTTTTATTTTCTGAGACATGAAAGAGTTTGTTTCGCTGCTGAATTTATCCTTCGAAAAAAAAAAATGCTCTATTTTTCTCTTCACTTGTTGAAAGTTTCAAGGGGCAAATGAGCCCCAGTTGACGGGGTTATGCGTTTAGAATAGAAATTCCAACCGTTTTTGTTGGATCTGCAAACGGTATATCGCGTGAACGAGCCAGAAACAATCGGAACGCTTTAACTGCGTTTTGATATAGACAGGTAAAAAAGGACACTTGTTTCAGCATGTTTGGACATATCACTGGCTTTCCTTTGTCTGCAATTGCAATTGCAATTGCTTTCAGCTGTCATAGTTGAATACAGGGATGGACTCAGGGCACCTCATTTTCCAACATTGACTAGTCCTGAGTCGCGAGTTCCTGCCTCCCTGATCCCACGGCTGCGGTCTGTAGGAAGAAAAATACAGCACTTTCTTTCTAACTTCCGACTGAGAAAATATCTCCTCTGCTCTGCTCTTCCATTTGTTCTTTTCCGAACTGATTTTTAAAATTGACATCCAATCATCAGTTTTGGTTTGAACCAGCTATTGGAGTCGACATTATTCAACGTTGAAGTTCTCAATAATCAATTTTAATCATTTAACAATTATTTGGTTTAAAAATTTTCTGGTTATCGATATTTGAATCACAAATATAAATATTTAATTATAATTGTTAAATAATACAATAAGTTAATAATGTTTAATAGAAAATTGTAAGGTTATATTGAAAAATAATTAAAATATTAAAAAAAAATGAAAGGATCCGGACAAATATTTTAAAAAAAATAAATTATAGATTTAAACAAAGACGCGTAAAATTTATTTTGTAATAACTGGATTTCCATCCAATCTTAGAAAACTATCTAATTTTGACAAAAATTGGTTAATTCAATTCAGTTTTTTTCACAGAAAATAAAACCAAATAGCTTCACTTGACTTCATCTCTAAACTAACTTCTGGTGCTTGCTTGGCTCGATGATGGACTTTTGCGAAAGGGATCAGTCCACTAATATTTATTTTCTACATCATTTTCTTATTTATTAACACATTAATGCCATTCATTTATTACCATTAACTCTTTATTTGAATCTATTTTCCATTATTTATTATTAATGTAGCGTTCTTAACACTTCTTTTGACTATTTCATAAAATGATAATTTTAATTAAACAGATCGGTGATTCAGAGTCTTCAAAATATTAAATTAGGACTAAAATTTATATTTAAAGTTCTAATTTCAAACTTATAAAGGCTAAATTTTAATTTTGCTTTCTTTCTTTATCTTCATTTTCAACTCACAATCAAATTTTTGGAATGAGTTTTTCTTGCTATAGACCACTATTTTTCTATATCAATTATTGCTAACACATTAAATACAAAACCAAAGAAAAAATGGCACTCATTTATTACCATTATCTCTTTATTCAAATATACTATTTTCTATTACTTATTAATAAAGTGTCTTTAACATCATTTTTTATCTACCCAACCAATTCATTAATTAATGATTTTAGTTCAATGAATCAGTAATCTAACGTTTTAGGATTGAAATTGGTTTTTAATATTTTAATTTTAAATTAATGAAGAACTTCTTAAATAATGTCTTTAACGTTCTTTTCTATATTGATTTGACCAAATCATTGATTTAGTACATTTAAGAATTTAAACCATAACCTATGAATTAAGTAAATTCTTTATTGATAAAAATAAAATTATATTTCTTCATCAATCATGGTTTGAAAAACGTTGAGCACGAAATGAATATAATTTCTATAAACAAAATTTGGACCGTGTATGAACGAATCAGATAGTATCTCTAATATTATTTTTCTTTTTTATAAAAAAATAAGTTTTACAATAAGAGTGATTGCGCTGTGGTCCACATAGCTGTCCAATGCGAAAGCGCCTAACCTTTCATTTATTTTTTAATTATTTGTTCTTACAAGAAAACATGTTTATATTACCAAGTACAACCTCATCATCTACGTCATTGCCTTATGTTCTCACTTTCTAATATTTTATTCGGTTTTCTTATAATTATTTTCTTTAAATTTATTCAAATACTCATTTTTTTATTAATTTATCAAATTGGTAAAAATTTTTATAATAAAATAAAATTCAAACTCTAATTTTTCACTCGTTACATTACCGCAATGACAAACTGAATAATAATTCAATTAGGCATGTTCTGATTGAATTCTTTGTAATTACTTTGATAAGCTACCTTGCAAGATTCAGATTGTTCTAACGTGGCAGACATTAGAAACTAAATCCAAGTCAAAACGAGCATATTACTTCGAAATTAAGAATTATTGTCCTTAATTTTTTAACTAATATTATAAGTATTATTATATGAATGACACGAAAGATGCCATTTCAGGTTGGTTGGTCTGTACAGATTGCGCCCATATCAATGCTATAATTACTCGCTTTCCTTATTACAGTGGTCAGACCATTGAATTTGCACTTCTAGAACATTAAAAAAAAAATAAACACAATTTTAATTTCAAGATGCTATTTCAAGGAAGCTTACATTACCAATATAATATACACGTACGTGAAACATGTTAATTAATAATTAAAGAAATAATTATTTTTATAAAATGATGATAACAACAGCACCGATGATAATTAATTTTTTATAAGAAATCAAATGCAATCATTCATGACAGGTAATATTGTCATGTAGTAGTATTATAAACCTATTTTTTTATGACATTACTTTTAAGCAATAGAGTTAAATTCGAAAAAAAATAAAAAATAATTTTGTTGTGCAGTTGAAAATGTACATCTAAGACTAATAGATACCTTGTAGTCAAAATATTTATTAATTATAATGTGAAAATGGTTGTAATTAGAAGGTTTTGTATATATTTTAGAAATGGACTAATCTAATAAAATCTTATATTCAAGTTTTACACATAAGAAAATAAATATTCTACCGATTATTCTATTCATTCAGTTAAATTTATAGTTTAATTATTTTATATTACTTTTAAAATTTAATCTGATACCACGGAAAAAATAATTTAATCAATTATTTTTATTTTTTTATAAAAATATATACAATTTAATTGTATTTTCTTAATTTTTAAGTAAAGCGAAAATGACCGTCCAAGAAATAAGTATTAGAGAGATTCCGCTTTACCATAACCTACGGCGTTGAAATGGAAGATTCGGTAACCAACCAAACTGATAGGTGGGCCACCACCTCCCACCGCACACAGCACACAGCCCCTCGAAAACCGAAGGAAAAATTTTCATCGTTTCGCGGTTACTTCCTTCCATTTTTTATTTCCTCTTGTCAACATCTTTGACTCCGCTCTGCTTCTTTTCCTTTTTAGTTGAACCCAAAAAAGTAAATATATTAAAAAAGAAAAACTTTGTCGACAGCTCAGACTCAGCCCACGCAACGACTTCTTTTTTATTTTCTTTTCTTCTTCTGCCTCTTTCCTTTCTATTTTTTTTATATAATTTACATTTTATTTAAAAAGAGATAAATGCACCTATTCATTGGATGCCATAAGAATTAGTAAATAATAATAATAATAATAATATTCATAAGAGAATGTATATTTTGAATTCTTTCAAAAATAAATTTAATTTTATTGTATGAAATTTAATTTAAATAAGTTCACTCATATCGATCGAAATAGATATTTTTTATGTGAATCGATAAAATTTATTTTTCATATGCTCAATTGTATTATTATTGATGTTACATTCAAATTTTATTATATGATGTTGAGTAATAGTTTATTAATATTTTTTAAGTTGCAAACTGATATTAGATTTACAACCAAATAAAACAAAACTGATATATAATTGGAATTTGATAATAGCTTGATCATTTGTAGATTTTTAATTAAGTGCTAATAGACATTTATATTTCATTAAAAATAATAATATAAATATTATATATATATTTTTTGAATATTGAGAAAGGATAATTCGAATCTGATTTATTGTCAGGTCGTATATGCACTTATTATTAAATACTATATCTTTGTGTGGAAAATATTATATTCCTATCACCAAGAGTATTAAGCAATTTTCAGGACCTATCAATTATTAGGTGGAGAGGTTAAATATGGATTTTATGCTCCTTCGCGAAAGAGAAGTGAGTTTCATTGCCTTTCAGTTCTTGTCCCGTCATATCTCATCTTCTGCCACGTGGAAAAATATGTGTGGCCATCTTCTTTTATATTAAGCATTGAACCTCAAGCTATCCCCATCTAGTGCCATCTCATATAATCGTGTGGTTTTCGTATTTTAGAAAATCGGGACCTACCACCTATGCAATCTGCCACGTGGGACCATCTCTTTGGCTTTAATTCCTCACAACCACCGTCACCGACGATCACCCAGCTGTTACTCTGTTAATGAAAAGGACTACACGTTTCTAAACCCGGCCCAGCACTTAAGCGGCGGGCCCCTACCTGAAACGTGGCCACGTCAGCATCGACTCACTCATAGGTGTCGACACGCGCCTTGGCCGCAAAGTCGTCGATGCCACGTGTCGTGTCTTCTCTAAGATCCCCGGGGTCCACTATGTTTGGCCGTTTTTATTGTTTTTTATCAGTCACAAAACTGAATAAAAAATTTTCTTGATTCTTTCAGTTACTAGCAAATCAAAATTGAATCCATTCCTGGCGACGCGCGTTACGAACATCAGCAATTACTCTTAGCAATAATTGGCGCGTGTTTCACTAAAATTAACTCTCGTCTGGGCGTCGTCTTTTAAAGTTTTAATTGCGGTGTTTCCTGATTCAACAACCGAGTTGCCTTATAAAACACGTTCGTCAAAATCGAAACTCTATAAATACCCCAGGCACCCATTTAGGCTAAACTTCCTTCGACCTCTGTATTGCGTCTTTCGGTTTTGCATCGATTTGGTAATATACAATCTTTTGCTTGATTCTCGCTCTTGTTCTCTGCGATTTCTAGGGTTTTTCTCTGCACAGCTTTCTTTAGCTTTCCTTTTCGCCTCCATCATTTTGTTTCGGAGAAACAGCTCGAAAGAGGCATTTGAAGAATCAAATTTTTTTTTTAAGGTTACTTAATCTCGCTTTTTTTATTCTATTTTGACTTCAACCGGTTAGTTACCATTACTGATTTTTTGTTTTTGTGGTTATTGAAGGTACCTGCATTCCTGACGATTGCTCTGAGTTCCGTATTTCAATTCCCCTGTGGTATTAGAGCTCCTCTAAAAGATTAGGTACGTCGAATTTTAATCTTTTCTTCTTTTTAAAGATTCTATTTTTGCAAGAAATGCCGTCTCGTTCGTGTCTGCTTAAAACATCCCCAAAAAGACTTTCTCTTTGACCCTGCTTTCTGTATATGTATGTGTTTCTCTCTGTACTCCTTTATCGTCCTTTTGCTTTACTTTTTTCTTCTTTTCAATTGAATTGCTGTTTGCTACTTTCTCTTCTAGATTAATTTTTTATGTCCATATTATTTGTTCATTTATGTTAAAACGTTTTTTATTTTCATTTTTTAGTTATATGCAGGTTTTTCTGGTTTGACCGATAGGTACATGACTGGTTAATTTAGTTTTTTTCCCCAACCGCAAAAACTGATATCGTTCAACATTGATTCGAAGCTATTTATCTCTTGCTGTATTTGATTAAGCAATGACGTGATATGCTTTTTTGTTTTTATCCTTGATTTTCCCCCTTTTGAGAACATATCATATGTCAATTACAGTGTTAGTTCGCGTTGTAAAAGACTGGTCAAATGTCAATTTTTTCAAGTTGCAACAAGAATACTTTTCAAATCGTCGAATAATATATATCTTGCTTTCCAAATTGATTGCTTTGAATCTTGACCTTAGTTATTTTTACTGATTCTATTAATGGGGTTTGATTCGTATTGCGCCACAGCATGTGATATTCACTCGATACTTTTTTTGGAAATTTTGATGTTTGTGGTCACAGTAGAATGTATGATAGCAATAAAACAATGGAGATATCTTTATTTTGTATTATTATTATTATTATTATTGCATTTATAATGACCTATATCATTGCTGAGTCTTTTTTACGAGTTGGGTCCATATGTTTAATGATTCCCATGGTTGTATGTAGGCCCATCATGTGTAGTTGCATACGGTAATGCTTTCTCAGCCCTATGTGGGGTCTGAATGGCATTTTATTGTACACAACTACCAGATTGCTAACATTTTCTCTGCCATATATATACTATGTGGGCCAAGTTTGAGCTCTGAACACTGTTTTTTTTGTTTGTTTCTTTCTTTAACTGTAGATTTGCTTTAGTTTTCTTGTTTATTCATTATTTTGTGTGCTATAGGTAATTTAGAGTTGATTTTCTAAACTAGAAAAAAAGAATATTTCAGGCTTTCTTTTTTCCCCCCCTTAGTCACTACCTTGCTTTTATATAATTATATGTTCTTTTTCTTATTAGGTCGATGTTTAAGATATGCTTATTTAAGCTATCTTTCTCTCTTGCGTTTTTTTTTTTTTTTTTTTTTCTAATGGCATTTTATGTATCAACAACTACCAGATGCTACACAATTTTCTCTGCCATATATATACTATGGCTGGGCCCAAGTTTGAGCTCTGAACACTGTTTTTTTTTTTGTTTGTTTCCTTTCTTTTAAAACTTAGACTGGCCTTTAAGTGTTGTCTGTTTATTCATGTATTTTGTGTGCTAATATGGGTAATTTTAGAGTTGAATTTTCCAAAACTAGAAAAAAAGATATTTTTCCAAGCTTCTTTTTCCCCCCCTTAGTCACTACCTGCTTTAATAAATAATTATATGTTCTTTTTCTTATTAAGGGTCCGATGTTTAAAGATAATGCTTATTTAAGCTATCTTTTCTCTATTGCGTTTTTTTTTTTTTTTTTTTTTTTTGTTAAAGCAGCATGAATATTTTAGTGTTATTTCAGTATCAAGTAGGACCATAATTTTGTGCTTCAGGTAGTTGAAACAAAAGGAAGATAAGTTTTGATAGTTTAAGCTTGAAATATTATGCATGTCAGAGGATTAATTGTGCAGCCGTAATAATGTTAGGTCCACTTGATTTTCGTTTTCAATTCCTTTCGCTTCATAGAAAAGTGAAATTGAGATGCTTCTCTGTTTTTGAATGTATAAATTGGGAAGTCAGAAGAACATTGAAATTAAATGTTTTTCTGGTGCCGTAGAAAATATTAAGATATGTGCTTTCAGTAACAGTGATGGAAATCAAAAAAATTTTGTACTTAAAAGGAAAAAGACAGCAGAAATCAGGATAGATCTGTGGCTTTTTCATCCTTTCTGTTAACAACTAATTTATATCTTGTTGACGTTATGACTACTCATGTAAAAGCGGCAAACAGCGTGATGTCACAGAAGATGGAAATTATGCTATGCTTCCCAATTAGTCCCTCCATTTAGATTTGCAAAAAAAAAAAAAAAAATCAAAAAAAACAGAAATTCAAAAAAAAAAAAAAAAAAAATCAACTGTAATTATTAAGTTGTGCTATAAATCTGTGTATTAAGTATTCCTATTAACAGGACTACTTGGCCAATCATAAGTGGCCATTCACATATTGTTTTTTGTTGTGTGCATATTGATTCTGTGAGTGATTTATATCATTTGCTATATCATGTGTGAAAGCCTATTTGATCACCATTTTGTAATTCATGTTCTGTCTGATTGTTTAGCTTTCTGTAATCATTTTGTAAGGCAGGGATTCAAATTTAACATTTAGGTTATCTATAAGTGTAGTGCATCTCATTTCTCCATATGCTTTGTTTTGGAGTGCATTTCTTAACTGTTTCACCTTTCTTTGCAGAAGTTTGACGATTTTTGAGAAAGTAATCTCCTCATTGGACTGGGATATTTGGTTGCATATTTTGATCTTCTCATATGCACATACGTGTTTTGACTAGTGAGATGACAGCCTCTGGGTAACTAGAATTTGGCTTTCTTTGAAAGTGTTCTGATAAAAAATTCATTTCATTCTGACTGACAGCTTTTTATGACAATCAGTGTTCAGGTCTGCTTTGCTTGATGGACTGCTTGCCAACTAGTTGTGACAAGAAAACGTTGAAGAGGTGGTTTTTCATTGATAAAAAGGTTGGGTGAAGAGACTTCTGAGATTTCATATTGAAACCTTCTTCAACTTCAGATTGCATCGATATTCCACCGTCAATTTTTACTTCATCTCTGTATCTTAAATATTCGTCTGCACCCATAAATCTGTTTAACAATTCTGGATCCAATGGACCTTAAATCCACTCACACTTCTCCTGTTCTAACTGACCCTGCCCCCATAAGCAAGTCGAGGCTGGGTGTTCATTCGAGTATGTTGTCATGCTCACCTTCGGGAGCAGCTTTCTCGTCAAATTTATTGCTAATCCCTAGGAAGAAAACTGGGGTGTGGTTTGATGCAATGATATCCTCATCTCCTACTCACAAGAGACTAACCAAGGGTCTCAGTAATGAGCTTTCCACATCTGACACTGATCTTGCCTATCGCACCTGGATGGTAATCCTCTTTCCTGATAAGCTGACAAGCAGGTTATCTTTGACAAATTTTTAATGATTAATTTGTGGTCACCCACAACTTTCTGATTATGCAGCTTAAATATCCATCAGCTCTTGCGTCATTTGAGCAAATTTCGAACTTTGCAAAAGGCAAAAGAATAGCTTTGTTTCTTGATTATGATGGGACCCTTTCACCAATTGTTGACAACCCTGACTGTGCCTTCATGTCTAATGCTGTAAGAATTATTTTCAGAAATGGATAATAAATCCTCAGTTACAATTCATTTGTTTTTCCAATCATGTCTGTTGTAGTAACTGTGGTCTTGCAATTCTTTTAGATGCGTTCTGCTGTCAGGAAGGTGGCAAAATGTTTCCCAACGGCAATAATTAGTGGAAGAAGCCGTGATAAGGTAATTGACAGGCTTATTTTAAACAATTCAATGACACTTTAAACTTCAATGGTAATTTTTTGCATTTGTCTGTGTTCATCTCTTCTTGGTTGGTTTTGTTATTCAGGTGTATGAGTTTGTAGGACTAAAAGAACTCTACTATGCGGGTAGTCATGGAATGGACATCATGGGCCCTGTCAGACAATCCGTGTCTGATGACCACCCAAATTGTATCAAGTCTACTGACAAACAGGTAGAGCTGTGTAAAAAAAAAAAGTCACATTATAGCTTTTCTTGTTTTAGTTGTATTTCTTTGTTCTGATTTCTCCTATGTTTAGGGGAAGGAAGTTAATTTGTTCCAACCAGCTAGTGAATTCTTGCCCATGATTGATGAGGTATGTAAATTTCTTTAGTGCACGAAGCATGAATTATGCTTCCCCCCCTCTAAAAAATTATTCCATGGTTATTTTCTAGTGTTATTTAGCATTTGGGTTTATTGACTTGAGCAGGTTTATAGCTCCCTCGTTGAGAGTATTAAAGACATCAAAGGAGCAAAAGTTGAAAACAACAAATTCTGTGTATCTGTACATTACCGTAACGTGGATGAGCAGGTAGCACTTCTTCATTCTTGTCTAACAGAAGTTACTATTTCCTTTGCTTTCTAATTCTGATTTCTACATTCTTGAATTTATTTGTAGAGTTGGACAGTAGTTGCACAATGCGTTGATAATGTCATAAAAAACTATCCCCGGCTGAGATTGACTCATGGGAGGAAGGTAATCTTTATAGCCATTGCAGTTCATGGAGATTTACAGGCTCCTGGAGATCTTTATTCGAGTTTTACCAACTGGCGGAGGTTGCACCAGAAACTTATTTGTTTTAAATTCTGTTCTGTTTAACACAATTAGGTTTTAGAGGTACGGCCTGTCATCAATTGGGACAAGGGGAAAGCTGTCACATTTCTACTTGAATCACTTGGTAAGCACCTTTTTATACCCTATCATTATTTATTTAAGTAGCTTGTTACAGAAAAGCTAAACTTTATATCATTACCATGTAATAACGTAGAATAGCAATTGTGGCTTTTTAGGTCTAAGCAATTGTGACGATGTGCTTCCAATTTATGTTGGAGATGACAGAACAGATGAAGATGCATTCAAGGTAAAAAAAACAAGCAAGTTACAATTAACGTTGGTATTCTGACAAGTGATGCGAATATATATTAACCTGATGAACTTGCAACAGGTTTTGAGAGAGAGGAACTGCGGTTATGGCATTTTAGTGTCATCGGTGCCTAAGGAAACAAATGCTTTTTATTCTCTCAGAGATCCATCAGAGGTAAATTATTATTATTTTTTTTTCTTTTCTTGTAACAGAGAGAATCTTTCAGCAAGTAACACCATTTTTTTCTGAGAAAACAATTTTCCTGATTTCTGAATGTTGTAGGTCATGGAGTTCCTCAATTCCCTGGTTGTGTGGAAGAAGTCAAGTGCCTTGTGAGAAAATATACATGAAGAATACAAACATAAAGAAGAGGCGGATACTCTTGACTTATACATGCGATAAAGAAAGGCTCTATTGTTTTTTAGGTTAACTAGAAAAGAAAAGAATACAGCCATCGGTTGCGCAGAAGACTTTGTTTTACATTCTGCATAATTACTCTTTCTTGTCTTAATTGTAAATTCCTCTCTTTAATTTTATCCAATTGTATTAATCATTAATTCTGCCATCTTTATATTCAGTTTTGATACTTCATATTTGTTAATTCTTTTATTATTAAATAAATAAAAGAATATACTTGGAGTTCTTTTCCTTTTAAGGTTTAGTTGGTCCTGTAAGTTTAGTTGCTTGTTGTTTGTCCTATATGGCAAATTTTTTATTTTTAATATGAACAGAAAAGAAAATGGTCCATATTCGATTTCATTGTTTTGGGCCAGAGAATATCGAGATGCTCAATGGGCCCTTATAAACCAAACCAGTTTTGGGGTTTGATTTGGATCTGAGTCTCACCAACAAAACAATCAAAAATGAAAAATACTTGATGACTTTACTCACATACATGTGATGTAATTAAAAATACAGCTCTCCTTTGGTGACATTGCTCGTGATGATGAGATGGCTTTGGCAGGCATCATTTCGAAGAAGTCAATTGATCTCCTACTAGTCATACTCCTTTTCTACATTCACTTTCTAACTACCATTCTTCCAAGATCTTATTACCAAAAAAATAAAAATTTTCCTGTAATCCAAAATTCATGTTCGCAGCACATGCAGTTATTATCAAAGAAGGAATTTTTTTTTTTTTTTTGAAAGAAAATGACGAAATTTTATATGAATAAAGAATTTTGCTTTATTTATGATTTCTCATCAAAATTATATTTTTCTCTAATGTAGTTTTTATATAAAAATAAATAATTAAAAATTGAACAATAACTCGCTGTTCTTTCCAAAAAAAAAAAAAAAAAAAAAAACTTAATGTAGTTTTTTATGATAAAAATAAATAATTAAAATTGAACAATGAACTCCGCCCTGTTCTTTCCAAAAAACCATACAAAAAAAAAAAAAAAATTGTTATGAAGACAATCCATTGGCGACTGCCAACATAAGCATAACTTTCCATATTAAATACGATGCTTATCACATGAAACATGGGTTGCATTGGGTGTTCGTAGAGTATTGGTAGAGCCTACTCCACAATAATTATTAGGAGACTAAAAAAAAAAAAAAAAAAAAAAATTGTGAAAATCATTGGCACTGCAACATAAGATAACTTTCCATATTAAATACGAGTATCACATGAAACATGGGTGATTGGGTGTAGAGTATTGTAGAGCCTACTCCACAATAATTTATTAGGAGACACAGATTTGGAATATCATTTGCCATTTACCTAACAATCCACCACTTTGTTGAATAGCTTCACAAATTTCATGAAAGTATTAACACCAACTCAAAAATTAATTTCATAAAAGCTACACAAATTTAATTTTTTTTATGTAAATAAGATTTTTGAATAGGAATATAATCTTATAAATGTTGAGTTATATTATACTTTCTGATAGATGTAAAATAAGAAGATAAAGATAGCTTTAGGAATATTAATATAAAAATTTTTAGAAAAATTAGATTACAATTGTCTCAATTTGAGCGAGAGACAATATATTAAATGACCTAAAATTATATTAAATGTAAATTTTTAAATGAACGTTACATATTTTTAAAATGATAATGTAATGCTTCGATATGATTACAATAGTAAAATTATAAATATATCCTTAAATATACCAATTCTCACTTGGTCAAATCCAATTTCACTTAGCTTTGATTCTTTTCTAAACTTTTATTTTTTTTCTCTCTCTTTTTTCGCCTTTGACTTACAAGTTCTCAGGGTGAAGTTTGAAGTAGGTTGACTAGAAGGTTGGAATGGCAGTGGCGGCAAACCTCCATTAGTCAATTTCTATTGCCTCATTCCATTTGTTTTATTACCTAAGCCTGAATAGTAGCTGCAGATTTGCTCTTAACATTGACATTTTGGATACGAATACTTACAGTTATACAAAATTTTGTTAGTCTGTCGTAAACTTAGAGGAGTTCAGTTAAAATAAAAACAGCTTTTGATTTGACAAAATGGATGAAACAAATATAATTTAAGCATGTAACTGTTTTTTTTTTTTTTTCCAAATTGAATGTAAAATTATTTATGTAAGGTTTGTTCGGTAAAAATAGTTTTATCAAATATGATAATAACATTTTATAACTCCGTTCTCTCAATTCAAAATACTAGTCAAAACGTTAAAAAATTATATGAAAACCTATTAATGAATAAGGTCATAATGTATTAACTTCCATCGTTTATATGATAGACTTGTAAGTTTAATATTATTAAAAATTTTAGTTTAAAAAAATGTTATTAGAAATTTTGGATTATGATTCACTACAAATAAATTATGTCTCTTCTTCGAAGAAAAATATAATCTTTATTCTATATTCTTTTTGGTGTTACCACGAGTATTATTTCAACGTTCTTTTAGAAATAATAAACAAATAATAAATCGTAATAATTATATAAAATCTCCATAATTAACCATTTATTGAAAGATTATCATTCACCGTATATACGTATTTATATATTAATAAATTTCTAGAGTCCAATTGGAAAAGTACTTTTTGAGATCTACCAAGCGAATGGCTTAAGGACACCTCATCCCGTTTCTGTTTATTTAACTCAATTCCAACTTCTCTTCGTTTTTCGTGCTCCGCCAGTCCCCACCCCTAGCAAGCATGGACTATTCCTCCTATACTCCCTTGCCGGACCATCCGACCGGTAATAAACGCCGGCCGACCTTGAAGGTTCTATCTGCAGTATTCGCTTCTCTGATTTTTCTGCTTTCATTAGTCACATTAATCATTAACCAAAGTCAATTAGAGCCAAACGAGAACCACTTACCTCCAACAACTAAACCTACTTCGTTTTCGAATCCGGAGCCAAGAGGCGTGGCTGAAGGAGTATCAGCCAAGTCAAATCCGTCGTCTTTCAACAATGGAGTTTCCTACAATTGGACCAACGCCATGTTTTCTTGGCAAAGAACAGCTTTTCACTTTCAACCTCAGCAAAACTGGATGAACGGTAGGGAAATAAAATTTTTATTTCTGTTTTAATTGATTATTGTTATCATCTTGTGTTCTGTCAAGTTCTTTTACATTGTTCTGATTGAATCTTTTGTTTCGATTCGTGGTTGTCGCTGTTCATGGGGAATCCGTTATGTCTCCTGCTTCAGATCCTGATGGTATAAACTCATTCTACTTTACGTTCTTTTTTCCTTAATTTTGTAATTATTAGGTTTCTAATTCTAATTAACCTACTAATTAACTAATGACGTGGAGGATTTAATAACAGTAGTTCGATTTAATAAGAGTACGCTATGTGGTGAGGCTTGCGTTGCGTGAGATTAGATGCATCAGATTAGATCCTCTAAGGAGGAGTAAGGAGTTAACTTACCTTACCTGTATCAAACTGTGACCAATAACCGATGAAAATGCCATTCATATTATTTCTATTTAACACGTGTCGCTCAAGTATTTTAATCACAAGTAACTGGGAAAAGAAAATATTATTTTAGGAGCTGTGAACCAATCAATATCTAGTTGTGGGTTATTCAATGTTGGAAAGTGAGTGGGTCCAACGCAGTTTTTCTTTTCCTTTTTTTTTTTTTTTTTTTTTGCCTCTAAGATTTGTACACTCACAAACAGTAACTGGGGAAAGAGAAAAATATTATTTTAGGAGCTGTGAACCCAAATCAAATCTATTTGTGGCGGTTATTTCCAATGTGTTGGAAAAGTGACGATGTGGTCACCGAAAACGCAGTTTTTTCTTTTCCTTTTTTTTTTTTTTTTTTTTTTTTGGTTTTTTCTCTTTCAACACCTTACTTATCCCGGGGGGCCGCGCGATTGTATTCCGCGAGTTATTGCCACTTGCCACTATCGCGTATCTTTCAACACAAAAAAATCCATTAACTAAATTTATAATTTAAGAAGTCTTGAGAAGCGTTATTCAACATCTTAAAACAGCCTATTACAAAAATCCAACCTTTTAAGGTACAACTAAGTAAGAACCAGCCCTTAAATATATAGTCACCAAATCCCATTACTTGGATCCGCGTGCACGAAGTATTTTGACTACTTGTTTTTTTTTTTTTTTTTTTTTTGGTTTGTTTTCTCTTTCAAACCTTACTTGCCACTTGCCACTATCGGATTTTCAACACAAAAATCCATTAATAAATTTATAATTTAAGATCTTGAGAAGGTTATTTCAACATCTACAGCCTATTACAAATCCACTTTAAGGAACTAAGTAAGAACAGCTTAAATTATAGCACCAAATTCCCATATTGGATCCGTGCACGAAGTTATTTTGACTATTGGTTGCGTAAGCTAATCGAGGTTTAGGTGCAATTTGCTAACCACGTGCTGAAGTTGTGAGTGCAACGATTCTCTGGTTGCAGGTCCATTGTTTCACCTGGGTTGGTACCACCTATTTTACCAATATAACCCCGATTCAGCTGTCTGGGGCAACATCACGTGGGGCCATGCTGTATCGAAGGACTTGATCCATTGGCTCTATCTCCCACTTGCGATGGTCCCTGATAAGTGGTATGATATAAATGGAGTGTGGACTGGATCCGCTACGCTTCTTCCAGATGGTCAAATCATGATGCTTTATACTGGAGACACCAATGCTTCAGTGCAGGTGCAAAATCTCGCTTATCCCGCCAACCTATCTGATCCTCTCCTCCTTGACTGGGTCAAATATCCAGGAAATCCAGTTATTATTCCCCCACCCGGAATCGAAATCAGTGAATTTAGAGACCCAACGACGGGATGGCTGGGACCCGATGGTAAGTGGAGGATTGCAATCGGGTCAAGGGTTAATAAGACAATTGGCGTTTCACTTGTCTACCAAACCACCAATTTTACGACCTATGAGAAGTTGGAAGGAGTCTTGCATGCAGTTCCGGGCACGGGTATGTGGGAATGCGTGGACTTTTACCCGGTGGCAATAAACGGTTCTGTTGGATTAGATACATCCGCTAATGGGCTGGGTACAAAGCATGTATTAAAGGCAAGTTTAGATAATACGAAAGTAGATCATTACGCACTTGGAACCTATGACCCAATAACAGACACATGGACACCCGATAACCCGAAAGAGGATGTGGGTATCGGGTTACGTGTGGATTATGGAAGATACTATGCGTCAAAGACGTTTTATGACCAGCACAAGGAGAGAAGAATCTTATGGGGTTGGATCAATGAAACTGATACTGAAGAAGATGACTTGGATAAAGGCTGGGCCTCTGTTCAGGTATACAATATTTTAACAAAGAATTGTTTATAAAAATTTGATTTGTAGACCCATACGAAGTTTGTTGCCATGCTTTACAGACAATTCCAAGGGCTGTACTATTTGATAACAAGACTGGAACCAATTTGCTCCAATGGCCTGTGGAGGAGATCGAGAGCTTAAGATTAAACAGTACTGATTTTGAAGAAATTGTGGTTGGACCCGGCTCGATAGTCCCGCTTGAAATAGGCGTGGCGACGCAGGTTTGTTTGCTAAAGTTGCCACTATCATCAAGACTAGAAATTGTTGTTTGGTTACATATTTAACCACTTAAAGCTAATATGTTTGCAGCTAGACATATTTGCAGAATTTGAAACGGAATTAATATCAAATTCTGTAGTTGAAGAATACGGATGCAATGGTGGTGCAGTTAACAGAAGCTCTTTGGGACCATTTGGCCTTCTAGTTCTTGCAGACGAAACACTTTCTGAATTGACTCCTGTTTTTTTCCGTCCCGTTAATTCAACCGATGGGAGTTTCAAAACTTATTTTTGTTCTGATGAAAAAAGGTTGGCCTTTTTTAGGTTTTAACTATGTCGAGAAATATTTATATTTAAACTCTTAATATTGTCATTACCAGATCGTCAAAGGCTCCTGATGTCTGTAAGCAAGTTTATGGAAGCACCGTTCCAGTGCTCGACGATGAAAAGCTGAGGATGAGAGTGTTGGTAAGTGACTAACTTGTATTTGAAAAGGAAAAATCTTGATTTTTTATCTTATTCTTGTCACTAAAATAACGTTGCAGGTTGATCATTCCATAGTGGAGAGTTTTGCACAAGGAGGAAGGACAGTCATCACGTCCAGAATTTACCCGACAGAAGCAATCGATGGAAATGCAAGGCTGTTTCTGTTCAACAATGCAACTTCTGTGAATGTTAAGGCAACGCTCAAAATATGGGAATTAATGCCTGCCTTTATCCGCCCTTTTCCTCTCGACGACAATTAAATTAAAACACTTATTTGTTGTATCAAATTGTTGTAACTTTGCCAAGAAAGTGCAAATCCTGATCATATATTTGATTTATTTAACTTCATTTTTTTCAAGGACAGGAGCAGAAAAATTCTTATTGTAGGCAAAAATTGCATTGTATGCCCAACGAATGGGTGAGGGAGTACTTTATCTTTTTTTGGTATTTAGTGATAATAAACTTTTTTTTTTTTCAATTTCTACTATTTACACAATTATCTACGTATTCTTTGAATATAAATACACTTTTGAATATGAAATTAATCTTGTTTTAAAATTTGTAATTATCTTTTCACGTAAGTGTTTTTCCGTTAATTGAATCTTTGACCTTATAGAAACCGTTAGCTGAATTTAGTTATATCTATTTGAGTGAACTTAGTTAAATCTACTTGAGCCGCTCTTTATGGATTAAAACTTTTTTTTTGTTTTACTTCATAACGTACCATCATATCCATCGACGGACAAATCTAGTCCATATGAGTATTTTCCTTTGCAATACTTTCAAAATTTTATACATATGAATAATTTTGTTTATACTCGGGTATATATAACCACCTATATATTAAGTTGGTTAAAAATTATTTTTTTTAAATTATGTTTTTTAGTATATAATTAGAAACATCTTTATTTTAATAAAAAATTATTTTTAATTATTAATTTGGTATATAGACAAGCATCCCGCAAGACTATTCCTTGCTCCTTTTGAAGTTGGTTATTTATACAGGCCGTATATTTTGAGCCTGCATTAGCCCAAGTTTACTGGAAATGGTTTCGAATAGGACATGTTGGCCCGAAAGAGGGTCCATCAAGAAAAGCCCACGTTGTAAAGTATTTGCCGTCCGAGGAGGATTCACTTGTTACCTCTTTAATTTCAAATTAAAATCCAATTCTAATTTTGATTTCTAGCAAATATCAATCATTCAACGAAACTAGTCCAGCTGGAAATGATGAATGTTTTGAAAGCATTTGGAAATCATTTAAAAAATAATTTCAATAATATCATTAGAGTGTGTATTTTTAAAATAATTTGAAAAAATATTTAATTTCATGCGTATATGAAAATACCTTATACAGCAAAATCTGTCAATCAATTAAGTCACTCCTACACTCTCCTTTTTTGATATTATATGCTTCACTACCTTACTGCCATTGAAGTACATCAGAGCTTTAGCTATTTCCAAAAACTTTAAATTTACGAAATGCAGAGTGAGTTTGGAACTTTCTTGAGTCTTAATATTAGTTATGTACTAGGTTTAAGATTTTTAAAATTATCTTATAAATACATGATTATTTAATAAGATTTTTATTTAGTAAAATGTAATAAAATATAATATAATATGATGAAATTTTTTTTAAAAATATTTATGTTAATAATATATTTAATTATATTTTATTACAACTTGATGAAGTGTAAGAATAAAAATATTAAAATAAAAACACAATTTCAAGCTTCAAGGAATAAACAACAATAAATATTGCTTATACCATAAGCTTCCATGTTCAATTTATTGTTGTATTGTACGAGAAATTAAAAAATAAAGTGGAAATAACTTTTTATTTTACCATGATGATTCACTGCTAAAATGATAATATTAAATTAATAAAGTAATATTCAGTGCATCTTGTAGCGGTAGCCTTTAAAATTTCTTGTTGAGTGGATGACGTGTAATCACAGTGACTAATATCTTTCTTTTCTTATCATAAATAATGCCTTTCTTTTTTCGGATATCACAAATAATTCATACGTGCGTAACAAATTCTCTCCTTTTTATATTTTTTTTTCCCATAATAAGAGGATTATTTTTATTTCTCATGCCATATTGAATTTTTTTCTATTTATAACAATTGAAAACTTAACCCCTTACCTACAAAAATCTAAAATTTAAATATTTATTTAAATTAAAAAATTTAACTCATTTAATAAATAAATCTTATTTATCACTTATGATCACATGTTGACTTTTAAAGTCAAATTTTTTCATTTAAAATATTTCTTATTATAACGTGAATAATTTGATGATACGCATGATAATCTTTTTTATTATTAAATATAATAAAAATAAAAGGAAAATCATATAATATATTGAATATTTTCATTGAAATTGCTATCTACAAAAATAGGTAATTAATTTAATATTAATATTTGAAATAAAAATGTCCAAAAAAAAACAGATCTAAATGTGAAAACCTTACCAATAAAGGCACATGGTCAAAGATGTGGTCGGATTTGAGCATGTTGTGTAAGATAGATTAAAGAACTGAAAAGGTTAACTATCTAAACAAAATTATGCCAGCTAAACCAATTACTAATTAATTTTAACCGCTAAATCGTAGGTGGCAATGGGGCCCGCAAAACCACCGCGTACGTGTAGGAAAATGCTTAAGGGTGGGGTCCATATTATTCTGAAGTTGCAATTTGTGGGTGGGAACGCGCAGGGCTTTGCATGTGAGAAATGACGCTTTCTCAGGGAGAATCGGAACGTTAGAGAAAAATCCATTTGGCGTTTTTATTATTTGAATAGAAATAAAGCGCGAGGCGCCGAAAATTGTGCATTACAGCATTACTCGCTGCCATTGACTCTTCGCTGTCGCGCTCTCACTCGCCACCGGTAACATCCGGTAAGACAATCCATCCCAAACTAAGTTATTATAGTACAATTTCTTAAATATTCTAAATGTTAAAATATTATTATCATTTAAATAAAATTATACTTATAATATAACATTTAGTATTTTCTAGTTTTAATGCTTAAAGTTAAAGGTAAAATATAACTAGTACCTAAATTATGTCTAAATTTATGCTTAAAACCTTTTTACTTTTAAATAATTTTTATTCCTATTCATTTCCATGTCTTTTTGTATAATAAAATAACTCTTAGGAATTTTTTTTAAATTATGAAAATGAAATGTTTATGTTTGAAGTAATTATTTTTTAAAATTTAATTAACGGTAATAGAAATATATTTGGTCATAAAGATAAAATGATACTTTTTTATGAGTTAAATAAGAAATCAACTTATTTTTCTTGGGATGAAGAAAATATTTTTTAACTAAACATATTTAGTTATTTTTTAACCTACAATCGTACTTTTAATCTGAAATTTTCAAAAAGGTAATTCTATTTTTCTTTCTAAACGAGAGAACGTAATATAGGAACAAATTAGGAACAAATTAAGAAAGTAAAAGTAATTAAATGAAATATTATTGGATAAGTTTTATTTTAATGTGTTTTAAAAATTAAATGAAATACATCTATTAATTTTTAAACACTTAACTGTGTAAAAGATAATATAAGGATGAAATAAATAAAATTAAAAAAAAAAACACTGCATGACCGGTTCAGCCAGTAACAGGCATATAACGCGCACAATCCGGCTACAAGATTGCATAAATGGAATTGTTTAGGGCGTGGCCTGAAATTTGTCGCGTTGCTCTTACTGTCCAAACAGAACGAAGTCCAACTCGAAAAAAAAAAAAAATGAGCCTCTCTATTTTGTGTCTGTGTGTCCTACTCAAATACTTTCCGACTATGTAAATCCTCATAAAAATTCTCTTCTAACATCGTCTCCGCTGGAATTGCTTAAAAGATCCAAAATCAATACATACACCTTATGGCTCTGTTACGGTTTTTGCTGTTTGCTTTCATCAACATTTCCCTGTTTTCGAACATTTGTTTTGCCGCAGACCCAACTGTCTCTTATGAATTGAGACTCTCTTATATAACCGTCTCTCCTCTGGGTGTTCCTCAGCAGGTTCTATTTTTACTCTCCTTCTATTTGCTGCGTTTGTTTTAGTCTTTTTAATGTGGGTTTCCTTAGAATTCTGTTCTTACTCTGTCTATATATTGCCCACTTTGGATCTAATGAAATGCTAGTAAAGTGGCTTTTGTACATGGGTTTTGCTTTTATAATGCATTTGTAAGTGATATCTTGTTAATGAGTAGGATCCTGGGTTTACTGTTATTTAATAAGATTACAGCAGCAGTTCTTGTTAATGCATGATTTCTTTATGTTGCTTCCCCTTCCTGACGCGTTTTCTTATGGTACTAATTTGTAGTTACTGTTTCAAATGTACTTGAAGCGCTAAGCTGGATTTGTTCTGTAGGAGTACTGTAATGAGTTTTCTTCCAATAATGAAGTCGACTTTTCGCTTTCTTAAGTTACTTCGGTATTTTTGACTGTTCCATAGTCGAGTACTGGGGATTTGAGAGAGAAATGCGTAGTAGTTTATGGGTTAATTCTCCTTTTCACATTATTTTTACTTTATATTGTTTTTTTCTGAGGAGTATTATGCATCTGTTTACCATGTTATTGTTTTGCTCTCTATTCAATTTATTAAAATGATGTTGAATTAGTCCTCAGTAGCTTGCTCATCTAAGATTGGTTCCTTATACCAAGAACGTGAAATTTCAATGGATTTTTACTTTTTCCCCAGCGATGTATAGGCTGTATTCTGTATTTTGTTTAAGTGATGAACGGTTTCAATTTCAACATTTCACTTATTTGGTTACTTATTCTTGCAGGTCATTGGAATAAATAAAAAATTTCCTGGTCCTGTTATAAATGCTACTACTAACTATGTTGTTATTGTTAATGTATTTAATGAGTTGGATGAGAATCTCCTAATGACTTGGTAGGTTATTACATTCTCTCTTTGAATTCTTTGTCATCATCCCTTTGCTTCTTGCTTTTGCATCCATGGGAAGAGCATTTTGTAAGAAATTTGGGATGTATGATTTGTTGTAACTTTTGACAGGCCTGGGATCCAAATGCGACGTGATTCATGGGAGGATGGTGTTCGTGGCACCAATTGTCCAATCCCTCCCAAAGGGAATTATACTTATAATTTTCAAGTCAAGGATCAGATTGGGAGCTTTTTCTACTTTCCATCCTTGAATCTTCAAAGAGCATCTGGCGGCTTTGGTCCCTTCATCATTAATAATCGAGCAGTTATCTCAATTCCTTTTCCACAGCCAGATGGGGATATTATCCTTCTGATTGGTGACTGGTATATACGGAACCATACGGTTAGTTTATTTGGTTTGGAGTTGATGCTTTCTTGTGAGCTTCAGTGATTTGCGTTGATGAATTCTGAGGGTGGCGTTTTATGGTGAATTTCAGGCACTGAGGACTGACCTTGATTCCGGGAAAGACCTTGGAATGCCAGATGGTGTTGTAATTAATGGGAAAGGACCTTACAGATACAACACAACTCTTGTGTCTGATGGTATTGAATACGAAACCATTCAAGTTGATCCAGGTAATGATATTGGTTGTAGATAGCAGGAATGTGTTAAATCATATTTCCATTTATTTAATTATTCCCACACTCGGTACCAGTTTGCTTGTTCCTCCTATTAACATGTTTGATAATTGGCTATGGAATGATTGCCTTTCTGAATCTTGTATTTTAGTTCACTATGAAATAAATTTGTTTGTCCAAACTTTATCTGAAAAATAAGTTCTATAATTTTTCTTGTGATCTTCCATGCTTACACAGATAAACTCAAATTTCATGATACAAGAGGTATGTAAGTTCAACTTTTGAAGTTTTAAATGACAATATGTTTTGCAGGCAAAACTTATCGATTTCGTGTTCACAATGTTGGGACTTCAACTAGTTTGAACTTCAGAATCCAGGGTCACAATCTGCTCCTTGTGGAAACAGAAGGACATTATACATCCCAACAAAATTTTACCAGCTTTGATATTCACGTGGGCCAGTCTTATTCTTTCTTGGTTACTATGGATCAGAATGCAACTTCTGATTACTACATTGTCGCAAGTGCTCGGTTTGTGAATGAATCACTTTGGCAAAGAGTCACTGGTGTTGCAGTCTTGCATTATTCCAATTCGAAAGGACCAGTTTCTGGTCCTCTGCCGGAAGCGCCAAGTGATGTCTATAACCAGTGGGCAGCGATGACCCAGCCAAGAGCCATCAAGTTAGTGATGACTTCTGAGACCTTGATTTGTAGTATAAAATTTCATCATTATTCACTTTTATTCAGCCCTAAGCATATTGAGTCTGGATATGATACAGCTGTATCTGATAGCTATTTCACGCAGAACTACTTATTTTCATTTTAAAACATTATCTTTATATAGCCAAAATGATCTTTTAGACATCACCTATACTTCTGGAAAAAAAAAACGGACAGAGAGAGGAAACATCTGCTTTCTCCTCTGTTTTCGTTGTAGCAGGAAAATTAGTGTGATTCATGGATTGTTGCATGATTAATGGGGAAACTAGTAGTTAGGCCTGTGAAGTTGTTTTTCATGTTTATTTAGATTTAGCAAGTTCACAACAACTCCGCCAGGCGTAATATTGCTGTTTTCACATGGATTAGGCAAAATACAACTGCAAGTGGAGCTCGCCCAAATCCTCAGGGATCTTTCCACTATGGTCAAATCAATATTACTGAAACGTACATATTAAGGAGCTTGCCTCCAGCTACAATTGATGGAAAACTACGTGCAACAGTCAATGGAATATCATTTGTCAATCCAGATACACCAATCAGGCTTGCTGACCTGCACAAAGTGAAGGGAGTGTACAAGCTTGATTTTCCCAATAAGCCACTTGATAGGCCTCTCCGGATGGACACATCTGTTATTAATGCTACATATAAGGGGTTTATCCAGGTCATACTACAGAACAACGACACCAAAATGCTGAGCTTTCACATGGATGGTTATTCGTTTTTTGTGGTTGGGTAAGAATGTCTGCTATCTTAATTTGTTTACCGCTTGGCTTTTGAAACACTTAAACGATCTGTTTGTCTCAAATGCAGAATGGACTGGGGGGTGTGGTCTGAGGACAAAAAGAGTTCGTATAATAACTGGGATGCTATTTCTCGCTGCACAGTAGAGGTTGGTTTATCTATTGGAAGGATCTGTCACTACTCACACCCAAGGAAATGACAATTGATTATATATATTCTTTACCATAAATTGCTTAAATATATATACTTCTATATATCAATCAGAATGTTAAAAAGATTTTATGTAGAGTTCGGGGAAAAAAAGAACCATCTCCAATAACTAGCTAGCAGTTTCTCTGTAATCTTGAAACATATGATTGTTACTTTCCATTTACTCCTAGTTTTTCTATTTTGTAGGTTTACCCTGGGGGATGGACAGCAATTCTTGTCTCTTTGGACAATGTCGGAGTATGGAATCTCAGAGTTGAGAACCTTGATCGATGGTATCTAGGCCATGAAACATACATGAGAATCATCAATCCTGAGGAAAATGGTGAAACAGAGATGGGTCCGCCTGATAATGTTAGATATTGTGGCGCCCTTCGTTCCTTGCAGAAGTATGTATCTCTGAAACCTTCGTACCAAATAAATCTGTGTCTGTTGTTAGTGGCATAACTAATACTACTGTTTGTTGCTTCAGGACTGATAATTCTGCAGCTATCTCTATTCTTATTAGTAAGCTGGAACTGTATATTTCTCTGCTGATGGTACTCTGTTCCTCATTTTTCATTTTCGTCTAAACTCCGGGTGGTTGGATATGACTTGAGAGTCATCTGTTATTGGCAGTGGGAGATTGGCCTGTTGTAGGTGTGATGGATGTTAAAGGATGGGGGAAACTTGCAATGCATAGTTTGGATTAGCTTTGCAGAGCTCAAGATTTTTTTTTTTAATAGCGATTGTTGTTGATGACATTTTATTTTTTGGATTTTTTTAGAATGAGTGTCAGGTTTTAATTGTAATTTAGGCCACTGGGGATCCATCATTTTTTAATGTCTCTAAACTATATACTGAATGATGATTAACCCTTGTTTCAGTACAATCTCACCTTCATACATGAATTTATCAATGGTTGTGGGCTGGATCCTGATGGGCTCTCCAAATAAGAAACCGGATAATTGACAGTCTTGTAATGGGCCCCTGCTTTTCTATTCTCCCGAGGGCCCAGGCTGATTGGTCTTTGATGAAATAATGAAAGTCATATAATCCGAAAATTAAGGTAATTTAAGCCGCAAAGCAAACAGCATCATTAGCTAGATCAGCGGTTGTTATCTAAATTTGTAGCAGAATGTTTAAATAATTACTAGCATAAAACAAGTGCAAATCAGAATTGGAAACATCTGCTGCTGATGCATATATGTTTGTGTCTCAAGTTTTGATTTGACCAATTTGACTACTGATGCATATTATCTTTAATTGATTAATTAATTAATAAAATTGGTATAAAGTACTATAAAGGAATACAGACAGAGAAGGCATGGACTTGAACATAGATTAATTGTGGATGGAAATTTAAAAAAAAAAAAGGGAAAAAGAATAATAATAGCAGAGTCACATGGAGTTGTTTGAGCCTACATGATGTTATCTTCTTTCACAAACAACAATTTTTAACAAAACCCTAATTATTGACTCACACGCCGCTTGTCCTTTGTTGGTTTCATGCCTTGAGTTAGTGGTTATTATGGACAGGATATATAGCCTTTGACTTTGCAATCTCTCTCTCTCTCTCTCTAACATGATGCGATATGAACATATGTACCTTACTTCGGAGTTGAAAGTTGAAAGTTGAAACAAACAAATATCCACGTCAAATCTTTAGCTTTTATTCTTAGGATTCCTTCTGGTAATAACTGCTTTTCTTTTCTATGGCTGTTGTCTGTTGAAGAGCCGGCCCGCTCTTTAATGAGTATGGTTTTTTTTTTCGGAAATTTCCATTTGCTTTAAAATGAACCTTCTATTCTATTAGACCACTAAATACTATATATAGCGTTTCAAAGCTGATCTTCCAATTTTCAAAGAAACCCATTCTCAGTTTGTCACTTCCCTGCTATGTATCTATAGCTACTATGTTAACTACTTAGTCTGATCCTTCTCTACTTCCAAAATCCATGCTCTATCTATCAGTCCACCTGTGCACAGTTATATCTAATGCATTTACGGTAGGTTTTTACATTTAGTTTCTTCTGTTGAAACACGGAGTTTTATATAAGGATACTCGCTTCATTGGTTGTCTTTTTCTTCATTTACCCCATTTTTTTCTTACATAAATGCTATTTTGAAGCTAGCTAGATGAAATCCATATATACATAGCTTGTTTCCTTGCTGTAAAAGTAGTGGTGCTAGGTTTTCTCATTCTGTAGTCTTTCTGTCCCAAGTTTCGTTGGTATTCCATGGTTAAATCACTCGAGTTTTTGCTAATCAACTGAAAGTAATTTTTTCTTCTTGGGTATATAGAACATGAAAGATAATTGAAAAATAATCAATACTACTAGTTAATCGTTACTTGTTTATCTGTCTCGTAAATGTTCATCGATCTTTCACTTTGAGTCAAGAAACTTATTATGCAAATCTAACATATATATATATATAGAAACTTATTATGTAGTAGTTTATATATTTTTTCTCATGACTGTCGCTCAATATTAGGTTACTATACATGTGGGAAAATTGTCATTTTTCATTGTCCGACCTGAGTAGTTTTATCTTTTAAAGTAATTTTTTTTTTTTGGCTTAATCTTAGCGGATTTGGATTTGAGGAGTGCCTTGTACGTTTAATAAGGGTATAAAGACCAAATTTTTGCATTTCTCAAACTTACCTGCAAAGCATTCTAACCATCATCAGATTACACTATCGTCAAAATCTTGGAAAAGTGCACCTTTTCTTTTCTTTTCTGTTTCCCATTGATGTATGCTTTCTTTTTGAGAATTTTCATTGATATACTTTCAGTATTTAGTTGTTGGATCATATAATAACCTGCAAAGCAAACTTAAAATTAAATGATCAGTTGAAGTACTCTTGTTAGACCAATAACTCAATTCCTTTCCATTGTCAAATTTCCAACGACACTAATACATATCTTTGTTTTACAGCAATGTAAAAAGAAAAGAAAAGCTTTATTCTAACATTGTTTCATCAAGTTGACGATACAAATATGTCTTAATCGACCACCCAGTCGATTCTATAAGCAGCACATGTGGCTACTACAGAGTTCAGGCCACTGGCTACATTAATTAAAAAAATGCCCTTACGTACAGACAATGATACTGCAACACTTGCCTAAAAATATCAATTCATCTTACAGTGACATGATGAATTTTCAACTAACTAGCTAATTTGGCTGGTAGGAATTAACTTAACTCTACGAAAACAGTTAAAGTTACATGCTTTTAGCTTTTATTATGTACATGAACTTAGATATATAGTAACTTTTTTCTTTAATTAATTACCTGAACATATTCTATGATCAATATATATACTGTTCCTTAATTTTCAATAAAATAAGTGTCACTTCCAAAACTCAATTTGACAACCAGGTGCTGACGTCGAAGCGTTATCTTTCGTCGATTCTTGCTTGTTCAATTGTCTAGCAAGCATATGTGCCTGATCTGAAGCATGGAAGATGCTGGCATTAGGTGCATTTGAGTAGTTATTATTTTGCTTAGGTACGTCGTCTTGGCTTAATTGAGAAGCAACAAACTTGTCTAGCACTCTCCAATCGGTAACTTGATCAACTAATGTTCCCCCATTATTATTATTGTTATTTTGAGTATTATAAAGAGATGGTAAGGTTCGGTCACGTGTTTGATGAGGATGCTCATCTGGTGAAGATTGAAGAGTGGTTGTCTGGTTTATGTCTAGTCCATATGCAGCAATAGAAGTGCAGCTTACAGTGGCAGCTGCAGCTGCAGCTTGAAGCAGTTTAGGGTTTTGTAGAAGTGGGAGCTGGAGAAAGTGATCGTGAGGAACCTGATACTGCAACTCTAGCTCTTTCTTGCAGGAGTAAGATAAATGATAAGCCAAATCAGTCTGTGAGTTCCGTTTTGGTGAATCCTCTTCTTGCATGAATGGAACTTGATCGTCGTACCAGCTGCTGCTTGATTCATGCTCGCTCACTTTCCTCATCGTTGTCATTCTCTTCTTGAATACTCTGCATGCAACCCACCCTTCTTCCTGCTTCAAGTATATAAACATCATATGGTATCAAACAAGGTTGTCTAGCATGAAAGAGAGAGAGAGAGAAGGAAAATAAAGCGGCAGTTTTATTTCTTTAGGTAGTTTTGAAACGTTGAATTGATAGTTGAAATACCGGGAAAAATGAATTACAAAGAATTTTTTTGTTCATTATTTGTCTTGTTTGTGAAATTATAAGTTATATTTAGACAAGAATGATTTATTATTACAATTTCAAAGTAGACAAATATCAAGTATATAAAATAAGTATTGACTGTCCTCATAAATGTCCAAAACTTTTATCAATGAATTATATCTACCTCAAGAGAAGGGAGCTATGATCTCATTTGCTATATAAATTTAGGTCAAAGATTTGAATTTAGATCTATTGTAAGATATTATATACACTTACCACGTCAAGTTTCTTAGTATGAATATACATTCAACTTTACTTTGTAACAGATAGGAGGCTGGCAATAAATGTAAAACAATAGTTAATAATACTAAATGTGAAAACTTGCCTGTGGAGTCCCATTTTCATCTGTTTCGAGGCGGTACTCGTGCATAATCCAGTCAGATTTCTGTCCATTTGGAGCACGACCTTTGTAAAAGACTAAGGTTTTCCTCATTCCAATCAAGTCATGCTTTGAATATATAGCTTTGTCTCTACCAGTTGCTTTCCAAAATCCAGCAGCAGTGGCTCTGTTCGTGCGAGTTCCTGTCGGATACTTCTTATCTTTATGACTAAAAAAGTACCATTCATTTTGATTTTCTGTTCCTATTCGACATATTTCTGTTCATGTTCATGCGTACAGAATATACAAATTGTTAGGAATTTGCATGATAAATAAATGTTGAATCCTCAAATGGATTTGAAAAATCAATTTTCAACTTAAACGTTAGCACTATATACCTTGCAGATCCCACGGCTCGATCTTATACAGATCGACATCTTTAATGACATCTAGGTCAATTCTTCTTGAATTTACTTTTTTCCTAAGGTAGTAATCCACAAGTTCTTCATCGGTGGGATGGAACCGAAAACCGGGAGGAACATGTGAGAAAGCACTCATGTTCTTCACTCCTGTACGTGTTCCATTAATTCAAGCACCATGTTAGAAACCTACTTTCATATATCAATTTGATTAGTTAATTAACTTGCTCCCATTGGTTAACTTAGCAAGTTGAACAATGTAATAAAAAATGGGGCCTAATTGAATTGAACAAGAAAAGCATAAATAATACTAAGAACAACAATAATAAGATTCACACACACACGCACACACATATGATCATTACAATTGATAAATTCTGTGAAGAACATAAGAATTAATGGCGCAACCAATTATGAAACATCAAGTTAATTCTACTTTCACCATCCATAAGGTTCTTAATTGTTTGAAGTTTTATCAAATGGTCATTTTAATACAGACAAAGTTCTCGTGCATATTAAACAGATATGCTAGTTTTAGAATTAACTAACATGAAAAATCAAATGAAATATTGATTTAGGTTGACAATGAAGATTATGCATCCCCATAGTTGTAACTGTGGACCTAGTCGGAGAAAGATTTAATGTTATTGTTACGATGATAAATGAACTAATTATGAAGTCTTCAACTTGGTTGAAAGAATTTGCTTTTCTTGAGGTCTATTTAGATTTTAGAGTACATCAGCCAACCGCTTCTCAACCCTCTAATTTTCAATTCTTTCATAAAATAGATATATATATATATATATATATTAAAATACATAATCCCAGCTTATAAAAGAAAAAAAAAGAAAAGAAAAGAAGACAAAAATTGCGATTAATAGATATATGATATGAAAAAACAAAATAAATGGAATTGATGTGATAATTCTCATACCGTATAGAAATGTTTTATATGAGTTTTATTATATGCTATGTGCAACATTAGAAAAACTTGCCTATATGATGTGATTGCCAAAGGACAAACAATAATGCAATATTACCTTTAGGACAAACAAATTATGAACGCCTCTTAGATAGGTCATGAAATTAAAGTGTAAAAGAAATACAAATGAGAAATTATTTTTCCATGAGAATTCTCGTTGTATATACATGTATATAGCATTTCAAAATCATGAAATCTTCGTGGATAAGCAGATCTGCATAAATATGAAACCCATATCCATACTCTCAAATTATTTATCTTTCAGCATAAAACACTATACTTTAAAGAAATGAGAAAAGAAAATGAAGTGGGAAGAGGGATAGAGAGCTTACTTATCAAAGCAACCGCGATTTCTAGACCTTGTAACCACAGATCTATGTTGATTGAATCTTTCCTTCAATTGAAGAAGCCGAACCCTGTTGCTCCAAAAATAGAACTACAACCCCTAAACTGGAAGCAGCTGAACTTCAGACAAGAAACCAAGAAAAAAAAAAAAAGAAAGAAAAGCAATAATGAAGATATTAATTTCCTCGGGAATTGAACCACAGAGCTTTTTGTCCTCCCGCACAAACAGTTTCTGTCGAGTTGTCGGATCAGATCCCGAGGAAGAGAAGAAAACTCCTAGAAAGGAAAGGAAAAGAAAAGAAAAGGCGAGAGAAGAATGGAAGAAAGGATACTAAGTAGGGTTATATAAGAAGGGGAAAGCGGATGAGAGAGAAAGGGCAAAAAGAAACAAAAACAAAAACAGGAACGCTAATGACAAATTATTGTTATCATCATCTTTGTAAGAAAAAAAATTATGTTCAAAATCATAAGCTCTCGTTGTCTCTCACTGTCGGATTTAGCTGAATTGGTGGACAAGATTTGGGCTGGAAAAAAGGAGGCGCGAATATTGGTTCTTTGGATAGAAACTAACCCTTATAGAAACCCTTCACTACTGCCACCTCTACCCGCAACTGATAAAGACTCTGATCAAAATATATTCTTCTTCTTCTTCTTCCTGGTCTATTATACAAGAAAGACCAATCAAGAAAGCTTAAAAGAGACAAGAAGACTCTAAAAGAAAGAAAGAAAGAAAGAAGAACAATAATTAGCATTAAAAATGGGTGGTGACGTAATGGAACAGGCACCAGCCAAAAAGTGATTATACACGAAGCTCACATAATATAAGCACTATATATCTCTCCCTCTATTGGATGTGGCATGGTGGCCCACGGTGGCCAGAACTCCATTTCCTCTTCCCTACCACATTAACAGTGATAAAATGAGAATGATGATGTTGGATCTAACCATGGCTATGGGTCTTATATATGGATGGTGGTCCGCCACCAATAGCTGTGGTCGTAGAATTGGCTAGTCTTTCTTTGTTGCCCCATCTATATTTGGGTGAACTGATTGGTGACTTCTATCATTACCCTAATAACTCATAGTTTTCCCATAAAAAAACACACACACACACACATGTATATTTCTTTATAATTATTTGATGCAACAGTTTTTCTTGCTATTGTTGAACCATCCAAGTCTGTACCTCTATTAATCTCCATAGTCATATATGTATATATATATATTAATCAATTTCCTCATTATAATTTCTCTAACATTTCGTTTTCTTTTTGGGATAGTAAATATAAATGTATATGATTATATTCTCACACTTAATCAAAAAAAAAAAAAATAATGTTAATTTTTTTCTTTTGGTTACAGAAACAATGTTAATTTAATTTTTCTAATTGAAGCTAAAATTAAAATTAATTTAATTTGTCTACTTCTAGTTAATTTAATTTGTCTACTTACCATTCACAAATTTGAGTTTTGCTTGAAAGTTTAACAAATCAAACTTGAATAAAATTTTAAGGTTGATTGTTAAAAAAAAAAAAGCTCAATCTTAAGCTCGAGTAACAAGTTAAACATATATCAGCTAATGTGATGCTCGACTTGATTCAATTCGGAATTTTAAATATTTTTAATATGCTAAAAAGGAAAAACACTTATTTACACCAAATATATGGGTCTACCCATGTACCGAAACAATAACAAGTTATTATCTCAGAAAAACTATGACAATTTTTTACGATTTTATATTATCATTTTGAGTAAAAATAAGGAAAAATTTTATCTAGACTGAGTTCATGACTCTACTCATGGATCAAACCAATGAGAATAAATTTTTTTTTTATTGAAATGAGAGTATTTCTGACCATACATTAGGAAAAAAAATAATAAAGTCCAGACATTTTTGAACAATCTTTACTATTATTGGTTTAGTTCATAAACGTGATTATGGACTCAGTTTAGTCACATAATTTCCAAAAAAAAAAAAAAAAAAAAAAAATTTGTCGATTTATATCATTTGAAAAAATAAGGAAAAATTTTATTCTAGACTGAGTTCATTGACCTCTACTCATAGAGATCAAACCAATGAGAATTAAATTTTTTTTTATTGAAATGAGAGTATCTTCCTGCCAGTACATACTAGGCAAAAAAAATAATAAAGTCCAGACATTTTTGAACAATCAGTTTACTATTATTGGTTTAGATTCAACTAAAACAAGTGAATTATGGCACTCAGTTTATTCAAATAATTTTCCAAAAAAAAAAAAAAAAAAAAAAAAGACCTCCAATTACTTTATTTATATCAAAACTAGTTTTAAAAAAAAAAAAAAAAAAAAAAAAGACTCCAATACTTTAATTTATATCAAATAGTTTTATTGAATTCACTTTGTGTATAAATGAGTTCATATACAAAGTGTAAGCAACTCGTATCGTATTAAAAATTATTATTAAACTTACTTACCACAAAAATATCTATTTGGACAACTATCTCTATATTATATTTTAACAAAGTTTGAATTAAACGAGAACCTTGAAAGGGTTTTCGTGATTGAAGATAGTCGTTTGATAATGTAATAATGTAGTTACCCCAGAATTCTATTAGAATGCTAGTAAAACTCCATAATGTCCCTACTTAACTTCCAAAACCGCTTTAACCCTATTCTTTATATTTTTCAACGTATCGGTTCTGCTCGTGACCGATACGTTTCCATGCCACCTTCCAAAGTCATAATAGCACACGGTTTTTCTATATTATTATATGCAAAGAAATATCTTTCAGCTTAGTCCCTTGTCACGGAGCTCAAGCTCCGTTCTAACCGCTCATAGTTTCATTCCCGTCCCGTTCCGTCTTTTGAAAGGAAATGCAGCAAAATTTCCAATAAAGGCTTATAATAATAAAATATGCATACAATAATTTGTGGATAGTAAGCTCAGGTTACTACCTGGCGCAATCAAACTAGGGTATTAGTGGCTATGACGATGACGATTCAAGGAATGTGACAATTCTCCAAAATGAAGCCGGCTGAGGCGGAGCCGAGCCGGAGGCAACGGTGGAAAACGGGAACCACGCGGAGGAGAGAATGATTGGAAAATGGGCACACTAATCTCTGTACGTGGCGGCTTGTTGTCTGTACAAGGCTAGCCACTATCATTAATCTCGCAACTTGCGGGTAGTAATCTATGCTGAGTTGTGCTTATGGGTCCCCCACTCTACTGGGTCTTAGTGGGTCCTACAGTTATCTTGGTGGGTTCGGCACCTTTGTCCCCCCCTCGGCAATGTGGGTCCCTTCTTTTCTATTTTTCGAAATTCATTGCCCATTCGAGCTCAACTTGTTGGGATGCGAATTCGGGAAGAAAAAAATAGGTCATAATTCAATTTGGCTGAGCTAAATAGATGAAATAATTAATGACGGAAAAGGAGCTAATTGATCTGTGTTTCTTGTTAGAAATGTTGATTTGGGAACTCAAACGTAAGTTGTTTCAATTAATCAAACATAAAAATAAAATTCAAAAAGTTAAAAAAAGAAAAAAAAAAAAAGTGAATTTGCATTTGTTTCATTAACAGTGGTTTCCAGCTTCCTAAACACACATGATAATGCCATTAATAAGCTAAAAGTAACTATATCAACATGTTAGAAATCTTTCAAGCTTTCTTTAAAGGAAACAACATTGAAATTAAGTTTTGAGATATCTCATGATTTATTGAATAACATTATTATTTTTGGTGACATATGATTTTTAGTAATTTAATTGCTAGCTTGTCCACATCTTAGATATACATTGAAGCAAAACAACATGTTTTTACATTACTATTTAACAACATCAATTGGAAATTAAGTTATAACTTGTACGCGATGTTTTTATTTTAAATTTACTTTATTAATTAAGCAAAACAAAAATATCATTGTTTTGGTTGGGAATAAATACCCATCTCCAAATACATAATTACTATTGTATAATTAATGCATTTTCTCTACTACATGTTCCTTTCTTGTAACACTAATTTATATCTCTCAGGCAATTTATATATATGGATAGAAGTAGAACTGAACCAAAAAAAAGAAAAGAGGAAGAACACGTGATGGAAGCATATGGGAGAGAACAGGCATGCAATTTTGTCCTTACCCAACTAAATTCAAGAGAATAAATGAAAAAAAAAAAAAAGAAAAAAAAAAATACCCAACATATAATTCAATAGAGAAAAAAAAAAAAAAAGAAAAAAAAAAAGGAAAAGGATCAACATTGCGCTTTCCATGATGTGGGGCTATGATTCAATCATGTGGGTCCACCGATTTCATCATTACGGCTGTAAGAACATGATTGTATCGGTCCGCACGTTTCGGGTGGAGAGTGTAGCTCCGTTAAATCTGACGTGGCACCGTTACGATGGCTGAAGTTGGCCGCAACCGATACGGGATGCTGCTTCTGTAATGCTCCTTGGGCCCCACCAAGAGATTTCTTTCACCATCATCAACCGAGGCCCGTTTCCCCCTACATATGCGGATCCTTGTGGCTTGCCCTACCTGCGAGGTTTCTATTGGTCGTTTTGTCCTCTGGAATTTACTAAACGACGAGTTTACCCTTGTTCTATTAATATTATATTCATTGTTGTTATTATTAACGGCGGTTGCAACCATGTCTTACCCTAGTCAACTAGTATTTTTATATTTTTTTTTAGTATATAGTTATTTTTGAGCCATAAAACATTCTTAATTTGATAATGAATTAGGTACACGACCACCGATCTATTAATTAATTCAATGATAATAAAAAAATATTAGATATATAGTGTTTGATAATTTTAAATTAAATGTTTAATTTAATACCTTAATTTTAAAGGTTGAATTGTTTAAGAGGTGAAAATTTTAAAATCCAAAATTGTTTAAAAATTTATTGACTTATTTTAATTTAATTAAAAATTCCGAATAATATATTAATAACATATTATCGAACGGAAAATTTTTAATTTTAAAAATTGAATGGTGCTTTCAAATTCTATCTTAACAAATCTATTATCAAAGCTTTTGCGGTTATAATTACTTATTAACAAAAAAAGTTCAATCATATATAATTTGTTTGAGGTAGTTCATTTTCCATTCTTTTTTTTTTATATATTTATATATTAAAAAAAAGGAATTTACACTTTTCAAAAAAAAAAAAAAGGAATTTGACTCGGCAATGTCATGGATTTGCCTTCACAAAATCATAAAAAGAATTCGCAACTTATGATCTATCATCATCAAGAAAGATTTTTTTTTTTTTTTTTAATTTTAAAAAAACATCCAATGAAGTATTACAGAAAGATAGGCACAATGTTTATGGCATTGTATCTTAAGGTTGAAAATATTTGTTTACATGCTCATGAAAATGGTTTTTATGTAGAAATAGAATTAAAATTTAATTAATAAAGATAAAAATTTTGAGAAACTGATTCATTTAAAATAAAGAGATCATCAATGAGAAGAAGAAGCAAAATGGCATTTATTAAGTCCATATTAATCCTCCATTATACTACACAAATATTCTTCAAGAAGCAGTTGAATTGAACTAGAGGGTAGCTGTGGAATCAAAAAATCTAAAATATCTATAGACAGTATAATGTACCTGCCAGAAGTATGATATACTCAAAAAACAGAGTATAAATACAGGTAGGCCATATGTGATAGATCCATATATTGTACATAATCATAATAATATTGTACAGAGATATAAAGAGATGACAGTTTACCAGCCTTTCATACTGAAGAAAAAAAAAATATATAATAAAATTTAATAATAAATAAAAATACCATAAGGCACAGTTCATCGGTCCTCCACAAACCTTATTATATCTTTATACCAAACCCTGCAAACGTGATAATCTCTTCAATGCTAAATTAGAGGTTATGAGAGGCAAAATGTTGTTTTTTAAAATTTGGAAGTCTTGTTCACCGTTACCAGGTTCAGCCCAAAACTTGCTAAAAAATTTCAACTCATGCATGCATTTTTCCTTATCATGCATGGAATCCACAATTTTTTTTTTTTTTTTTTTTTTTTTTTTTTTATCACTAGGAATTTCACAGGTCCTAAAATGTGAAAGGGTAAAACAGCATCGTATTTTTCATACTTTGTCCTTATAAATCAATCTTTAAGAGCATAAAACTAAGTCGAGGTGAAACATAAACGAAGGAATATTAGATTTCTGAAAGTAGTTCTTTCTGTAATGATAGTAAGATTCAAATTAAGATGATACACATGATATGATGATATGATGGCGACCCATCCATGATGGTAGGTCTTACCTAAATGTGATAATGCAACCTTATTTGAAAGTTCAAGAAGAGACTATATATATTCTGACCATTTGAATGATATAATTAAGATGTTCAAGTGATGCTATCATATCATATTTAGTACAATCACACAATTGATGTTCCAATCAATTTATTAGTCAAAATTTTCTTATTTAGTTTGCCTTTCATGTGTTGCTATTACATATTAACTAATAAACTCTACATACAAACATAGAAGTTTCAATCTCAATAAACTCTCTCTGCTAGAAAAATCAATCAAAAGCTTTGGAGCTCAAAGATGCCGAGACCAGTTTATAGCTATATCATTGCAGCTTTTGTCATATCTTAGCATCATTAATCTTTTTTCACATTCAACTAGAAGAAAGTCTTCGATCTATTAACAATGATTGGTTTTCTTTTCGTCTTAAGATGTGGGTTATTCCACATTATCCATAAGCAAAATGTAAGAATATTATTTTGATTTATAACCCACATTTTTCCTATAAAAAAATTTTATAATTGACTGAGAATATTGATGTTGGAAGGAGATATACCATGTAAGAATTTTCCTTCTAGATTTATCTCCTGAAAATGAAAAGTTTAACCTAAAATCAATAATAAGGGAGAATTTGTAAAATAGCGTTATGGTTGCATGTCACCTTCAAAATAATAATGCTATAATAAGTGTTATGATATATGAATGAGAAATGAAAACAAATAAAGGTGAAGAATGAAAATAAACCATGATTAAGTTTTTTTTTTTTTTTTTTTGTGAACTATAAGGTGCTTATTTTAGCCAGTCATTTTGATTTATTTATAAATATATAAATATAATTTATGTCTTCCTTAGTTTGGGCTCGTGGCACCATGTATTGGGCCGATTGGATTTGTGAAATTGTAAATTGGGTCTTTACTTTGACCTTTAAGTTTAGGTTGGCCCAATACAAATACTACAGTATGTATATATAATCAGAAGAGTCTTGTTATTACTGCAAAGAAATTATTCTGGGAACTTTCAATTAAGTACAATGAAAAATGATTGAAAAATTCAAAGAAGAAACAAATTAAAAATTACAGTTAAAAAATAATTTAAAAGAAAAATCAAAGACCGGAAGTGAAAGGGACGCTGGAGGCAGGCAACCATGATCCGCCGGCAATAAAATTAGCAACAGTAAACCTGTTAGCTTCAGTAGAGCTTGTTATAACTCTATAGCCACGCCACGTAACCCTTCCACTGGTTGAAGCAGAAGGACCCACATTCTTATACTCTCCGTAGTACAAAGTGTTTAGCGCAAAATCACCGTCCCATTCGAGCCATCCTGCTGGATCCACCAAAGAATCCAGGTAAGTTTGGAGATAAACTGTTCGAGAATACTGCTTCCATGGCCTGCCTAAATATGTTTTGAATGAGCTAAGCACTGGTTTAAGGTCTGGTGAAGCCATGACTCGAGAATTATGGATTGAAATCCCTGTATTTTGATTTGGGTCGGTTCTGCCTTGAGCTGTTACTACGTTCTTCTGCTTGTCCATTGGCCTTCTTGCGTATATCATGCAGTTTTGCAAAACGACAGCTGCGTTGCCAAATATGAAGTCTACGGTGCCGTATATGTAGCATTCTTTGTAAAATTGTCTCTGTGAGTGGACGTACAAGGTGTCTTGGTAACCCTCAAAGCCGCACCGGTAGAAGACTGAGAGATCGGAACCTGATCGGAGGGCTACTGCTTGGTGGTTTTGGGGACCGGCCGTGTTTCGGAATGTAATGCCACGCGCAATGAATCCATCTCCGGTCACAGCTGAAATTCATAATATAATTAAATTTCTTTAATAGATGGTTGGAATAATATTGGAAGAGAAAATTCTAGAGGTTCTAGAATACAATTTATTTTTCACGCTTTTACATTATCTATATGATAATGATAATCAATTCAGATGCCGTTTTCCAAATGTGACTTTTTCTTGATATCTATCTTTGTTAGAAAAATTGAAATTATCTCAAAGCAACACTTTAGAAGGAAAATAATTGATTTCATTATCTTTTAAGGTCAAGGTACTAGTACATTTTTTTTTTCACAATGAATTAATTAACTAGCTAATTTTTTTCCTATAGGTGGAAAATAAATGTTAAACTTTTACGTAGTAAGATACGTTTAACTTCAAAAAATAATCATTTAAGAAAAAAGATTTTATAAAGAGTGATATCAATAAACTTTGAGATGAGATTAATTTCATATTAAAAAAAAAAAATTAACAGCAGATAAAAAAAAAACCAAATGCTAGATTTGCTAGACTTTAATATTTTAAAAAGACCGCCATATGTTAATTAAACCAAGTCCATATGTCAACATTTTCAATAGACCGCGATATGTTAATTAATATTCAATGAAACATGTATAAACTGATCATAAATAAATAAAAATGCTAATTAACTTCCTTACCGACGGTTGCAGAGTTGAAAGTAGTAGAACCGCCTCCAACACTCCGGCTACCGGTGATAATAGTGTTCCTCAACCCATCACCAACAAGCATAATATTGATCATGTCGTTACCAATCTCAAGGTTTTCTCTATAAATCCCACTCTTAATATGTATCACAAACCTTCCACTTCCACTTCTCTTTGCAGCAGCATCAAGTGCTTGTTTTATAGTCCGGAAGTTCCCTGAACCATCTTGAGCCACCACAAGATTCGGCGACGGTGACGATGTCTGCAACAGCTTTCTATCGCCGGAAGTTACCCAATGAGGAAACCCATCTTTATATGTTTGTGGCAAAACCGATGTGGAGCTATTGTTTATAGCCAAAGTGTTACGTATTAGGCTAGAAACATTGTTAGACATAAGTGGTAACATAAAATCAGTAACCCCAAGCTCAACGAACCCAGCTTTACAAGTTTCAAGATTAGTCAAAGCTGTGCTTAACCATGTCTGAACATCGTAATCAGTGCATTTTGCGGATGGGTCGATTGTGTGGTTAAGGTTTATAATGGTGTCTTCATAGAGTTTCAAGCAATCAGCCAACGCTGCCTTTTCTTTTTCATTGCGGCATTTTTTGCCTAACCATTTGTTTTGGCTTTGAGCAGTTTGGGCTCTTTGCATGGCCAAGTCAATTGCCAACTTAAGAAAGTCGGATTTATTTTTTGGGAAACGAAAGTGGTTTCTGTTTTGAGCGATTTGGTTCATGAAATATTTGCATGGTTCAGGATTTGGGGTTTGGTTGCACCATGAATCTATGCTACTAGAGGCAACAGTAGATGATAATACTCTTGGTGAGAAGTACAAGAAGAGGAATATGATGGGTAAACCCAGCTTCATTGCCATTTGAGTAGGCTGAACGTAAAAATGTCAAGGTTATTGTTGATTGATATGAATTTGTGGAATATGTCAGTGTATATATAGGAGAAAGAAGACGAAGACGAAGATGGTGGCTCTAATGTGAAAGCTGGCTAGTTTGAATATATATGGATGAAAATGATAGTAAAGGAAAGAAATGCAAAATTTATAATTATTATAATTCAAATTTCATTTAACTTGTTTATTATTTGGAAATGTTATTTTAAATTAGGTTTAAAAAAGTATTTTAAACTTAAATATTTAACACCATTATCCTTTTCAGAGGATATTATTCTAAACTTCTAAAACATTACGTGGGGAAAACAGGCTCCATGTTTGAATGAATCGCATGCATATATTTTTGTTATCTCTTGACCTACCAATTTTCATGACTTACTGCACATTGGAAAAACTATATTCTATACTTGCCAGCGGAGCGGTGTTCTCTTCAACAATATATATATATATATATATATATATGAACTAAAACTACCATTTGATTAGGAGGAGGTGTGTTTGACTTTTCTATATCGTTGACCTTAATAGCCATTATCAATCCAATCAAAACGCGTCCCATCTTATAATCAAAAGTCACATAAAATTTAGCTAATCAGCTAGTCTGGTTAGCATTGTTTTTTTTTTTTTTTTATAAAAATATAAAGATAAGATATGGAGTTTGATTTTTTTTTTTAACGTATAAAATTTTTACTAATTTGATAAATTATCAAATTAAGAAAGAGCTATTCATATTATGTTAAGTATTTTTAGCATTTTGGAATCGATAAATATATAAAAAAATTATGGAAATCAGTGATATCAACTGACATTCCTATTACTATGAATTTTATTCAATTTTTAAACATTTGGCTTTATAGTATTAATAAAAATTTAAAACGCTTTAATTTGCCCACCGTCGTTAATTATTTATCCATGGAGATTCCTGACACTCAAAAAACAAATTCAACTATCTCAACCTTTCAATTTAATTATAATGGTATGCGTTGACCAATTTTATCATTTTGTTTTATCCTGTGTATGTCCCAAAATATTGTATCTTCGTTAACTTAAATCGTACGAAATGTCCTCAAGCCTTAAGCAAGCAAAGCCTAGTCATAGAAAGACGATTATCGGCCAATATTTACCATCTTGTCCCTCATATTATAACAAAAGCCCCAATCTTGTGAGTATGAGCCCAAATACTATTGATACTGACACTCTGATAGATACGGCCTGAACATCTTCTTCTCTGCCAGGGATAGCCCAAGCCCAACGCTTGGAAATTGGTTTTTTTTTTTTTTTTTTTTTCATTTTGTTTTATCCTGTGTATGCTCCAAAATATTGTATCTTCTTAACTTAATCGTACGAAATGTCCTCAAGCTTAAAGCAAGCACAGCCGTAGTCATAGAAAGACGGATTAATTCGGCCAATATTTACCATCTTGTCCCTTCATTTATTATACAAAAGCCCCCAATCTTGTGGAAAAGTATGAGCCCATACTATTGATACTGACACTCTCGATAGATTACCGCCTGGACATCTTCTTCTCTGCCAGGATAGCCCAACCCACACCTTGGAAATTTGGTTTTTTTTTTTTTTTTTTTCAATTCATTGAGGCTTTTAAAAGCTGAAATTTAACAACAATACGGGCTATACAATAGGGGGTAGTCCTTCTATTGGTTTTTTTTTTTTTTTTTTTTTCAATTCATTGGAGGCTTTTAAAAGCTGAAATAACAACAATACGGGCTATACAATAGGGGGTAGTCCTTCTATTGACTCACCAAATTGGTGAAAACAACTGTAGTCTAGAGAGCTCAAATTCAAAACCTATCGCTCTTTTCATAAGTGAGAAGACCAACCAAACCATTACCTCATTGGCACTCTTAAATTGATTTAGGCATAATACAAAAATGAAATTAAATAGAAATTGAAAAAAAAAAAAACATAATTTGGAAATCTTTAGATTTTATATCTAAAATTTCCAATCTTCGGAAATTTAGATTTCTCAAACACAGTGCTTAAATGGGCTTATTCTGTTCTTCGTTAAATGTGCTTGTGTTCAAACTACAAAGAAACAAGAGTTATGTACAAAAAATTTCCAATAAAAATCAACGAACAAATACATTAAAAAATCACAGCATCGTAAATAGGGAAAATAATATTCAAAGGCCAGAAATGAATGGAACACCGGTGCCCGGCAACCATGACTGACCGGCAATAAGTCTTGCAACGGTAAAACTTGAAGCTACAATATTACTAGTTATGACATGATATCCTTTCCACTTAACCCTCTGTCTTGTAGAAGAGCCAGGCCCAGAATTCTTATACTCCGCAAAATACAAAGTGTCAAGAGCAAAATCACTGTCCAACCATTTTGACCAACCAGCAGGATTGATAAAGCCATCGATATAAGTCTTAAGAATCACTGTTCTTGAATATTGCATCCATGGCCTCCCTAAATATGTCTGAAATGATCTCACCACTGGCTTCAGATCCGGAGCTGGTAGAATTTGTGAATTGTGGATTGAAATTCCTGTATTCTGATAAGGGTCGTTTCGACCTTGTGCTGTGATCATATTTGCTTGGCCTTTTAGAGGTTTCCGTACGTAAATTATGCAATTCTGGAATACAACTGCTGCGTTACCAAAAATGAAGTCTATGGTGCCATAGATATAGCATTCTTTATAAAATTGTCGTTGAGAGTGGACAAAGAGAGTATCTTGGTATCCTTGAAAGGAACATCTGTAAAATACTGAGAGATCTGAGGCTGATCGGAGTGCAACTGCTTGGCCTTTTAAAGGACCTGCCGTGTTGCTAAATGTAATGCCGCGAGCGACAAAGCGAAGGCCATCAATGCCTGCAAGCAGTACAAACAAGTTGGTTTTTAGGTATAATAAAACAAGAATTTAGCATAATCAGTGGAAATTAACAATTTTTGGTTTGATATGGCATGTGGGATTAAAAGATTCTTGGATGAAATCATAACAATTCACATGATAACAGTGTATTTATTAATTAAAGATTTGCACTTAGAACCAGTACTGATTATTTGTATTTGAAATAAAACTGGAATATGGATCAATTGTGAATTAAGACTCCTGTTTTTTTAGCATTATCTAGACAGCTATACTCAGCCCACCACTCAACACCTTATCCACGAGGATCTAACTCTCAATCATATTTTAGGGAGAATGGTACCAAAATACTCATCTGACACTCATTGGTAAGTATTCTGATCTGAAAACAGTTTTGGAGGCAATTTGAACCCTTGTCTTTGTGCAATAAGGGCTATTTCGAAGGCTTTTTGTGGCTCATACAATAAGAACTGCTTACTTATGTCATAATATGAAACAAAAGTTAGGAATCATTACGTTGCGAGAAGAAAGCAAACAACCATTACCCACCCATTTGTATTCAAAGTAAAATATGGCACAACAGAAAGTTTTCCCTTTTGTCTACGAACTTCAGGAAAACTTTCTCTTACCCCCTGTTTTCTTCTTTTTCTTTTTCTTTCCCTGTTTCTTAGCGTATATATAGCTAAAAAGTCCAACTAAATGCAAATATATCTCCGATTTCTTGAAACAAATCTAAAAATTGATTCCCCTTTCCATTCTAATTAATTACCTACATATATTATTATTTCCTGTTTAACCATTAAAAGAAATTGCCTACATCTATAATTATATATTTAACCTATATATATATATTTTTTTGGAAAAAAAAGGCTCATAAATCACCTATAAGAACAAAACTGGCCATAACCCATAAAACAAAAAATTCTTACCAGCAGTTGCAGAACTGTACGTCGTATAACCAGCTCCAACACTTCTGCTACTGGTTATTATGGTATTTCTCATGCCATCACCAATAAGCCAAATATTATTATTATTAACACCAACCTCAATATTCTCTCTATAAACACCCCTCTTCACATGTATAATAAACCTTGTCTTATACCTCCTTTTCGCCGCAACATTAATAGCTGCCTGAATACTCCTAAAATTACCGGACCCATCTTGCGCTACAACCAGATTAGCCTTCGCTGCTACTGATGAAGATTGCAATAGTCTCCTTTCATTCATCGCAATCCATTTTGGAAATCCTTGCGTATAATTGTTATCTTCTACAGCAAGCAAAACTCCAGTAAGAGCTAAACTATTGCTAATGAGCTCAGATAAATTGTGGGACATAATTGGCATAATAAAATCTGAAACGTTAAGGTCTAAAGATCCTGTGCGACAAGTACCAATGTTGGTTAGAGCAGTGCTTAGCCAAGTTTGTGCATCGAAATTTGTACAGCTTTTTTTCTTCTTGGATTGTAGCCCTTGTAGAGTTCGGTTTAGTTGAAGAATAGTATCTGCATGGAGTTTATAACAATCGGCCCATACGGCTCTCTGTTGATGATTTTGGCATTTTGGTCTTAACTTGAAGACTTTTCTCTGCGCGGTGAGAGATCTTTCTAGGGCTATTTCGACCATTATTTTGCGGAATTCTGATCTGTGCTTTAACGCAGAGTGTCGATGCTGCCTTCGGTTCATGAAGTAATTGCATGGTTCAGGATATGGTGTCTTATTGCACCACCAGGTTAGATTGGATTTAGAGCTTTTTGAAGCTGCAATGGAGAAAATTGAAGATAAAATGAAGAAGAAGAAAAAAATTGTCAATGGCATTACTTTTATTGCCATGGTTGTTAGGTTTTTGGATATCGGATATGGGTTTTCACTGTTTAGGATTTTAAGGGCCTTAGTATCTTAGGACGGGGTTTCTTATATAATAGAAATGAAGAAAAATTAACATTGTTTGAGAAATTTAGAATTCTTTAGGGTAAATGAATGAAAATACAAGGTACAAAATATATTAAGAAATTACACGTTGTCTTTACTTGTTGTGGTGTCCAAAAGGAAACATGCCTCTACCAATTTGGCATTTGCGTAAGTTCTTTGTTGAAATAAATTATTGTTGTAATTAGAAAGAATAGTCATTCTTGTAAATTTGACATAATTAAGAACATAGAAATGCTCGCCTTTCTGTTAAATTACTAATTAATTAATTAATGGCGTAATCAACAAACGGTGTACTATAATCATTAATGAGCCGGCTAATTAAGCAATTAAAAAATTAAATTGCTACGAAGTTTCTGTCGGTTATTATTGTAAGAGAAAAACATGTCACGTAAAAGTAATAAAAATAAATAAAACAAACCCTGAACCTGAACCCACATGTGATAGCTTAACATATCAATTTCTGTTCGACTTTGATTGTAAATTGCAAGCAATTTTATTAGCAAGTAATATATTTCCTTGTCAACGCCTTAGTCCTAATTATGATAATGATAATCAAACCGTTGAGTGGGGCTGATCCGTACACATTATGTGTCGTAAGCAAAAATAAAACTTTATTTTACCGAAGGAAAACATCTATGATAATTTTAAATTAAAATTCCTTTGCTTATTTCTCATAGCAATATTAATAATAGAAATGTATTGCTTGTGAAGTAGATTGGAAGTAAGGGTTACTTAAAAGGAAGAAGCAATACATATTCAGCTATTTACTCAAACCATGAGTTTTCAAACAGGGCATTATAGTCGGAATGACCCATGTGATATTTAGTTTGCAGGATAAGCGAGAGCGAGGCGTCTCTTCTTTATGGTTCAAGGTTCAAACTCGTCCAATTTCAAGATCAGATAAATAAATTTCCCAGAGTCACAGTTTTCTTATGATGTCGCAAATTTGAAATATGAGGCTGAGTTTGAATTTTAAACTTCATTAGTAAAAGTTCTATTCTGTAAAATAAAGAATCAAATAAAACCTTGAAAAGTTATATATATGGTTTGAGAGTTGTAGAAAGGAGAAAGTACAGAAACTGGGTTTGACTTCAGAAAATTAATGAAAAGAGATAGGAAGATGTTCGACACTTGGAGTTTAAGGGATTAGTATGGCAAGTATGCTCTGTTTTTCCACGGACTGGATGTGTCTTAACATTTATGATGATTTTTCTTGAAGAAAAATCTGCTATTCACCCATTTTTCTTGAAAAGCTAAAAAGAAGATTTGTTGCTTTTCTCATTCAAACAAGAAAATAAAAGAAAAGAAAAGGAAATGTTTCTTTTCCGATTTCCATGGGTCGTTGATACACTATTTGGCATTTTGGATTTTCAGATGAAGTTTAATCACTTCAGAAAAGAAAAAAAAAAAAAATCTCTTTCAGGAAAATACTTTTTTTAAGCAAATTTTGCTCCTTACCATATATTTTTCTTAATCAGCAAAAAGATTTAACATTGTTGATGGTGAATCAAGGAAATTAAGTTAGCTAATTCGATTGTAATCCGAGTCAACCAGCCCGGTTTTACACCCGCACCTATATTGAATAGCCAAGTAAAAAACCTGACGTATAAAAAACTAATAACCATTACAAAATGAGAAATTGCAGGAACTTTTGTACTGGCCGGATTGAGTTGATCCCAAGGCTTTAATGGAATTTTTCATTTTTTTTAATTAATTAAGGTTTTATTTAGTAAATGATAGTATTATATAATAACATTAGTAATGTTGGAATGGGGATATTATTGGTATCTTATATTTAACATATAAAGAAAGAAACAACAAATATAAAAATAAAGAAAATCAAAAATCAAAAAATGTCAAATATATTTTTTTAAAATTTCAAAATAAATAGCATGTCTATAACTTTAAAAGACAAAATGAAATATATATTATTTTGAAAAACAAAAATACATTTAATTTAATTATATATTTGAAAAAGACATAATTAGTTTTGTCCAGTGTATTTTGCATGGGCCGATGTGGCCAGATCAGTTGACTTCAAAGTTCATTTACTTTTCTTTTTAGCTGTTGAAATTAACTTTTGAAAATCGTTTTATTATTTTCCTTTTGAGAATAAAATCGTTTTATTTTTTAAAATTTTAAGATACGTGTTTTTTGGAATGAAAGCAATCTATGCGTACAAGTCATGAAATCGCAATCCATGGTAGGTCAGATTTTAAAGAAGGAAATGCTAGGCTAGGGTGCAATTGATTTGGAATAGAATGAAACGAATCTTTTTTTAATTCTATTCTAAAATATTTTTAAATTTCAAAAATTCTAAAATCAAAATAAATAAATACTACAATTTTTTTTTTCCAAAACGATATCAGAAAATGCAATTTAAATCATAGTTTAAATATGAACGAGATTCTTGCAATGTCCTTTTCCATTTTCTACAATAAAAACTAACAGAATCAGTAAAGGATTCCAATTCCTATAAGTGAATAAACATTTATAATATTGACTAATTAAGCTTCTATTTATTTAAATTTATTTAGTTAATTGTTTTTGACATAATGGGTTTTTTTATTTTATTTTTTTGTAAATACTTAATGGGTATTTATTAATGTAATTATATCTCAATACCTTTTAAATAATTTAGTTTTGAAAGATGGAAGCAGTTGTTAATCTCCTAAAAAAAAATATATATAAGTTTACTCATTTAAATATTTAAATTCAAGTTTAATTGTTATTAGTATAATTTAAATTTAGTTCATTTAATAACATGAACTCATCCATGTACGTCTTATGCAACAAGTTTTTAAAAAAACAATTTAAGCATAAAAGATCCGGAAAAATTATTTTATCGTCCAAATCAATTAAAGAACCAGTTGCTACTATGAAAATTTATATCAGTCAAGATCATTTTGAAATGGAAGAATCTAATATTATTTTTTTTAATTTGATTTTATTATTCAAAAGAATACAGATAATTTTTTTAATTTGTTAAACAATAAGCGAACTTTCTGTTAATTATAATATTAAATTTTATGTCTGATCTAATTAAGTGCTTATAATATTTTATTTTTTAATGAATTATATTTCTCAAAATTAATTGTAATTAGAACATTAAAAACAAAATTTTTGAAAATAAAATTTATTTTAGAATTTCATTTTATGTTCTACCTATTATTTGTTTTAAAAATATATTCAATCTTAAAATTTATATTCAACGTTATGTTCGAATCAAATTTTGGAATGAAATTTTAGTTTGAAACAAATATATCAAATCAAATTACACTATATTCCATCAATTGATAAATCTCTAGGAGGAAGATTCTGAAAGAATAACTTTTATTAGTTGAGCCTAAATTTTTTTTAATAATCAACATTTTCACATTAAAAATTCTCAATTTAAAGTACTCAATAATTTTTTTTTTTTTCAAAAAACTCTGCTTTAGAATTATTTTTTATTAGTAACGCCAATTAATGAATTTGTGAGTTAATAATATTAATATTCATTGACACCAATTAACCATGTTTTGATATCCAAATTATGATGATTTTTGTAACGGCAATAAGCTGTATAATGATGATTTTTCTTTTCGAATAGATATTATGATGATTTATTATTCGTTTATTACTTAATAATATGAACTACTCTAACGTGTGTTTGGTAGTCAAAGAATGAAAAGTAAATGGAAGGACGTGAACATCCCCATGATGACCTGACCATCGAGGAGTCGTCTACAAGAAGAAGAAGAAAGCCATAAACCCAAATTATTCAGTGTAACTACCAACATTCTCCGCCTTACGCAGAGCCTCCGGTAGTGGCGCTGCCGCATTCCATTTTCTTCTTATTTCAAGCAAAGTATAGTTCGGGCGCCCATAGTGACTGAATATAATATCTTCTTTCTTTTTTCTATTTTAAATTTTTAATATTATCTATATAGTTCCCTTATTATATATATAAACAGTGAAAGAAAATTAAAGTGGGCTCTATACTTATATTCACCATATCCGTTAATATATGCTAATTATAGAAAGAGGATGAGGTTAGTATCACCAAGATTGGTGATGGCGGTAGTTATTATGGTGGTGGTGAGAGTGATTGGTTCACATGATTATGGAGATGCATTGACTAAAAGCATTTTGTTCTTCGAAGGTCAAAGATCAGGGAAACTACCCCCTACCCAAAGAATGACTTGGCGAAAAGATTCTGCTCTTCGCGATGGTTTTGAGATCGGTGTAAGTCCTTCTTTCTCTATTTGATTGCTTATTGTGATGGTGAAAGCGGTTTTGCTCATGTGAGTTCAAGATTGACGACGGATGCAGATTGTCGTTTTGGCTTTCTGTTTTTGTAACTGAAATAGTCTTTACTTTTATCTTTTTTATATTACGTGTTGGTTTTTATTTGATTCTTCTTTCTTTCTTTTCTTTTCTTTCACTGTTCTCCAGCAACCAAGTCCATGTGAAACTGTAACTCTTAACAATTTACAAGCCAAAATAACTAATTTTATGATTTAATTATCAAAATTATCTTTAATTAGGTTTTTGGTTTCGTTTACTCAAATTAAGCCCATTAATTCTAGTATTAATCGATAATTCATCTTTATCAGGTTGATTTGGTGGGTGGATATTATGATGCTGGTGACAATGTTAAATTCAACTTTCCAATGGCATTCTCAACAACAATGTTAGCTTGGAGCGTTATAGAGTTTGGCAATTACATGGGTCTTGACCAACAACATGCACTTGAAGCTATTCAATGGGCTACAGATTACTTTCTCAAAGCCACAAGCATTCCTGGCATTGTATTTGTTCAAGTTGGTGATCCACACGGTGACCACAATTGCTGGGAGAGACCTGAGGACATGGACACTCCAAGAACCCCTTTTGCTGTCTCCAAAAACTTCCCTGGCTCAGAAGTTTCTGCTGAGATGGCCGCTGCTCTTGCAGCCGCCTCCATTGTGTTTAGGCCTATCAACCTTGCGTATTCTGCCAAGCTTCTCAAAAGGGCTAGAATGGTAAGTATGTGAACTTTACTTAACAACAGAAAACTATTAATAAAAACGCAGTAATTAATTTGCTCTTTATGCGTGGACAAGATTTTTGATTTTGCAGATACTTACAGAGGATCTTATAATAGCAGTCTTGGAACTTGGGTGTGTCCATTTTACTGTGACTACAGTGGCTATGAGGTAGTCCCTTGTAAGTAATTAACTCTGAATTAAGCAAAACAGAAAGTTAGATTAATTAGTATTATGCTACAGGATGAATTGATATGGAGAGCTGCATGGTTATATAAGGCGACAAAAGCACCAAATTACATGAATTGCGTTTTGAATAACAGAAATAACTTACAGGAAATAGTTGTAAAGAATATAAATGGTGTGAGCTACAGTGGAGGTAGCTTTACTGAATTCGGATGGGACAGTAAGCACGCTGGCATTAATGTACTTGTTTCTAAGGTCCGTCTTTAATTAATTTACTTTGAAGTTATACTTCAATATATATGTTTATTTTTGCTTACAGAACCCAAATGCTATTACAGTTGCTACAGCAAAGTGGTACTTCTAATTTAGATCCATTTGTCCCCAATGCCGACAAGTTTGTTTGCACTCTGTTGCCTGAGTCACCTACTCTCTCCGTCTCGTACTCTCCAGGTTTTCTCTTTTCTCTAATTAATTAAACGTCGTCGATTTGGATAATTTCTGAATCCCATTTAGTTACCGTTGATAACTTTTTCATTTTTCTTGAAATGGTTATTAATAATATATAGGAGGACTTGTTTTCAAACCTGGAGGAAGTAACTTGCAACATGCAACGGCATTGTCGTTTCTTCTTCTAGTTTATTCTCGCTATTTAAATGAGGCCAATAGAGAGGTTCATTGCGGTAGTAACGTTATTGCCACTACCAACAAGCTTGTAAAATTCGCAAGAAGCCAGGTACTTATATACAGTTTATACGGGATTATATTATATGTAATTGAGCCTTATTCATTGTTCTAAATATAATTAATTTAATTATATAAGGTGGATTATATACTGGGAAGCAATCCATTGAACATGTCGTACATGGTGGGATATGGCAACAAATTTCCTCAACGGATACACCATCGAGGCTCATCTCTACCTTCAATGGCGGATCATCCTAGTCATATTGACCGTGAAATTGGAAGTCAATTCTTTAACAGTCGCAATCCAAATCCAAACCTGTTAGTAGGTGCTGTTGTTGGAGGACCAAGTGTTAATGATTCTTATAGTGATTGGAGACCCGATTTTATATATTCGGAGCCAACTACATATATTAATGCACCTCTTGTTGGTCTCTTGGCTTATTTCAGATCACATCCATCTCCATAGTGTGATTATTATTATTTTGTAAATTTATACTATATTAGTTTATAGGTACCCTTTTCTCTTAACCGTACAGTTACAATAGAAAATTTCTTTTGAATATTGTACATAGTAATATTTATAAACAGTAATATTTTTTTTTTCTCTACTTTCCTCTTGTAAATAATAATAAAATTGTACTTGAAATATTTTATGAGAAAAAAAAATTGAATTAGGTAGATATATTATAAATTATAGATGGATAATTTTACTTATTTCCTTTTAATTGTTCTTATTTAGGTTTAATAATCTTATTAGGAATGCTGTGCATTAATACTATATATACATAAAAGATACTATATATATACAAGTTGGATATAGATGACAAATCTACATGCACTGGTTACGCGATTAAGTTGACTTAACAATTACAAACCCATTGAACTGACAACAGAAACCCATTATAAGCCTATTACAAATTAAGAAATGAGAATTGAAAATCAGAAAAGTTAAGCAAAAATGGAATCACGGGCCATGCATCTATTGCGTATCTTGAAGCACTGATCCATTTTTCTGACGTACATTGCTGTATATATATATATGGAAGCTAGCTAACTTAATTAGCTAATCTTTCACACGAAATTTCCATGATTGGATCAGCCCATACATTATATATACATACAATTGTATAGCCGCCTCTGTATTTATATGAAGCTTTTTTTTTTTTTTTTGGATTAATTGAGAGATGGGAGGCAAAACTAGTAGCAGTAGTGGTAGGAGTATGGTAATGGTGCTGTTATTGTTGTTTTTAGGAATTCTGAAAGTGGAGTCACAAGATTATGGAGATGCATTGACAAAATCCATAATGTTTTTTGAAGGTCAGAGGTCAGGGAAGCTGCCCTCCACACAAAGGATCACATGGAGAAAGGATTCTGCTCTTCGTGATGGCTCTGATATTGCTGTAAAACTCTATTTTTGTTATATATAATAACCATTTTCATCTTTAATGTTGCACCTTATTTGATAAAAAAAATAATATTTTGTGGATATATATCTTTAATGGTCAAATTATTATTACTATTCATCTTCTTGCTTTGATATTAGCCTTCTCTCTATCACGTTTTTGTATGAAATGGATCTTCTCATTTATTCAATACTTTTAGTTTTACTTATTTATTTATTTTAGGTTAATAGTTTTAAACATTGATTTATTGAAATCATATTATAAAAGTTACTGAAATTTTGGTTGTAATTAAAATTTTTAAAACTCAATCAGACAAACAAATTCAACTAATGAAATAAAATTTTGCAGGTGGATTTATCTGGAGGTTACTACGATGCCGGAGACAACATTAAATTCAATTTTCCCATGGCTTTCACAACGACGCTATTAGCTTGGAGCGTGATAGAATTTGGGGCACTAATGGGCCCAGAGTTAGGACACGCAGTAGAAGCCATTCGGTGGGGAACTGATTACCTTCTCAAGTCCACCAGCGTCCCTGCCTCTGTGGTTGCCCAAATTGGCCAACCCTATAGTGACCATAATTGCTGGGAAAGACCTGAAGATATGGACACTTTGAGAACCACTTACGTTGTTAATCGAACACATCCTGGCTCTGAAGTTTCTGCCGAAACTGCCGCTGCACTAGCAGCTTCTTCTTTGGTATTCAAGACTAGAGATTCCGCGTATTCTAACATCCTTCTCCAAAGAGCTTTCTCGGTACAATTGATTCATCTTCGGTTGTTATTCCTTGTCCTGCATGTAGTAATCTAATCTAACCTAATCTGGTTTTGTTCATTTATTATAATTGATAATTAGGTATTTGACTTTGCCAATACGTACCAAGGATCTTACAATCTCAGCGTTGGGCAAGGTGTTTGTCCATTTTACTGCGATTCCAATGGTTACGAGGTAAATAATAATTAATATGCTTGGAATAATATGAAATATTTGTTTCTTCTCTAATAGAGTTAATTAATTATGTAGGATGAATTGATTTGGGGAGCGGCTTGGCTGTACAAAGCAACTAAAAATTCCAAGTATTGGAATATCATTCAACAACACATGCAATATGTAAAATTTATGTTCAGAACACGTAAAGATAGTGTTGATTCGCTCCGGTACCGCTTTGCTGAATTCGGATGGGACTCTAAAGATGCTGGCATTAACATACTTGTCTCCTCGGTAATTCTAATCTGATCCTATTACATGCACATTATAATTCAAATTTAATTTTTAATTAATCAAGAATGATGAAAGATGCTGGCATTAACATACTTGTCTCCTCGGTAATTCTAATCTGATCCTATTACATGCACATTATAATTCAAATTTAATTTTTAATTAATCAAGAATGATGAAAGATGCTGGCATTAACATACTTGTCTCCTCGGTAATTCTAATCTGATCCTATTACATGCACATTATAATTCAAATTTAATTTTTAATTAATCAAGAATGATGAAAGATGCTGGCATTAACATACTTGTCTCCTCGGTAATTCTAATCTGATCCTATTACATGCACATTATAATTCAAATTTAATTTTTAATTAATCAAGAATGATGAAAGATGCTGGCATTAACATACTTGTCTCCTCGGTAATTCTAATCTGATCCTATTACATGCACATTATAATTCAAATTTAATTTTTAATTAATCAAGAATGATGAAAGATGCTGGCATTAACATACTTGTCTCCTCGGTAATTCTAATCTGATCCTATTACATGCACATTATAATTCAAATTTAATTTTTAATTAATCAAGAATGATGTTTGTCAGGTGGGTTGCTATTCAAACCTGGAGGAAGTAACTTGCAACATGCAACCTCTTTGTCATTCCTTTTAATTGTTTACTCCACCTATTTACAACGAGTTGGTAGAGATGTTCATTGCGGCAATGTGGTGGTCACTCCGAGTAAGATTGCTAGCCTGGTAAAAAGCCAGGTAGCCACAAATTAAACTCTGACAATCTATTTAGTTTTTTACCTGAACCATTTTCTTCGAAGAAATTTGAATTATATGTGGTTGTTGCAGGTCGATTATATACTGGGTAAAAATCCATTAGGCATGTCCTACATGGTGGGATATGGCACAAAGTATCCTCAAAAAATTCATCACCGTGGCTCGAGTTTACCTTCAATTGAGAAGCATCCTGCGCATATTGGGTGTCATGAAGGAACCCCATATTTTGAGAGCAAAGATCCGAATCCAAATGTGCTTGTTGGTGCCGTTGTTGGAGGACCTGATAGTTCTGATCAGTTCGCTGATGATCGTTCTAATGCTCCTCAATCCGAACCTACTACTTACATTAATGCTCCTCTCGTTGGAATCTTGGCTTACCTTAAAGCATATCCATAGCCGTAGAACTTGTTAATTTTCATTTTCAGGTTTTTTAAGCCAGTAAGATCAAGGATGTATTAAGAAATAGGGTAAATACTATTTCTTCCCTGAGATTTGACCTTAATTGCTATTTCACCATGAAATTTAGTTTTATTAAAGTGTTTAATTATTTGGCTTGAAAAGTATAATATATTTAACACAATAATGACATTTACAACTAAAATGATTAAATAATTAACCGAAGCGCAAACCACACGGGTAAAATAATATATTTACTAAAAAAAGTGAAGTTTTAGAATCAAATTTAGAGATTAAGAGCCCGTTTAGAATAAATAAATTTTATAAAATTTAGTGGAATTCGTTTGGAAATCCAAGATGTTGCATTTTGAATGAAAAATAATACAGATTTGAATTCTACTAATTGAATTCTATGGAATTCGGTATGCCTAACTCAAAATTTTAATAAAATCGATGGAATTTGTAAATGAATTCCACAAAATTAACCATTGAAATATTTATTAACAAAAATACCCTCCACTATAAACTCAACTATTTTTAATTTTTTTTCCTTTTTATTTATTTTCTTTGGAAAATTCCAAACTATAACAATGTTTTTTTTAATCCAATAATGACGTTAGTTTATATTTTATTTTTTTTCCTTTTTGTTTTTCTTTTGGAAAATTCCAAACCAGTAATGCAGTTTTTTTTTTTTTAAGTCTAGTGATAACGTTAGTTATTATTACCATAAAACTATAAAAACTAAGCTACAATAATTGTTTTCAAAAGCAATTAAAAACACGCTAACATTCTTAATAATTTTTTTTAGCTTCAAAATCAATTACTTAAATCAACAAAATTTTTTACATCAATTAAAAATAATTATTATGATGAATGTTACTGCTTATATAATTAATTAATTAGCGTGGAATATTAATGTACTTATTTATATGAAATTTATTGTTTAATATTAATGTACTTTATTTATATGAAATTTATTGTTTTATTTATATGAAATTTATTGTTTATATTTAAAAAAAAAATGACAAGTTATTATATTGTACAAAATAAATATAATTGGTGTTTGTTATTTATTTTTATAAAATTATTATATCAAAGACGTTATAAGAAATAAAGACAAATGAATTTTCATTTAAAAATTTATTCCATATATAACTTTGTTGAATTCGATTGAATTCCTTATTTTTAGATTGTAGCGACTTGACTGCTACCTTAGCCAATAGATAAAACTACACAGACAAATTGAACGATTGGAAAGACCGGCTTTCCTATCAAACATAATAAATTCATTTACGAATGAATTCTACTTGAAATTTATTTAGAAATAAATTCTACGACAATGATTCATTTGTTCCAAACGGGTTATAAATAGTATTTATCCCAAAGAAATAAGTACATTTTTATTTGTAGAAGAAGTGTATTTGTAAAATAATTAAGGTTTATATGAAATATATTTTTAATATTGAAATTATTAAAAATAAACTATTTTCTTTAATTTAATTAAATTGTTGTTGTTGTACTAATTCTCCCAAATCCCTTTGTAGTATGAAAAATATTTCTTTTTATTTCAACAAAAAAATCAATTAATCTAATTTGTTGATTTTCAAAAAATAATTTATCTAAAAAATATTTTTTAAACTTTCTAATATTTGAGGTGCTAAAAATTGTATTTAACAAAAAATATTTTCATAACCAAATGGAAAGAGTAAGTCATTTAAAAAAAAAATTACTTTCTCATTTTAAAAGAAAACTACTCTCCCTCTGCTTTTTAAAAAAAAAAAAAAACTTTTCCATATATTATACGTATTTATTAATTTCGACCTATAGTCATCATTATCGATTTTCACTAATCAACACCAATGGTAATTAACGCAATTTATTACTTTTATACTTTTTTTCATATTTAATAATAAGTTTTTAAAAGATAACTATCTATATTTTAAATATCTATAATTATAATTTTTCAAATACTTTCATTATTCCGACTAAATAATAAAAATTGAATTATTTTCAAAAAATCCATTTAAAAAATAAATACAATTTATTTTTCACAAATAAACAGAGTCTAAAAATAAAATAAAATAACCTATGCATTTGGTCCTAAAATTAAAATTGAAACCAGCAGCGCCAATTTAAAATTTCACTCGACTGAATTTAATATTACATGAAAATTTAAGGACCAAAATGAGCTTAAGAGCGTGTAGCCTTCATAAAGGGGGCAAAAATAAAAAAGTTTATGGGGTCAAAATTGAAAATACGAAACTCATAATTATTTCGTTTTCAGTTCATGCCTGCTAAAATCTCGAACTGGGGAGGCAAAGAAGAGGAAGGGGAGGAGAAAGAAAAAAAGGAAGATGCAGCAGAGAAAATCAGGGAGGCCATCTGGAACCGATGGCTCTGATTTCTCATATCGAATGGTTGTTGATTCCCGTAAGCTTTCTTCTTTAATTTCTTTGAATAAGGTTTTCTAATGATGTAGTTTTACCCATTTTTATTTTCTTCAATCATTTGAAATTTTTGTACTTTTCTTCTTAATTTCTCATAGGCTATACAAAGGTAGCCAAAGGGAAGTCTCGTCTATCTGCGCTGATATCAACTCAGGTGCAAATATTGTTTCATTTGATAATCACTGTTTAATCTTATTTGAGGTTTTGAATTACAAATTTTAGAGCTGTTGCAGTGATTAAGAGAATTTGTGCATTGTAAAATACCGTCAGTAATTTGACTTTTATTATCAATTTTTGGGTATTAGATCCCTATTCCAAGGGTCATTCTTGTTAGTTCAACGGGTACAGGTTCTGAAGATTCCTGGAATCCTAGTTGCAGATAGAGTCAAATGAATGTTAGTATTAGTGTCTGATTTATGATTTATGAATTTTTTCATAGTAAAGATTATCAGCACAATCTTCTTCATGGAGTTGATTTTGGATCCACCAATTGGACTTCTTTGTGTTTTCTCTTGATAGGATTTGCGTTTGAATGCAGGCCGTCATTCAGTTGATAGGACTACTAAATGCTGTTTTATCAATACCAAAAGAGAAAGGTCCCGATACACTTGCGATTTCATCTTCTGTCATTGGGTTGATCTCTCTTCTAATTGGGGAATTCGGTAGCTTACTAAATTATTCTTCTCTAATTTTCTTGAATAGTTTGAAGTTTTATGCATCTTTTATTGGTAATTGATTTTCACATTTTGTAGGCCGAAGACGCAGTAGGGTAAGTTTCTTGAGAGTTTACATCATTACATCAACTATTGCAACCCTTCTCTCACTGTTTTGTGCCGTTAGCAGCAATTCAATGTTAGAGGTAAGTTGATTCGTGATTGCTTGACAAGAAGTTTTCAGTGGCATATCTCTATCCCCTGAAAGCTGTTTTTATATAGATCTAAAATATGCTAAAGGTTATTATTGAGCCACACAAATGTAGTATGTCTCCTGCGGTACTATATGAAAATGCTACATGATAGGTTCTTATTTCTGGATGATCTATGCTGTAGCGTAATTACGTAAACTGGATGGAATTGTCGGGTGATATGAAATAGTGTCCTTCTTATTTCTGGATGATCTATGCTGTAGCGTAATTACGTAAACTGGATGGAATTGTCGGGTGATATGAAATAGTGTCCTCATCATGTTGATATCAGGTTCTTATTTCTGGATGATCTATGCTGTAGCATAATTACCTAAACTGGATGGAGTTGTCGGGTGATAAGCAATAGTGTTCCCATCATGTTGATGTCTTTATGCTCGAGTGATATAATGCCTTCTGTCAAAATCACTCTTAAAAGTTTTACTGGTTCAGAATCTCCTGCAATATGTAAAGATACTCATATCATCATTCACACACTTCTATTAGCAAACCAAATAAATAAGCAATGAAAACATTGGAACTTTAGTATTTAATCCTGGAAATTAAGTAGTTATTGCCATCAAAATCTCAGAATAATTATTTGAATTTATTTACTAGGTTATTTGGAAGTTGAATGATTTAGAAAGAAAGAAGTTCGAACTTATCAACTCTCTTCTGCTTCTGCTCGGTAGGTTACATACCTTTATTTTTCTCTATATGCATGCTTGGACATTATAATATTATTTTATTCTTATTCTTGTGCTGTCTTCTTGTCTTTGTCTTCACAGGTTTATTTGTGCAGATATTTACTATTAGCACTGTAGTTTCTTTAATTGGTAATATGTCTCCTCCCAAGAAAGCTTCTTAACGATTCCCTGTAACACCAAAAATACTCCCAGAGTTAGAGGATAATACAGCAATACTTTTTTGACTTGCTTTATGGTTTCAAATCACTTCAATAACTTTTCTGCATTTGACATTTTGTAGAAAGTTTGATTTCCTAAATTGTTGGATGAAAATCCTAATTGATCAGAAAATTTTGAGTTTTTAGATGTCTTATGTCAGACTAGACAAACTATTAACTGGTCAAAATGAAGGTTGATTTTTTCCTTTTGTGCTTCTATTGAAAGGGGAAACTGCTGTATGGAATCCTATTGCAGTGGTGATGAGGTGGGGCTTGTAACTCATGGCAGTTGTCCCACTTGTGAATCATATGTTACCTACTAAATTGCATATCTTTACTTTGAAGATTACTAGAAATTGGAAAATAATATTTTGGTGAGTTCAATCTAATCCTTTCATGTAAATTAAATGAAAAATATCTGATCCTTCAACATTTCGGCTAAGATAGTAGAAAATTGCACAAAGTTTTTGTTTTCTGAAATTTTTGAAATATATCAGCAGGTGAATTGGTAGTTGTTTTTGTTTCTTAAACCCAATTCTTGTTTGGTATTTTTCATTCACGAGCAGCCGAACAGGCAGGATGGTTTCTGTCCTTTTCTTTTTCTTTTTGATTATTTTTCCTGGGAAACTGTCTTGCATCAGCTCCAGGAGCTCTGCGAGGATCATTCACAAGGTTTTCTACACTATGATTAAGCTAATTATTACATTCACTTTATTAGCTGGTAGTCATCATTAATTAAAGTTAATTATTTCATGAGTTGGGGTGGCGGATATGAGACATGTCATCTGTTAAATCTCAAGCTTCAGTTTTAATAAATTCAAAATTGGATTCCATTTTTGAATTACTGCCTCTATTCCACTGTAGGTATAGTTTAAGTGTGTTTATTTTTTCCACCTCATATGTAATTTTAAAAAATAAAAGAAGCATTAATTATTTTTTTTCTAACTTTATCATTATTTTTTAATGTATCTTCTAAGTAATTTTAAATATTTAGAGCAATAACAAAAGGATATTTACTCCAATCTAAATATTTTTTATTTTGTTAGAATTGAGGTTGAAAAATAATGTCTTTAATTCTTATACAATTACTTTAAACAACACTTATATGTCCGAAATTACTAATTAGTAATAATTTGAAGAACAGCTGTGAGATTACTTACGACGACAGTTTTTTTTTTTTTTTAACCTTGCGAATTTACGCCTGCCTTCTCCGTACATTACATGTATGTACCTACGCAAATACTGAAGGGTTAATCCCTTCCGAAGGAATAAGATGCTCTTCCAACCGTCACTATTATAAATTAGCGTTTGTTTCGTATTCTTATTTGAGCTCACACAAAAAACGACGGACTTAATATCACTTCATTTCGTCGTTTTGTTTATCTAATGGATCCAAATACATTTTGTCCCTACTTTCTTTATCTGTTTGCATGTGAACACATGCATGTTGCTGTAACTTGTCTCCTCTCTCTCTCATCATTATTATCAAGAGATAAGAATGCTCCAAATTTGAATAAAATGCATTCAATATTCACGGATGAACAATAGAAATTAAAACAATAAGCCAAGTTTTTATTAATTAATCCATTACACAACACAGACTTCACTATACACATTTACATATATGACATTCTGCAACTACATATTTAATCTAAAAAAGAGAGAAAAAAAAAAAAAAAAAAAAAAAATCTAAAAAAGAGAGAAAAAAAAAAAAAAAAAAAAAACGTAACTTCACTGATAATATTGATTCAACTTAAGTTTATATACATTATACCATTAATTATCCTCCTAATATAAGGCCTAAAAACATTCTGTACAAGAATGTATGCTTCCCAATTACATCGATAACTATGTAAAAAAAAAAAAAAAAAAAAAAAAACGTAACTTCACTGATATATGATTCAACTTAATTATATACATTATACCATTTAATATCCTCCTAATTAAGGCCTAAACATTCTTACAAGAATGTATGCTTCCCAATTACATCGATAACTATGTTCACCGACAGTATTTAAGCTATTAGCGATGGAATTTTCCGTCGCTAATAGCCGAAGTTTTTAGTGTTATAGGGACATGACGAAACGCACACATATATGTATTGGGAACAATTGACATGATGAATTTAACCATGAAGAGAGGCATAATTGTTGATCAAGGCCAAGGCATTACTAGTCAAGTGTGCGATATTCAAAATCATTTCTCTAACTAATGTCTTGGTATTCCCATTCATGGTCTTTCCTGCAAACCCGTCACTGCAAGTATTCTCATCTGTCAAAGCTGCACTAACCCATGTCTGTACGTCATTAATCATAAGCTTAAAATCTGACTCTTTATAAGTCTTCATTTCACCGATTGATTTTCTAAGCCCCTCGACTGTGTCGCTCAACTCCTCAACGCAGTCTTGCATGGCTTCTACTTCTATAGGCTTCATTCCATGGCTTTGAGAGAGTTTCGACATCATTGCTGAGGTTGATTTTGCAGACCCTAATGTAACGTTAAGAGCTGCATTGGCTAAGAGCTTAGGGCTTGTTTGGATTGTATTTGCATGGACTGAGAGAGAGGTATAACAAAGTTTTGGATAAGTAGTAGTACTACAACTTGTTCTTATAAATTCTGTGTTGGTTTTTGGGTCTAGGAGTCTAACAGCTTTGCTGGGGTTTACATGGAAATTAAAGGTTACAAAAATGATGAGAATGAATTCAGCTAAAGAATATTGAGAGGAAAAGGCTGCCATGTTGTTTAATCAAGAGCTAATGAAAAGATGAAGAAGATGATGATGATGATGATGAAAATGCAATTAAGGTTGGTTCTCTATTTATAATCACTAGTGAGGATAATAATGGAATTTAAAAAAAAAAAATACAATTATGGTGGCAAATGGGCAAAAGCAACTGGACTGGGTCCTAACGTTATGCAAAAGAAAGAGACTTGAATCCAAAAAGTTTACTACCATAGGTAGCTATTCTAATCTTACAAGTTGTATGTACTGTAGAAGAAAATCGATTTATGAACAGATGCAGTTGAAATTTCTGCTAAAAAAAAAAAAAATTCAGTAAGATATTGAATTTTTATTTATATAGAGCCATCATCTTCAAGTAGACCTACCATTATTTGGAATCATGTGGGTGGGACTGGCCAATATGGTGCAAGGAGAAAGAAAATCATTTCATCAAATCATTTAGATTAATTGCTCAAGATATTTTTGGGTGCTAAAGAAAGAAAATATCTGAACTATTAAATTATTTAGATTAATTCCTTAAAGAAAGCGAAATATTTTGGCTTCTGAGGAGTGTTTTGTGAGCTGGAGCCGAAGTGATATTTGCCAACACGTTTTGTACATTTAAATTCCAAATGAAATAATACATTTTTGCTTCAATGCATGGATATGGATATCAGCAACAAGCAACAGCAGTCAGCAGAGACCAAGTTGGCTACGCACCTTTAGGCTTTACCTGACTTCATGTTAACATCGCCTAATTGTCATTTGGACCATATTCCCCCCAATTTGTTAAGTCCACGGTTAGGCCGTCACAATTGTCCGTCCGTCCTTATCTATTAGATTGTTAAACCTCCAGTTAATTTTAGCATGTTAAAATGGTAAAACATAGTTCATCAAGTGGAAAATAAATGGGATTAGTCAACAAAAAAAAGTAGAATCTGTCTCGTCTTATAAATTTTCGAATTGCAAATATATCATACATTATTTCATTCTTTTGATAAAAACATTATTCTCTCGCCTTCTATTTAATTGATTGGATAAAAAAATAATTCGATTCAGATTGAAAAGTAATTATATTAAAAGCATTTTTCAGAATCTAAATTCCATGACAGGATTCTACGATCACCGGGACATGGTCTAGTACGCTTCGCATCACTTTTTTTTTTTGTTTTTGGGTAAATCCCTTTATATTACTCTCTAACACAGCCAAAGTAAAACAAAGGGGAAAAACAGAAAAAAGAAGGTCATAACCGTACAGTCAACCGTGCGGAGTTGTAAGCCCAACGCAGCATACGGCCCATATCTTTCGGGCCCAAATCACCAAAATACAACCGCAGCTGTGACGTTCTTATTTCTATTTCCCTTCTTTATATTCCCGAGTTCTTCTTATAAAATTTATCGTAAACAGATTTCCCTAGTTACCAGTTCAACATATTAAGCAATGCTTATGTGCAAATTAACATTTCAAGTTTCCAAATTTGAGAATCAAGACAATGATTATACTACATATGAAATCTGTTCAGACAAAGAAAAATTATAACCACGAAATATATGTAATTAATTCATGCATCTCTAATTGGTTTTAATTTTTATTCTCAGGATGTTAAATAAAAATTTATTTACAGAGGAGAAACTACGGATCCAATCTAGAAACAGAAAATGATAAAAGAAAAGAAGGATCTCAATCGATGAGACAAATTTTCTTTTGACAGCCAGACTGTTGTAACCAAACCAGTGTTGTCTGTTTTGAACAAAAAGGACCACTACCTTAACATGTAACTCATCAAGCCTATAGCTTTCCCGTGATCATTTTCATGATCCGTGAACCATCAAATGAATAATGTCAGTGCATGTGAATCACTCCTGCTCTATCTCTTCTTTTCCTAAAAGATTAGGTTTCTTCCGAATTCCAATCAGTAGTTCAACAAAATTATACCCCACAATTCCCTTTCCCTTTTCCCTTTAAGTGTAGGACACCCGTTGCACCTCCATTGCCCTTTAAATAGAATTTACGGTTAGGACTCCTTGCTCACAACCCTTCAAAAATGGAATTTTTAACAGGTTTTTTTATTCTTTCCCTATCTTTCTTCATTTCTAGGGCAGAAAATGGCACTGATGATTTTATTAAAAGTTCATGTTTGGTTACAAGGTATCCTGATTTGTGTTACCAAACACTCTCAGCTTATGCTACTAGTATTCAGGACAATAACCCTACACAACTAGCCAATGCAGCTCTCAATGTAACACTAAAAAGTGCAGAAGCCACTTCAAATATGGTTTCAAAGATGCTGAAAGCGCATAATCTAATGCCTAAAGAAGCTGCAGCCATAAAAGACTGTGTGGAGACGATGAGAGACTCAGTTGATGAGATCAAGCAATCTCTGTTGGTAATGAGCGATCTTGAAGGCCCTGATTTTGAGATGAAGATGAGCAATATACAAACATGGGTAAGTGCTGCTTTGACAGATGAGGATACTTGTATGGACGGGTTTCAAGGGAATGCCATGAACGGGAAAGTTAAGCTCAAAATAAGACAGTATGTGGAAAGAGTTTCTCAGTTAACTAGTAATGCATTAGCTCTTATTAATAAGGTAGCCAATAATTAATTAATTAGCTAGCTAAGTACATGCAATTTGTTCTGTATATATGTAATAATAGTATTTCAGTAATGAATTACTCAATCAATTAAGTTTTATTTAATTAATTAGTCATTCTTCTCTTGTTTCTCGATTATTCAAAAAATTAATCATGTGTATATATTCCATAAATCAATTAAACTCATAATTTGGGTGCGAAATCATATTTTGATACACTAATTGATCATTAATTAATTAATACGTCAATTCTAATAGCTACGTATTAAAAAAAATTCTGAAAAAATACAGAATTGAAACTTTAAAATCGAAGGGGGATGTACGGTTATTTATTTAAAAGTAAAGTTAATTTATGATGATGTGGCGGGGAATGGATGGCTAAAGAAACGGCGGAGATAATTTTCCCCGACGTCTCCACGGGCAGCGGCTTCTCTCCAGCAGAAATTCACGGTGGCTCGCCAAAGTGTTCGTGCCACATGTGATATGTTGGCGCCATAATCGAAGAATTTGACTTTTTCAAAGGCTAGATTGTAACTGTAGTTGAGATCTGATAGGGTGGAAGGTGGCCACATGGATAATCTCTTAGGCCTTGACTTTCGATATCCCTTCAATGTCAGTTTTTAACTTTTAATTCACGGCTTTAGCAACCGATTTGCTGTTCTAAGGCTCCGTCGCTGACGCTTCTTATCTGTAACGACATTACTTCCGATTAGAATTATTGATTTGAAATTTGTTTTCCTTTTTGAAGACCCAACTTTTCTTGCTGAGTTGATTTTTGACTTATGTAAAATTGATTTTCTATTAACCTTTTATTCACTTTCAACTCCCATAAATATTGGGATGCAAGAAAAAAAAAAATTCAACTATTCATAATTGAACTATATAATTCCATGAAAACTATAAAGATCAAGTTTGAGATTAACCTATAAAATGAGATAACGTTATCGTTATATCAAAGTTACGCCCTTTTAAAAATAATATTGAATGTGTAATTACTAAAACTATAAATTTCTTAAATGTAAAATAATAAAAAAACGAAAAGAACATGAAATATATATGTCAATTCAAAATGTTCATGCATGTATAATATTTCTTAAGTAAGCAATGTGAATGTTAATTACAAGAGATCTAATGTACAATCATGCATGTGCCATAAAACGCTCATGACTTAGACCTATAGTTTTCGTTTTCTCAATCTATTTTTTTCTTTTTAATAAGAAGTTATTTAACCCACAAGTAATATATATGGATCTACCTCACAGTTTTTGCTCTATAAATATTGGGACACAGACACATGCACACCCATCAATACATATCTATGATATTCTTGTACAAATTGAGAGACATGGAAACTAAAACTATTAGCCCTTGTTCAATAAACCTTCTCATCACATTTCTTCTTTCTTGTCTTCTATTAATATCAAACATCCAAAGCTCTGTAGCGGCAACACCCGTTACCACCACCAAAACTTCTAAAACGGTCTACAAAAACTACCTGAAAACAGCTTGTAATACCACCACATACCCGAAGCTCTGCTACAACTCCCTTTCTCCTTACACTTCCACGATCAAAACCAATGACCTAAGTCTTTGTAACACCGCTTTGACCATAACCGTAAAAGTTGCCAAGAACACTTCTGGGTTGATAAAAGAACTGTCGAAAAGGAAGGGATTGAGTAAGAGTGAAGCTGCAGTGATAAAAGATTGCAAGGATGAAATCTCTGACAGCATCGATGAGCTCAAGCAAGCAATAAAGGCATTGGCCAGTCTAAAGAGTTCTAATAGTACGGCATATGTGATTGATGATATAAAAACGTATGTTAGTGCAGCCATAACTAATGATTATACTTGCCTGGATGGATTTGAAGGGATGAAGGTAAGCGCTTCTTTGCAGAGCAAGATCAAGAAGAGTGTAACCAATTTTGCTAGTCTTACTAGCAATGCTTTGGCACTCATTAATAAACTAGAATACTAAATCAGTTACCTATAATTCTCTTCTTTTTTTCCTTTTAATTTTTTTTAAAGAATGTTTTCTATCTTTTGGTATACGGCTGTAATTTATAAATAATAATAAAAATATTTGATCCAAATTCGTAAATATGCAAGCTTCCATGCGAATACATGGTATTGATAAAGCATGTTCCAAAAATTTGTTCACTTTGCTCCAATTCTTGAATTTCGAATTAGTTACATTTTATTCCCCAAAAAGAAAATAAGAAGAAGAAAGTTAGTTTTGTTTATAAAAATGATACATTATATATTCAAATCTAAAAGTAGAAACTAGCGATACAGAGTGTAGGAACAAAACTTGAACATACAACATTAATACACGTGAAGACATGCAGTTCGCAAGAAACCAAACTGGAGCGACCCATTACTGGATATGGTTATCGGGTCTTCCCGGATCTCATCCACTTGGTTATATCCTTGTATGTATATCTTTAAAAATGGTGCTAGTTATACATGTTCCATCGCTCTTCAAATAAAAATTGTACAAATTATTGTTCCAATAATTATATTAATTCACTTATTTTAAATTTTTTTTCCCCCTTAAAAATTCATAGTTTAACATAATTTAATTAATAGTCTAATAATCAAAAGTATGTCTTATAATATAAAAATTGATAAATTTAAATATTGAATATGATATGTGCTAATTAAGTAATTCCCTACGCAAAGAGAATAATCCCCTTTTGCATATAGCTCGTTCAAAATTCTATACCCCAAAGGATACCAAACTCCTCTCAATTGAGAAATAAGAAGAGAAAAAAATTGTGGACATACATGGATTTAATAACGCCATAATGAGTTATGAATGCCCATACCGTAGTATACATACACGGCAAGGTAATTCTCAAATCATCGCTATAAAAAAAAAAAAAAAACAATGATAAAATCATTATTCAGTTTTTATAATTCAATGAAATTTATAAATGAAGATCTGTGTTTTGTTAAATGAAGTTTGCTTTTTTGGGTAACAAGAGCAAGAAAAGAGGCAATCTCTGAAATAGAAACCATAAGCATTAATCCATAATAATAAGTGAAGAGGCTCTGGAATATGATTCTACATATTATTACAATTTAACAGAAAATTTTAACTGATGAACTATTTAATTGAATAATAATAATAATAATAATAATAAAGTATAGAGACTATTTAATTGATTTTTAAAAATAAATATTTTCTCTTATAAATTCCGCTAAACTATAAAAATTAGATACTAATTCACGAATAAAAAAAATATAATAGAATGAAATCACTTGGAAGCATGACATTAGTTTCCAACTCGCAGGCAATGGACAATGGCTCAAATTCATATTGGGGATAACTTTGTAGCGGATGCTCAATCAGAGCCATTTCAGCCCATTCAAGTGATTCGAGTTATTATAAACTTCAAAAAGAAATATATAAAAAAAAATAAAATAAAATCGACGGCCAGCTACATTCATATACTGTACACGAGAATTTTTACATTTACACTGTGTTTGGATTAGGGAGGAAGGAAAATACCGAAGGAAAGAAAATGAGGAGGTAAAATAATGGAAAATTAAAAATATAAATTCTTTTGTGGGCCCAGAGGAATTTGTTGGATATTTTCATTCCTCTGCAACTTTCCTCAGTTCCCCCCTCCCCCCCCCCAAAAAAATAAAAAAATAAAAAAAAAAGCACTTTCCTCTCTCACTTTCCATCCGTATTTATTTTCATTCCTTCGTAAAATCCTTCCACTTCCACTTCAAACAGGCTGCTAAAGTTATCCATTTTAATAATATTAAATATCTCTCCACGTTAATAATAATAGTTATTAGGATGTTTAATTTTTATATATAACATATAAATTCAATATATAATTAGAATAACGTTCACAATAATAATTTTCATATTTTCTCAATTATCGAATATTCAATTAATTTAATTTTATAAATTAAAATAGTTAATTAAATATTTTTATAATTAAAATATTTGATATATATAATTTTATAAAAATTAAATTGTTAAATTGATTAAAAAATTTTCGAAATAAATATTTTTCACGTGAAGTATAAAGATAAATTTTATAAATTTGACCGATAAAAATATAAATATGATAAGTAAAATAAAACGAGAGAAAATAGGCCTAGAATTGAAATTTGGGAACAAAATTCATCGAATAGGGGATTTTAAAAAATAAAATAAAATAAAAATGAAAGAGGGGCATGACGACAGCATGTGGGTTGTGGCCCATTTGCCAATTTTTAAAAGATAAAATGCATGTGACATACTGACATCCACATCCTCTATTTATGCTGTTGCTGTCCACCTGCATGTGGCCTGTCCTTTCAATTACAAATAAATAATATTATTTAATCCTCGTATATTATTCAGCTAGCTTATTTATAGATGGAAATTACTATTTAGTCTTTTTAGTGAAATTAAATACTTCATTCGTTTATTTTTCCAAAATATAATAACACTTTCTTGCGGTTTGCTTTATGTCCAAAATTTATATTTTTTTACTGTCAATTTTATAAAAAGATCAAAATACTTTTTATTTTATTTATATTGCACTTTTCACATTAAAAGCAGAAATTAATCTTTTAAAATATGAATAATTATCAAAAAATTTTTTTTTTGAACTAAAATGAAAAAAAGATGAGAATAGTTTCAGAGTTGTTGGATGAAAAGATCAAATGGTTAGATGATTTTAAACTACATGTATGTATTCATGTATGTTTCGAAAAGCAGGGAGTAAGAAGTTAATTTTACTGAATTATAAGGACTAAATGGTAATTTATTCTTTAATTATTTCAATATTTTGAAATTATCATTCATCGTCTACCGGACTCAACAAACCAAATTATGGTCGTATAAATGTGTTTACCTATTGACCGGAAACAAAGGGCTCATTTTCACCGACAGGGACAATGATGCCATGGGAAGCTCACAGGTAGTCATTCAGGCGCCTAAAAGCCTTTGTCCTATCCATCACCTATGGATTAATCTAGCTTTTCTGTTTGGTCTCTAACACAGTGACTGCACGAAATCACTTCTGTCCTTTGTTTTCCTGATTGACGTTTGCGTAATTATTTGCTTCTCTCTTTTCTGTTATTTTCGTCCTTAATTCTCCGTCAATTCCTGCTGTCGATTCACTTATTTTCTTTTTCTTATTCATAAATAAATAAATTAGGGTATTTAAGTAATTGTCTTTTTCTGAAAAGAGGTATTTACGCAGTAATTGTAAAGTTACGTAGATCCTTTAATTTAACGACTTTGAAAAAGGAAAGATAAATTTATTAAATACATTAAACCTCTGTAAGGAAATAATAAATTATTTTTCATTTTCTTTTTTATAATTAAATTTAAAACCTAAGACCAGAGACCTCAGTCACGTGGTTAAAGTAATTTGCGAGCCCTTACAGAAAGTCCACCTTGTCTGCTCCCATTGCTTTTTTGAACTGAGGATTCACAAATCACGCCTCTTCTCTCTCACTCTCGCTCTCTAGTTTCGTCGTTATATAAATAGTTATATATTTTTGTCTTTTGCTAATCTATATGATTATTGAATATTATGTAGATCGTTAGTCAAAAATGTGTTATATTTCGTTAATTATTATTAGGAAAAGAAAAATAAAGACATGCATGCCATTAGCAGCCGGTGGTGTGGTGATTTGTAATTAATAATCAGTTGTTCAACTATCAGTCCCATCATAATTGTACTCTAAAATGTTCAATGAGGACCTACTTCGCCTTCAATTAAGGAATTTTTTCAGCTTTTCTTTCCTTTTCAAAAGCATTTCCAAATTCCAATAAATGCTTTGAAAATTAAATAAAATTGTTACTCGCCCAGTCACCCTCATCTCATCTCATAAATTCGACGCTTTTTAAGAGAAAATTTTCATTCTCACAAATTAAAAGAGAAAAAATTTCATAAAAATATCTAGACAACAGTATTTAAAATAAAATAACTAATACTATTCTATTTTCTAAGAGATTATATACTAAAATTATTTTCTTTTCATGATAATATCCTAAAAAGCTCTGTATTTTCTCTGTAAATTCAGAAATTCAATTGTAGAAAACTTTTTTTTTTCTAAAAAAAAGAGAATTGCAAACTTTCTCCTCCCCCCCCCCCCCCCCGAATTGCAAAACTTTCTCCTCCCCCCGCCCCCGCTCCCCACAAAAAAAAAAAGATGTGGAGGTTATTTGGTGAAAAAAAAAAGTTTCATTTCGATTATATGGTTATTTCTTAAAACAAAATATCATAGATGGGGAGCTGCTGGAATAGCAGAAGTATCTTAACGCCAATTGCATTTCCAACAGCCAGAGATCATTGCTTCTAGATTGCCTCATAGCAGAGGCATTCAGGAAGAAAAGAAACAAGGCGAAAAGAAAGGGAAAGCCAGATTTTGTTTTCAAATTAATACTATATCACTCAAAAACTTTTAGAAAGTAAGTAAAACTCTTCATACATACAATACATACATACGGATCAAAACTAAGACCCATGAAGATGGAGTTGGAGCCCCACAAAAAAAAAAAAAGATGTGGAGTTATTTGGTGAAAAAAAAAAGTTCATTTCGATTAATATGGTTATTTCTTAAAAAACAAAATATCATAATGGCAGGAGCTGCTGGAATAGCAGAATATCTAACCCAATTGCATTTCCAAAAGCCAGAGATCATTGCTTCTAGATCTACATACAGAGGCATTCAGGAAGAAAAGAAACAAGCAAAAGAAAGGGAAAGCAGATTTGTTTTCAAATTATACTATATCACTCAAAAACCTTTATAGAAAGTAAAGTAAAACTCTTGCATACATACATACATACATACGATCAAAACTAGACCCATGAAGATGGAGTTGAGAAGTTACTTCAACAAAGTTTAACATATTTATAATCAAAGTTTTCCTTACCCAAACCATCTAACTAATGCTTGGAGGCAAACTTGTTAATCAAAGAAAGGGCATTGCTAGTGACCTGAGCAACATTAACAATCCTTGCCTTAATAGAAGCCTTCAGCTTCCCATCCAAGGCCTTACCGGCAAAGCCATCAACGCAAGTGTTCTCATCAGTCAAAGCAGCACTAACCCAAGTTTCAACATTGCTCATGTGCCATTGAAAGTCCTTACCTTTAGCGCTCTTTAATTCTTTAAAAGACTTGCTAAGTCTATCAACAGTATCATCAATCTCCTCTAAACAGTCGTTAATGGCTTCCCTTTCTCTGGGCTTAACTCCCTTGAACTTTGTGAGCTTGTACACGAATGTCCTGGTGGCCTGAGCCCTGGCTACGCTCACGGACAAGGCAGCCTCGGTCAATTGGCGTGGGTTCTGCTGAATTGAAGGAGCGTATGCTGAGAGAGATTCTACACATAATACAGGGTAGGTAGTGGTTCTACAGGAGGCCTTAATGAAATTTGAGGAAGCGGCAGTGGATCTTGCAGTGGCTGCAGATCTTGCTGTATCTAAAATGTAGAGAATAGGGATAAGTAGCGAAAGAAGAGTAACTTTTGCCATTGTTGATTACTAAATGGTTGTTTTGGTTTTGGGTAGAGGAGGTTTTGATGAGTGAATGAGCATTGAGAGGCCTTCAATTTATAGAAGAGGAGGTTGTGTTGGCTTTACAGGGGTTTTACTAGTGCAGTGGGTACTGGCTAACTTGCGCCGTGTGCACTTATAGTGAGCATATAATATTAAAAATAAATAAATTTAAGTAAAAAAATAAATGCAGTGCCCTTGCACCGGCTAGCTAATATAATGTCATTTACTCTCTCCTTTTTTTGGGGACGAAATAGAGGCAGATTGTATTGGATTTCTGGGTCAGGGAAGTTCTTGACTTATCCTACCCACGGGAATCCGATAAAAAAATTATAAGAGAGTACTATATTCTTAAACAGTACGTACCAAAATAAAATAAAAATAAAAATTTAAAATTAGAATATGTTTTTTGTTACTGGAACCTAATAATAGCAAGCCAAGCAAGAAAAAACCTATCCGTGATCATCGGATTAACTAATGGTTGACTATAGAAATTAACCATTTTTATTTTGTTGATCTACATTGATAATACTGACGCGTATGGTGAGGAAAACTCACCGTTTATGTTGACTCTGCACCACTGTTTGCTTATGGAATTTAATATTTGATAATAGTAACTGCATTTAGACTAATTTCAGACATTAGGTCGACGGCCAATTGCAATACAGCTGCTGGATCTGGATACGGATCCCAAGTCCTGAACAGGTAAATATTTGTTAAAATTACACCGTCCACATTTCTTTTTCCTCTTTAATTAGTTGCTTGCCATATAATTTTGGGACAAACAACATGATTAGATTCTGTTCATAGTCCTCAAATCTGAACACAAGAAAGTACAATCATGGAGGAAGCTAAAGTGTGTGTCCAAAAAGGGGAGCCCAAGAATTGACAACGTGAATGGAGGGAGATACAGATGCTTCTCTTAACAAAAGCAATTAACTTGATATAAAAATGCAAAACAAATTATCTAATATTTAACCTCTTGGTGGTGGCCTAGAGGTGCGGCGTCCAAAAAATATGTCGGCCAGCCGTCATCTTAAACGCTAATTCAAGAAAAATAAATAGGCTTGGCCAGAAAGGGCCCTCCAGTGCAAAGAAGTCGCACTGCATCTATTGCATTGTCAAGTTATTTGTATCCATGGGCATTACCTCAGCATCTGCAAGTAGCATAGGCATGTGACCCATATTAGCCGCCTCCTATAATCCATGTTTATCTTAATTAAATTCTTCCTTCTCAAACTCTGCCCAGCGTGTTCCTAAGTATCATTCACAAATAGTATTAACTCAAATCTATGGAAAAAGTACCTGATGAAGATGCAAGTCAGTTAAAAAAGCAAATAGCAGCAGCTTGGCTAATTACACAAAACATTCCTTCCTCTTCTGGGCGTTTGAACATGCCAAAAGTATTTCTGTACGCTCTTATTATCACAATCCTCGATCCACCATCATAGTTTTCACTTTTTTAACATCCTCCAACCTGCCTGCATCACTATAAATCTTCATCAAAAGCTCAAAATTGTGTTTATTGTCTGGCTCCAGCTCAAAAAGACTTTGAGCAGCGATCTCTCCAATATCTACATTTCCATGGAGGTAACAAGCATATAACAATGCTCCCCACGCAGTTGGACCAGCATCAAATTCCATTTTATTTGCTATTATGGCATAAGCGTCTTTGATTAATCCTGCTCTCCCATAGAGATTTACCATACAAGCATAGTGTTCCATGATTGGTTTTATTCCATACTTTTCGCTCATCAATGAAAACAACCTTTCGCCATCCGTTACTAGCCCTAAATGAGCACAGGCAGATAGTATCGACACAAATGTGATATTGTCTGGCAAAACACCATCTTTCTCCATCCTCTCAAAGTAAGTTAGTACCTCAGGGTCCTTATGATGAGCAGAAATTATAGAATTCCACGATACAACATCCCTCTCCAGCATATTATCAAACAACCAACGAGCTTGATCCAACTTCCCATTGCTTGAGTACACAACAATCAAAGAATTAGCAATGCACAAATCCCATTCCATTCCTCTCCTAAGAATCCATCCATGGATTTGAACTCCCAGCTTTAAAGAAGTTACTTTTGCAAGAACCGAGGAAATTGCCACTGAATCCAACTCAACTCCTGCTTGAAGCATGCTCCGAAAGATCGCCAATGCTTCTACTAGGAGCCCATGACGAAGGTAACCCGTAAGCATGGAATTCCACGAAACAGAGACCTTACAAGAAATCTTGTCAAATATCCTTCGAGCCTTAACAATGTCACCACATTTTGCGTACATATCAACAAGCGCATTTAGAACAAACTCATCATTTGCCAACCCCAATCGGACTATATCCCTATGTACTGCCTCCCCAACTTGAATCATACCGAGTCCCCCACAAACTTTCAACACGCGAGGAAAGGTAAACTGGTCTGGTTCAACACCTTCCTCTTCCATTTGAAAGTAAAGCGCGATGGCGTCTTCATATAGACCCAATTCAGCATATCCAGCAATGAGCGAATTCCACGCAAAAGCCGACTCATCTCTCTTACACATTTGGTCAAACAACTGGTGAGCTTCATCCATTTGCCCACATGACGCATACAACCTCAGCAATTTCGATGAGATGCCCGTGTTTTTACGTAAAAGGTTAGTGGGTATTAGCTGGTGAATCCTGATACCATGACCAATAGCATCTAACTGGTAGCAGGTTTCTAGGAGGGAAGAGAAGATTTGAGTATCGATTTTTATGCCCTTTTCGACAGAGGATTCAATGTCTTTAACGACATTCTCTAAAGCTTCTAGCTTAGTTAGAGTGTATGGTTTTTGTTTGATTAGGAGTGGGGTTGGGGATGAATTTGGGAAAGAGAGGGTGCTGCCATTTCTGTTTTGGTAAAATTGTCTCTGTCTTCGTTCTAATTGTCTCCGTTTCCTGCTTTTCTTGCTTCTATTAGAACAGAGGGTCCTTGGAGGTGTGTGGAAAGTTGGTGGTCGAAGAATGGTGGCCATTTTCTCAAAGGGTATTGAAGAATGAAGAGGAAAGACAAAATAGAGGGAGAGAACTACAACGGAGCATTTATTTATACATATGTTGGAGACAGATCAACGGTGTACGTATCAATGCAAATTTGTGGACCCATTGATATTCACCGTCCATTTTTTGTGTCCCACCGATCATGTACAATAACTGGTATTTGAAGCACTAATTCGCAGATTTCAAGTTCAAGTTCGATCAAAAATTACTAGTATGGAAAATTCTATGCAGAATGGATTCGATGGAGGATACTGAAAGAATTTTCATTGTTAACATATCGGTCGACAATCGTCTTTTACTTGTCGAGAAATGGTGATATAATCAAGGATTACCGTGACGGTGGTGGAGATTCTGTATAATCTGGCCCGGTAGATTTCTCCAGATTCCGGAAAAGTTTCATTGGAGAAAAACTTTTCCCTACTGGTTGCGGGCGGATGATGAGGCAGGTACATTCTGTTTTATCTCGTAGGGGTATTAAAAAATGGGACCCGTACCCGATTCACTGTCGTTCCTAATTTGAATTCAGAAGCTATTCGAGGAATCCATCACCATTGAACCTTTATAAGAAATCAAATAATCCGCCCATAAAGCTTAGCACGCAAAGTTTTAGTTGCAACTTGTGCTAATGCTGCATGCATTTATTTTATTTTATTCTACTACTAAACTATAGGAAAAGGAAAAAAATGGGACTCTACCCCATCAAAGGCAACAGAAGGTGAGGAAACCTGCTCATCCTGTATCATTACATTATCAGAGAATAAAAAGCAACGTCAAAGAAATTATCTTCGCATAACATGCAGAAACAACGCAACATAAAAGCTGCAAAATAGTAGAATGTGCCATCCCAACTAAATTGATATAATTATGACCTGTTTTTTTATGAGTTCTGAAACATATTTTGTGAACTTGGCTTTTCTTGAATTATAAATATTTAACAGATAACAAGTGGCAAGGGCGTCATTGCACAGCCAAGGTTCACTATCACAGTAGACAAATGCTCGTCACCTTCAAATTCCTCGACTCCTTTAACTTGGAAATTTTACCCCTATTGAGAAAGTAACGGCTTCCATACCATCTCCACTGAAGCAGTGATCCTAGCCAGATAAGCTATAGTAACTTCAACTGAATACCATGAATTTTACAATAATCATACTTTTTCAGGACTATCCTTCATTTCATTGCCTGTGGCAGAACAAATTAGCTTAGGCATTACCCTTGAAAAACAGTATGTAATAGCTTATGGGATACAGGAAAATTTTGCATGGGTAAATAGCTTTAGACGTATTGAATTTTTGCAATTTGTGCAGAACCAGTGTAATATTGGAAGCATATACGTATCGATAAATAATATTCTCATTTTAGCGTTAATAACTAATAAGTGTAGCACACGGAGTGAGTATGCTATTTCCTTGTGTATGTATCAGGCTATCAGTTATAAAGACAAACCAATGATTTTGTCAACATCAAGAAGGCCAACACAGGGCAAAGAAATTGCTTAATGATAACCAACATGGAAAAGTAGACATGAAATAATGGTAAGCACCAGAAAGGAGAATACAAAAGAGAAGACAGCATACCTCACATGCTGCAAAAACAGGGCGAACTTGATCAAAAATATCATCTACTGTTCCTACTGCATTGATCTGCACGTAGTGGCTTCATTAAGTAATAGTATATACACCAGTGAATACAAAAGACAGCCTCAGAGGCAACTGATTGTTAGGGATTTGAGATCTCATTTAGTATATACATACTTTATGCAGTTTTCCTCTCTTGGTGTAGTAGTCAATAACATGAGGATTTAATTCTGAAAATTCTTTAAGACGTGTCTTGACTGTATTTATGTTATCATCAACTCGACCCTGCAAAAAAGTAACTTCGTGCATTAAATTAAGGTGTTTCACATGGTTCGTTTGTATGGAACACTATGATTACATAATCACCTCCTTACGGTTTAGGACTCGTTTTACCATCTCTTCTTCCGGGCAATCAAAAAAAAGCACAGCGTTCGGTTCTACTCCAAGCTTCATTTCAAAGAGAGGAAAAAAAAAAAGAGAAGAAAAAGTTATAGGCCCTACAAGCAGCATATAAATCATTCAGCTTGCTAATTTATTACAACTTCACATCAAATATTCATCTCATTACCACTTCACAACAACAAATTCATCTTAAGGCTGTTTTGATTCTTCTTCTATTCATCTAAACATCAATAAGACAACTAACTTGAAGGGCTTGGTGATAATAACAAAACCTCAAGTCATACTCAAGATTGACAGGAAGTATCTAGCTACATCCTTTCTGAAGTCTGTGTAAACATCAGAATGGGAAAAAGTTATGTGAAATGTAATGTTAAAAAAAATAAACTCACAATTCGTTCAAATGTTATACGGTTCTCCTCATTTCGAGGGAAACCATCAATAAGAAATTTATAGTTGTCACTTGATTCCATCGCCTTTTTAATCAGATTGACTGTCAACTCTGAAGGAACAATGTGGCCCTCTCTAATTGTGTCCAAAATTATGTGCCTGAAATTTTTGTTACATCATTAAAAGACAAGCATAGAATTCAAAGAGGATCTTTTAAAATATTTTCACTAAAGGATGGGGCCATTTACCCATTTTCACTGTTGATTTCTTTTCTTAACAACTCCCCTGCACTAAGATGTGTGAATCCAAAAGTCTCAGCTATCTTTATACATTGTGTACCTTTTCCACTACCAGGACCACCTGAAAAAGAACTGATGTAATTATCATGCATAACCATAAAAATGAAAAATGAAATCCCAATGTTTAGTTCAGTTCTGAAAGTTGGCACGTTTGATGATATTTATATGAGCTTCTCGGTTCCTCAACTACTACACAACCTAGACAGTTATCCAAAGCTTGAAAACAGAAAGATCATCTTCTACAATTTTTTTTGCTAAGGGAACTCAATTTCTTTATCTTTAGTTGACATATGAACATTATTAACAGTGCCTCTGCCACCAACACATATCAAAATAACCATCAATCTCATTTTTACAACTTACTAGCATGCAACAACCATGTGATCTGACATATAAAACTGCATAATGGTTCTAGACATGGTAACTATCGTTATATCACTTCAGTCTGAAGAAAATTTTATTTAAGAAACATAGTTATTATAAATGCCCAATTATTACCTAAGACAAAAATTATCAATGGGTTTTTCTCTTTGAACAAAGTTCCATAATATACCGGAGTGGATATCAGAGTAGAAGGTGAATTCCAGATCTTCACTCCATATGTTGCCTGAGATTAACGCCAGAAAATGATATAATCAAATGATCATTGCAATCGATTAGAATATAGTCTTTCGTAAAACAAATATGGAGTAACAAAAACCTTTGATTTCGAATAGGAGATCAATGAAGAAAGTGAAACCACGCGCTTCCACATATTCTGCCTGCTGCCTTCCTTCTCTAGCTTTGAGCTTGTAGGCGTAGCTATGGAGATGGTTGAGCCGAATCAAGTACCCCTGCAGTTTTGAATTTTGCTAATGAGATATTACGGCGAACAAGTAACGCGCTGTTTGTGGGTCACGACCAAATCGTGCAGTGTTAGACTGACTGCGGACATGTCACATGTGGGATGTGGCTATAAATATACTTTACAGATACTATTATTATTAATAATTTTTTATTTTTTATTAATAATTATTATTAATCGTGCAGTGTTAATTTATTTTTCTTTTTTTTTTTTTTTTCCTTCAGAAATTTATAGGTCCTTTCGTAAAACAAAATATGGGAGTAACAAAACCTTTGATTTCGAATCAGGAGATGCAATGGAAGAAGAGTGGAAAGCCGACGCGCTTCATACATAGTTGCGCTGGGCCTGGCTGCCGTTCGCCTTGCTCGTAGTTTGAGCTTGTAGGCGGTAGCTATGGAAGATGGTTGAAGCCGAATCAGAGTGAGCCGCATGCAGTTTTGATGTTTGCCTACGATGAGATGTATTACGGCGAAACAAAGGTAAACGCGCTGTTGTGTTGGGTCACGACCCGAATCGTGCGCAGTGTGTCAGACTGACCTGGCGACATGTCACATGGTGGGGGATGGTGGCCTATAAATATGACTGTTAGGTACAGGATACTGGATTATTATTTACATAAATTTTTTTTATTTTTTATTAATAGATTAATTAATTAATCGTGGGCAGTGGGTTAATTTAATTTTTTCTTTTTTTTTTTTTTTTTTCCCTCACGGAGCAGTAATTTTAATCCAGCAAAGTAAAAAGAGGCTGAATGCCGCATAACATGGAAAAAAGGGGTCATAAGAGCCCACCGATTTTTTTTTTTTTTTTCCTTCGGAGCAGTAATTTAATCCCATAAAAAGAGGCTAAAGCCCATACAGGAAAAAAGGGGTCATAAGCCCATCCAAGGTTACCCAGGCCCTGTTACAGAGAAAAGGAAAATTCAGAGCTAAGCTAATCACAAATCCCACTCTCTGGTCTCTGCACAAATAAAAAGGTTATAAGCTCGCTATCAAGATTTATCTGTAATGATTTAGTGGGCTGGGCTCCTTATGTACAAAGAATGCTTTGGTCCTAAAATCCTTTTACAGCCCATAATTTAGCTACTTGGTAGGTAGGGTAGGGCTGACTCAACAATTAAGTTCTAATAATTTAAATTGCAGTCCTCACAACTAAGAATTCACTGGAATTATCATACAAAAAAGGAAAAATGAATAAACTTAATTAGAATATTAATTATGATGTTTACAAATTATCATCCCATACATATACTAATCAGTGTAATTACCACTTAACTGAGGAAAAAAATAAAAAATAAACAAAAAAAACAACATATGTACGTGCGAAGTGCTTTACTACTCATCATTATCACAATTATAGCACATTGAATTTATGCAATATATAATTATTTTGACATCCAATCACAACTCTAATCCCACTCAAAAATTAAAAAAAAAAAAAAAATCCACCATATATACACAATCGCATCAAATAGCCATTGTTAAGTCTTTTTTCCAATTACTAATAAGTTATTATGACAGGATAAAATCCTTTCATCGTGTTGCTTTTTTTTCCCACGGGGGGAGGCTGCTAATATATTAAATTAACTGTTTGTCCATTGCACGGGGAAAATGTGTAGCCACTTGCCAAAATAACACTCAAAGGTTTTATGTAAAAAAGATGGAGAAAAAACTCAATTTAGCCCCTCAGGCTCAACTTAAAAAAAACGTTTAATTGAGTTTATTTCGTGAACACAGGGTATTAATGCTGACGGCAGCAATGACGAAAGGCTAAAGTAAGCATCAAGGCTCAAGCTGTTTGGACTCGGTAAGAAAATGGAAGAAAGCAAAACCGTAATGCTGACGTGTCAACGCATCATTCATCTAACGAATTGGCAAGCATCCCATTTATGGACCCAACGACCAGTGAGCCAAACTCAGTGTTAGCAGCTTACGGAAGAATATCAATTTTTAGGTCCCGGGCTCCTTTCACGAGCTCATGTAGTGGGGTCCGATCTTCACGGCATCTTTCGGAAAGCTTATAATTCATATCATACACTCATCATGCGCGTGGCACGCACGCTTCTTGCAAACCGAAGGTAAAAGTAAAACGTAAAAACAGGGGCAAACTCATGTTCTTCAGTTCTTCTAATGATCGTACTGTATTTAGCATCATTTCTTGGCAAGGACCTTTTGTGTGGAATTTTTTTTTTTTTTTTTTTTTCCGTTATTTGGCAAGGAACCTTTTGTGTTGGAAATTTTTTGTGGAATTTTTTTTTTTTTTTTTTTAATTTCCGTTAAGATACAAAATTTGACCTTGTAGATTAAAAAATGTTATTAATTAAATAACGCAATGTTTAATTTTTTTTAAAAATAACTTAATCGAGTAATTCAATATACTTTCAACTTAATATATCTTAGTTTTGGAATTATTGATAAGCTAAGTATTTTTGAATATAATACCTTTCAAGAAAAGATTTTTCTATTTTAAAATAATATTATAAATATAGATCCTTTAATTTTAAGTTTTATATAAATAATTTGAAAAGTGTAGCACACATGCACAAGATAAGCGTGAGAAATGTGGTCTCAAGATGAACAGATTGATTTGCCCTCAAGCAACGAGAAGATGAGGCAGTATATAAAGGTGGGTGAATGGGGCTTTGGTTTCCTCGGAAGTGATATAGCAAGTAGCGATGGGGAGGCAACCTTGCTGTGACAAGTTAGGGGTAAAGAAGGGGCCTTGGACTGCTGAGGAAGACAAAAAGTTAGTCAATTTTATTTTCACACATGGCCAATGTTGTTGGCGCGCCGTTCCTAAGCTCGCTGGACTTCGCCGCTGCGGCAAAAGTTGCCGTCTCCGCTGGACTAATTACCTCCGCCCAGACTTGAAGAGAGGCCTTCTCAATGAAGCTGAGGAAAATTTAGTCATTGAACTTCATGCGCTTCTAGGCAATAGGTAGAGTGATTAATCTTTTAATTAATTCTTTATTATTATTATTATTATTTAAATAAATCAATGTCACTTGATTAGCCATGTTTAGTGAACTTTCTTCTTTCTTTTCTTTGGTCTAGTTCTTGATAGAGGCAGAAATTTCAATTTATATCTGAGTGTAATTTATAATGTGAATTACAATTTTTGAATTTCCAAGAATCATCAGTAAACATTAATTACAAGTAAAGAGTATTATTAATAAATAATCTTTTGGCTTATTAATTTTAACTAAAATAAAAGGAAATTAGTGTTAAATTTAAAATATCTCAGATTAATAAGTTGTCTCTGTTAATTTAGGGCGGAGGGAATAATACAAAACAAATGCGTTATTACTTAAACTAAAATAAGATAATTGATATAGTATATTAGTAATATTCATTTTGTTTTAACCTTTTCTTTCCTTCTTTTTTTTTTTTATTATTATTTATTTATTAGATGGTCCAAGATCGCATCAAGATTACCTGGGAGAACAGATAATGAAATCAAGAATCACTGGAATACCCACATCAAGAAAAAGCTTATTAAAAAGGGAATTGATCCAGTTACACATAAGCCTCTCAATAAAATACAAGAACCAACTTCTCACAACACCACTTCTAATGATCAACCCAATTTTAGTGCTGCAGAGAATCATAAGCAAGAATTATTACCAAATAATAAAAACAGTGACCATATTCATGCCTCCTCTTCCAACTCCTCCGGCGATAACTCTAATACAACAACTGAATCATCTGAAACAAACAGCTTTAGTGATCCGTTGATGGATTATATATTATCGGAGACATTTCTTGAAGATCATTCGAATTGGAATTTTCCAGTCACTCGAGAAAATCAATGTTGTGAACTTGGATTAATACCTTCACCAAAGGATTTTGAAGATGATGAATATTTTCGACTTGACTGTTTCAATGAAATGGACTACTTGAATGTGTTAGACATGGATGACAATCACTAATGAGGCTGGAGCTTAATTAATTAAATGGAGAAAAAGAACAACTCTAAGTTAATTCATTTCTTGAATTTCAACCTTCTTCTTTTTTTCTTAACTTATTTCTTCTTCACATACCCACCAACCATAATGCAAAAACCTTGGAAAGGAAAAAGGGTGTTTTGGTTTAATTTACTCTCTTGAAATCTTGTAATTATAATTATTAAGCAACAAAATGTTTTTAAGAAAAAAAGGTTAGGATGGGTTGTTGAGAACGTAATGTAGCTCAAACTGTGGAGATACCTATTGAAGTTTTTTTTTTTTTTTTTTGGTGGAGATACCCTATTGGAAAGTTTTAAAGTTTTTTTTTTTTTTTTTCCTAATGGTTGGTTATGTAATTACAAATGCTAGAATATGTAATTGGTAAGAGATGTGTGGTATCAATGTCACCCCACTCTTAATTAAAAGAGTTGAGTGGTTGAAGTAGGCAAATCTATTTGTATTATAATGATAATAACAATTTGGATAATTAGAAATTTTATTTGACCAAAGATTTATACATACTTTTCCTTTTGTGTATATAATTTTCTAGTTGTTATAATAGTAATTATTAATTAACTTCAAATAATTCCTTTCAGAAAAAAAAAAGTTCAAACAATTTATCATCAATCATATATTAAATTTGTCTGCCTTCAAAATTTAGGTCATAAAGTCAAAATCCAACCACTCCCGTTTATTAAAAAAAAAATTTGGTTGTACCAAAAAAAAGGAGTATCTTTGAAAAATTTTATTCATACAGAGAGATGACGTAAAAAATTTAACTAATTATCAATAAAAATTCAATCTCAATATTAAAAAATTAATATTTAATTTCCACTATCAAATTAAATCATTTTATAAAGTTTTCAAATTTGTTTATATTTTCACATTTCAACTCTTATTTGATAGTAATAAACTATGAACAAGCATGGATCATATGAGCAATGAACTATTAAGATCAAGGCAGTATAAATTTAAGTATGTTTTTAAATAGAATATATATATATGGAGCAAAAATTAATTATTGTTTAATTTATATATTTTACATATTATAATTTTGATAAAGTATACTAATTGATCAACCCTCCATTATCCAATATTTACTTACAATATTAAAAGACTTATGAAATTTTTTTTTTTTTTTTTTTTTTTTTTTTTTTTTTTTTTTTTTGTTCTTGAGTTTTTTTTTTTTTTTTTTTGTTCTTTGAGAAAGGCATATTCATTTTCCAATGTCCCAATCCAAAAAGGGATTTGGTGAATGGTGGGCACCAACACTGATAGGGAGACACCCTCTACATTATTTTAAAAGACTTATGCATGTTTCTATATTCTTCACCATATTGGAGTCTTTTTGCTTATATATTATAAATTATCAAATATCATTATATGCTCCAAAAAGGCTTTCTTAAAGTTGAGGTCCAGCCTTACAATATAAGACACTTCATCTCACTTTAGTTATTTATTTGCTTATTTATAAATGCCAACAAATCTGCCAAGCTAAAATATTATCCCAAAGATAAATAAATAAAAAAGAAAAGGGATAGTGCAACCTTTGCAAATAACAAATGTTAATTTGTTATCTCCTCTCCATTTATTATACTAGAATAATATATTGATTTTAGGATCTTCTTGGGCTACTGTGATCTTTGGTGGTGCTGAAGGTCAGCTTATACTGAATTGCGTCGTCAGATAACAATTAACAAGACTATTATATGTATTATTCTTATTGATCAAGTATTGGGTTAATGGGTAAATTTAACCCTGTATTTTCAGCGATTATTCTTACAGCCTCCTGAATTTTGCGAAAAAATTCATTATACGACTCACATTTCAATAGCGTTTATATCCCTTTTCAAAAGATATGTAAAAGTGTAAATTCATTATTGAATTCTTATAAAAAATATTTCATTTTAAAAATATATATAATTATTACTGAAATATAAAAATATAAGATCACTTTTGAATCCTAACATCAAAGTTAACATCAAAGTTAGAAGGAAATCGGAAGGATATGTTTTGTTGCCGTCAAGTATTTGATGTCAAGTTATTTAAAAAAAAATGTTAATGACGGTAACGTAAACCATAATCTTAGCTAAACACCAGTCCCAGATGTGTGAAAAGCTGAGACAAAGTGGAATGCCTTTTTTGAGTTTGAAATTTGATTGTGCAATGATTTTTGTCAACAAAGTAAATGTTAGATATGAATCTTTTTTTTCTACCAACAAAATTTAAAAAGTCGTGTAAGCAATGAAACCTGTTGGCTCTTTTCTACCGCCATTAGCAATTTACCACTAAGCAACATATGCGGACAAGACATTGTAATTATCCTGTAAATTCTTTTTTAAGTTTCAGCAATAATTTGGAATGCGGAGTAGGAAGAGGTTTATTTGTATTTTGAATTTCTTTTTTCAGTATCAGAAAAAATGTTGAAATTTAGATCTACTGTCCGGCGCACATGCAGTCTCGAAATTTTTATTTTATTTTATTTTGGGAGAAGAGAGTAGAACGAGAGGCCATTTCAGTTTGAAACTTAAAAAGTTAAAAATTACCAGTTCAATCAAAACTTTTACCCCTCCTGTCCTGAACACCTGATTGAGGCGCAGGTGCATGATAAAGCAAACTAGAAGGTCGAACAGAACATTCCTTTGTTCCTCGCATGGCTATGGCTAAATGATTTTTCTATAAATAAATTTAAAAAGTTTAAACACCTAAGCTCGACAACCAATACAAGAGAAGATACCTTACATATCTAAATACAAAATTTATAGAGTTTTACAAAGCTAACAATAAATACGAGATACCTTACAGAGATAAACATTTACATCAAAATATCGAAAAAACTTGCCAATTGAAAGTTTCTGTACATAAAGGCGACCTCAATAAAAACAAGAGAAGCTATTCACACTGAAATCTATATATGTACAACTGCGAGCGGTCAAAATAGCAAAAATGGAGATGAACTCTGGCTGTGATAACCCAATTCTAAAATCCGGATTAAAATTTATACGAAATGAAAATAAGAAATTTTCACTGTTCCATTCTTGGAAAACTGGACAGCTTTTCCAGCAGCAACTGACATTCTTTTCGTCAAAAAGATCTACTGCTGTTGTAAGGAAGTATCTTCTTGAAATTTTCAGGCTGAGTTTTCCTCGTTGTCAGAGAAGCATGATCGAAACTGACTGTCCTAGAACCCTGAAGAGTTGTCAAGGAACTGATGGTTTGGAGGCAGCTGCTGCTGCTTCCCTGGTACTCTTAATCACCAGATCATAATTGATAGAAGCCAGCTGGGACAAGTTCTGAGAGCAGAAGAAGTAAAAATGATTATGACCAATACTAATTAAAACGACTTAATAGATGAATCATACGAGGATAAGTTTATCAGAGAAGTCATGTCAACAATTCAGAAATTTCCTTTAACTTATTTCTAGTGTCTCAAACTGTACCTTAAATGAGAAATTACTAAATGAGTACTTCACAGCAAGAGTGGGAGCATTAAAGTCGGCCAAGCTAACACATTCGTCCCCCTGGCACAAAACATAATAATTTAAAAAAAAAAAAAAAAAAAAAAGGGGCCCCCTGGCACAAAAACTAATAATTTAAAAAAAAAAAAAAAAAAAAAAAAGTGGTACAAAGGTTGTATTTGAATTAGGGCAATCTCAATTGGCATCAACTCATATTAAAAAAAAAAAAAAAAAAAAAGTGGTACAAAGGTTGTATTTGAATTAGCAATCTCAATTTGCATCCAACTCATATAAGAAATTAGGCTTCTAGGCTAAGCCATTGCTGGCTTCCATTATTTCAAAATGATTTTAGATTAGTCAAGTCATCCCATTTTCGAAATCATTCTTGCTAAAATAATCATTGGCAAACCAATGAGATCAGAGCCATGGTCCAATCAACTGAACCAAGTGTGCGTAGCAATTGGTAAAAAGATTATTATATAACTAAATATCCACGTACATCCTCATCATGTGTATTGCTTAATGATCCAGTGCTGCAAGAGTCGGTCAAGTCATCAAAGTCACTGCCTCCTTGAAAAATTTCACCCTCTGGATTCCATAAATACCGGCTCATAAAATAACTTGTGTCGTATGCATCAGCTACTGGTATGAACGTAGCCTGCAGCGAATAAGAGAAACTTGGTGAGCATTCCAAGCAAGATAAATATTTTTGAAATTGAGTACATTCGTAGATAGACAACCTTTTGCCTTGCAAGTGTGTCCCAATTTATGTTCCTAAAGAAGGGGTGTTGCTTCACCTGCAAGAAAGACAAGCTGCTTAATTTTAAGATCCTCGCTACTTTTATAATGTCTTTATCAATGATTATTGGGAGTGTACCTCTTTTGCTCCTGTTGCTCCAAGCCTTTGAACTGGATTTTCAGTCAGCAATCTGAAAATGATAATCCTGAAATTGTTAAATGATCATGTTTGTACTAAAGCAGTTAGGACTCACAAACCACTGGTCAATATGTAAGACAATGGGGGTGACCATAATATCAATGCCTAAGGAATTGCAAACTCAGATATGATAATTGCTCATCAAATCCCAAGAATCTTCCATACAAACCCTAATTTACTTCCTCATCAAATAGCCTAAATTATTAATCACATGTACTTCTCATAATGCACGCTAGCAACCAAACAGCCCAATACCTTGCCTTGTCTTGATTTTGATCCCTAACTTACATCTTTGCAAACCCTAATTGTCCACATATAATTTCTACACCTCTAGTCTTCAAATAAACATGAATGCTAAGACATGAAACCTGTACTACATCAAGGTCATCCTTGAATTTAAAAATACACCAAAAAAAATGAGTCATAGGTAGCACTAAAAGCTAGTAAACTATAGAAATTCACGTATCTTACTTGTCTATCAAATCACATGCTTCAAAGCTCATCTCCTCAGGTACCTTGGGCCAAGGTATATCCCTATTCATTATATTGTCAAATATTTGCTGCAAGAAATAGGAGCCATTAGTCTGCATCAAGCTGCACACAAGTATATAATGCTTTAACATTTAAAGAACACCTCTCACTCTTAGAAGCTTAATAGACTCTAGGAATTAACAGAGCAAAAAATAGAAACGTAGATTTTGGTGCCATATTTATCAAGTTACGCATTCCATGCATTTTTCTTAGCAAGCCAGAATAAAAATATTGGAAAAGGTAGCTTATGCTAGCGTGCATTTCTTGGTGCTATGTAGTAAGGAGCCTCAAAGAGGTCCTCCGGAGGAAGGATTAAATCCTTAGGAGCCATATGTCCAGTTCAAGGATATCAATATGGAAGGCATTTATAAACAGTCACGCTGGACTATGAGGTTAAGAAAGCAACTTCAATAATGGTAGTAATTTATTGATTTGCACAGTAAACAACAGCATCACGAACGAATCAAGCTCTTCCCTGCTATCCAAAACCATTGAAGAGTTAATACTGGCATCTGTGGATGGCCTACCTGTGGAGTTTCTGCATTGAATGGTGGAAGGCCAACAAGCAACTCAAAAAGAATAATGCCCACAGACCACCAATCAGCAGTTGCACCTACAAGGAAAATATGAGGACAGATGAGACCACTGAAAACCGAAACAATAAATTCACTATTTAACTAGAAAAATAAGTTAAAAACCATGTCCCATGCCAAGAAGTATCTCAGGTGCCAAATAATCAGGAGTCCCAACTACAGAATGCTTTTGGCGCTGGTCTCTCTTCGATGAATTATGACTTTTTGTTTCGTGGTCATCAAAAAAATCAGTACTGCTGAATGATGTACCAGATAAGTCATCTGTGCTATTGATAAGACCAACCTTTGAAAGCCCAAAATCTGTCAGCTGTAAAAAAGAGATTATAGATTCCAAAAAGTGATCTGGAAATATGGCAATGCCAAGTTCAACAAAAATGCCTAAAAATTGTGGGAAACCAAGAGGAAGCATTTGACAGTGTCACTTATAGTTTATATAGAACAGGAGGCAGTTCTCATACGCATAACAACCTACTAATCTTTTCAAAAAATGACAGAGATTCAAGTTTAAGTGTCTTTCAGAATAAAACATTGGATGACAGTTATCATTCTCGAGAGGGTATGTTGAAGCTACAAAAACAACAATAATGGCGAGCTAACAAGTCGAGTTGAATAACAATATGTCATAGTAATTACAGGAGTTCAGGAAAATGTTTGCAATGACTACATCCAAACTAACAATTATATGTACACTGTACAGAAGTACAAAGAGAATAGACCATAAAGTAATCAAATTTCAGTACACTATTCCATGAATACTCATCTCAAAAGATATGGAACCTCTAATAAATTGCAAACATGTATGAAATATCACTAAAAGAATGCCAATCCTTTCAAAGACGTGGTATTTATTAATTTATTCTTTTGGTGGTGGGGGCAAAGAAATGACAAAGATTAAAATTTCAAAGTATCAACCTTAAGATGGCCATCTTGACCAATCAACAAGTTGTCCGGCTTCAAGTCTCTATGAATGACACTTAGAGAATGCAAATACTCCAAAGCAAGAACCTGGGGAGAATAAAACCAACTTTTTGTACCTTGGTAAGAAAATTTTATTGATTGATAGATGGTACACGAATCCAGGAAACAGCAAGCATAAAATTCTTACAACTTCTGCAATATACATACGGGCCATGTCTTCATCCAAGCAGCCCAAGTTTCTCAATAGTGAGTAAAGATCTCCACCATTTAGATATTCCATGACCAGATACAGATTTTCCCTACATGTGAAGGAGTAGAAAAATCTGACCTGTTTGTCATTAAACATATACATATTAGAATAACATTTTAACATTCAGTGAAACCCAATAATGCTAAGACATTATGAATTTTGCTCACCACAAAAGGATAGCGAACTGATATAAGGATGTTACGCTCTGCCAAAATACTTTCAACCGCATTTTTACGAATCATATCAGCCTTCTTCAAAACCTATAACAACATTTTGAAATTTACAAAAAAAAAAAAAAAAAAAAAAAAAAACCCTAATAACAACATTTTTGGAAATTTACAAAAAACAAAAAAAAAAAAAAAAAAAAAAAAAAAGAGCTAGCTTGAGCACTTCCAAGACCCATGTAGAGAACAACAATTTGCAAATGCCAATGCATGGTTCCATGACTAGCAGCATAACCATAAAGATTATAAAAGCATATAATATCAATTGGAGTCTTTCTGACTGCTAAATATAAGTGGCATGAATGCAGACCTTTATAGCAAATAAATCACCAGTCGCTCTCTTCTTTGCAAGGAATACCCGTCCAAATGCCCCTTTGCTGATTGGTTTTATTATTTCAAAATCTTCTATAGAAGTTCTGTCCTTTGAATATGTATTAACAGGGCTTGCACGCAAGCTGCGAACTGTATCATCTTCCACAGAACTCTCTTCATCTGCCATATGATTTGATGAGTCTAATTTTTCATCATCTATCTGCGCACAGAGATGCACATATTTTTCCCTGTACGTAAATTCCAAAAAGACAATAAAGATAAAATAAGAGATAGTTTCTCAACAGTAAAAAAAAACAAAGAGCCTAACCTCACAATTGATTTGGATTACTTCTACAGATTCCATTACTATATTTAACTAGGTTTCATGTTGAGATGAATGTTTAAGTTAACCAAAATAAATAAACGATTTAGAAGGCTCTTTAACTGAAAATCAACTAATTAATCTAATATAATGCGACATGATTACATTTAAAAAAAAAAAAAAAAAAATTGCGGACATGATTACATTTTAAAAAAAAAAAAAAAAATCACCTAACAAGGATTAAAATATTAATTACAATATCATGCAGAGATAAAATTAAAAAAAAAAAAAAAAATCCACCTACAAGGATAAAATATTTATTACAAATATCATTGCAGAGATAATTTTCCAACAATCCATTTATTATTTCGATCAACTATTATTTCTCAACAAGCATCAAAAAAGTGAAAACAATCCAAATCAAACATACCTAAAACACATATGCACAACACGTAGAAACACCATGGCAACCAAAATCTAAGAGTTACCCTTCCTAGTTAAATTAAATGTCACAATTGAATAATTACAAAAACTTGCTAAAGAGCTTCATAATAATGATATATTTTTTATTATTGGAAAATAAAAAGAAGCTACTTACAATAATAACTTCTCTATACGCCGTCCAAAAGTCTCTACAATGAGGCCATCCACCTTCCTATCCTGGATGGCATATTTAAGGTCTTCCAGACGGTCAAGCATACATTCCAGTGCACTATAATCATTCTCGTTCACATTTGCAACAGCACGGGAAATATCCAGCAGCTTGCTTATCTGTCATGCAATCGTACTGTTAAGAAGCCAGTGCTAACACAATTGGTCAATTAATTATAGTTGGGAATTCTCCCACCTGCTAACGTGGCATGATGAATTAAGTAATATATTAACAGAATTGATAATACAGATAAAAGATGAGTTTTATGAATGAATTCTAAACTTTCCAATTGACCGTGATGTAAACATAATGTATGTTGAATCTCAGCTTGCATGGAATATCAGTTTAATATTGCTTATGATACAAATGGATCTACATGTATGCTCAATGGTGCCTCTACCCCAAAAGAAAAGGAATATGCAAGTCTAATGCATAGATCTGATCTCCATCTCTTCTTTACTACAGCAAAATTTCTCTTTGGCAAATATTAAATTTAGTGAGAGGGCAAATATCATTGGCAACAGGCTAAAAAGGGAAATTTAAAGCATGACACAGTTGGCCCGTATGCTCTAGGCTACCAGTGCAATTTCCATTTCAAAATGGTTTCTATCTTCGCACACAGCATACCTGTGATTCTTATTGAAGCACCTCTTTTTCATCAAGCATCACGAAACTGTGCAATAAGCCAATAACCAAACTGCAAAATTATCTAAAGGTCCATCTGAATTGGAACAGCTAATAATATCTCAAGTAACTTGATTTTCTTAGTGCTGAAAAAGATGAAGTCTCAGCATTAATCAATGGTTTTACTTACTTCATAGGGCAAAGGAGTACACGATAGATTCTGAATTTAAGGACATGGCATTTGTCAAAAGATGGAAAGTAAGAAAGAAAGGCAGAAAATCATTAGCATAATGCAGAGTGAAACTTAAATGCAAAAAGATGGAAAAACCTAAATAGAGAGAACCAATAACTGAAATGAGTTGCTAGTTTCTACAAATACAAACTAATGTAGATATCTAGAAGGGTTCTCAAGACGAATTCATCCTAAACTAAGAAAGATCGTACAACATAATAACTCAAAGCAGTTATATACCTGGTTATTATTCTCATGCTCTGTAATTGTACTCCGTCCATTCAATAGCAATTCAATCTGACTGGTCCGTGGCGTTAATAATGGTGATCGAGGTGTCAAGCTTCCTGCTGATGGAGTTTTTGTATCTACATAAAGCGTCGAAACACAACGTGCTTCACATGAAATGTCTGTGAAAAAATTCAGATCTTCCATGACAACAGCGTTATCAGCATGTGGCATGACATCTATTATGTCTTCAGTGCAATGGTGAGGGAAACTGTTCCGTTTTGGTGATAAATCATATATGTCCTCGTGTATACCTGACACTGTCACTCTTTCAACCTCAAGTGCATCAGAGCTTTTTGGTGTACTTTTTGGCGTCCATGATTCCAATATCTTATCAAGAGTTTCTGCAACTCTTTCAAGTCGTTCATTTACAGTCAAGCCTTTCAAGTCACATCTATCAGCAATAGTACATATCAGAGAATGCTCCTCTACATGTACTATCGGTATTTCAACCTCACAAATACGACATATCATCAAATTACCAAATGCGACATTATGTTGGTCCCCCCAGAATCCCCAAGAAACTCTTCTCATTCCTGATGATGTAGAATGCTCTGGGGTTCCAAGATTTTCAGAATTGTCATCCCCAGCAGTTCTTGTTTCATCTTTATTATATTGCTGTTCTGTTTTATCCTTAGTAGGTGTATCAACAGCATCAGTGCCCTTCCGATTTCTCTCAGCAGGAGATGGAAGTTTCTTCCATGATGACATCCTATAGCTGCTTGTAGTTGAATCAACACTTTTAGCAGTATTAACCTCCACATTTTGATCTACTTGACCTTGTTGTATAATTAGACCATCTTGTCCTTGAGCGTGGGACTTCTTTCTCTGTTTCTCACTCACCACCTTCCCATCAGCCAATGCAGCAGGAAAATCCTGTGTTGCAACTTCCAGAATTTGTTCTGGATAAACTCCAAGGTCACTAAGTTGATGAAGACCTAAAATATGATCATCTTCACAACGACTTTCCTTCTGGAACTGCACAAGCCTAGTACATCGGGTAAGGATAAAGAGAAGGCGGGTATGCGCTTGTTTGATGATCCCCATTGGTAGCTCCTGCCGCTTATCATCTAGATTCTGGACAATAGCCTCGCATTTGCCCCAGAATTCATTAGGTGACATTTTTGAACATTTTCGAGCTACAACTAACAAATCCTCCAAACTTTCTTTCCATTCAGGATGAGAGTCCATAGACTTTTCAAGTATGCTAACTAAATCTCCAGCAAATATGCCTAAATCGGTATCAACTTCTTCCTTTAACTTGTCGAATTTTGCCCTGATTGCCACCATAATCTCCTGAAATAGAATAATCCAACAGAATAGAACAGATACATAATAAGGAAACAGAAAAACAGATCAATATACGCAAAGAATGTAAGAATACCATAATATGAATATACCTCCATATGGCCAAATGCCCGAGATTTCCAAACAGGAAATGGCCGAACTCCTTTGGAATTGAGCTCGTGAGAGAAGCTCTTGACATCTGGAGCCTTCTTCTTCCGACCACTAGTAACACGGAGTATTGCCTGGAACCGTGGAGACTGCAATTCTTTGGCAAAAGCCGCATGATTACTCTGCAAGGATACCAAAAACAACAATCATGCAATTGAAACATAAATAGCTCCTATACATGCAGACAAAACTAAAAAAAAGAAAATTTTGCATTACCTCCAATGCCGGATTGATTGATAATGGATATTTTAATGATTTCGATTGTTGCCATCCAACCTTTTTAACTGCAGAGGAAATCTTAATAAATCATCCATAACAAAAAAAAAAAAAAAAAAAAAAAAAAAAAAACCATCCAACCTTTTTAAACTGCAGAGAAATCTTAATAAATTCATTCCGATAACAAAAAAAAAAAAAAAAAAAAAAAAAAAAAAAAAAAAAAAAAAGAAAAGTACGTATCAAAATCTCAGTTAATCCTAATTAAGACCTTGATCCATGGAAGATACTTTATGAAGACGAAGGGCCAATTTAAGCCTTTTTCTTTATCTTCCTTATTTATAATATTGCTATTATTATTGCCGAGATTAGAAGGATGACCGGCAGAACAAAAACCTAAAAGAAAATGGAGACAGAGTCTGTGTCCTTGCTAGGATCCTAATTGCAAGACAAGGTATGGGACTTGTCTTGGATATGGAATTTCAATGTGGAGTTTATATGAACTTAGGCTCTCCAACTCCCAAGGTCATGACAGCCTTTATATGATTAAGGACGAGAGAAGACGCAAGAATGATCGAGGAATTACCATCTTCCTTTTGCAAACAGGAAAGCTCGCCATCCTCCTCGTGTTCAATATCGTCTTCGGGAAAATGCGCCCGGCGAATCGGAATGGGAGGGATTTTTCGAAGCTTGTATTTGCTTGGCGTGGATGAGATAGACGGCGTCGATTCTGATGGATCGTGATTGTCGGAATTGCTCGAAAACCTTGAGTTAGACATTGATAAAAGATGTTTCGTTGACGTTAACAATGTCCTTCATTGCATTTGCATTATGAGTGCTTACTGGATACGGGTTATGTGAGAGAGACAAGATTGAGGAAGAGAGGATTCGTTAGAGCGAGAAGTATGGAGGAAAAGAGGGAGAGAGGATTTAGATTAGAGAAGGAGGTTTTCGCGGGAAATGGAACGTTTGAGGGTGACACGACGGGAGATGGAGATTTTTCTTTTTCTTTTTCTTTTTCCTTTTTTTTTTTTCTTTTTTATTTTTGAGAATATGGATGGAGATTTTTCAGTTCTGCTGGATCCTTCCTTTCTCTTCTCTTTCTATAATTTTTTTCATTATTATTATTATTTTGAAAATAAACGTGCTTTCCTGCGAACAGCTTGTTACCTAGTGCGTTTGGCGTTGTTATTGTTTTGTATTGTGTTCGTATACTTCGTGTGCGGGTGAGGACTACTCCGTTGCTGCTCGGCGGCTCACCGTTCCAATGATATTTTTTTTTAATAAATTTTCGAATTTTTTTATTATTCAATAAATTTGTTAATTTTTCCCCGTTTTAGCGGGTTAATGAAGAAATACTTAAATCTGTATTTTCTTTAAAATTTTTAAATTTAAATTTTATATCTTTTTTTTTAAATAAACTTTTCCCAAAATAGAATTATTTCTAATTTTTTATTTGTTGGCTTCACCATAATTTTGTTTTAAACAACATACAGTAACGAATTGACATTATTGAATGGCGAAACATAACATAACGATAAATGCATACATAATTTGGTAATAGAGTTAAGTTCGATTCTTCTTTTTTCTAATACTCAATAATAAATAGCATTATTCACAATTATTACTTAAAGTTTTTAGTTTTTTATTTATTTATTTTTTGCATAAAAAATATTTTTTATTTTTATTTATTTATTTATTTTATAATTTGTATCATTTAAAGGTAAAAATACTAAAAAGGTAAAAATAGAGATACAATTTGAAAATAATAGAATTTTTTTTAAAGGTGAAAAGAATAAAAGTATAAGTATTAATGACACATATCGTACTTAAAAGTTTAATGTTGGTTCCGTGCTATAACTTTTGTCCTATTTTCCTTTTATATATATGATATTAGTTTTTTTTAAAGTGAATGATATTTAAAATTATTATTTTATCTCCATTTAATATTTTTCTTCTAACAATAAACATGCAGCTAAATATTATATTATTAATGAAATCTTGATATAAATAAAATTACAATATAAATTTTTAATCTTCGAGCAACACTCTATTTAATCTAATATTTAATTATAGTTTGAAAATTTTAAAGACAATTTAATATATGTCGTTTAATTTTAATGAAATATTAACATAAGTGTATATTAAGAAAAAAATAAAATAAAAATTATAATTTTATTAAATTAACTAAATTTTTTTATTTTTATATAAGTCAAACCAACCCAAATTATGGGATGGAAATGAATTTCAATTCTCAAAGTCAATATTTAATTTCACGATGAATAAATGCTCTGTAGTTTTTTTTAGGAAAATTCCCTCAACTTGGACAAAATGTTAAAATTGCTCGTAAATATATTTTTTGGGTTACATATTTTTTAAAACAAAGAAAAAAAAAATATATAAAAGATATTAAACGGCAATGGATTTTCGGAATGCAGCAAATGCACTCGGGAAGTTCCTCCAAAACATCAGTTCGGCTGTTAAACTCTAGCTGAAAGCCACTTCTCAAATCGCGAACCTCGTAACGGCAGCTGCAGGATCGCGAACCTCATAACGGCAGCTGCAGGATCGCGAACCTCATAACGGCAGCTGCAGCGAGCACAGTGCCCCAACCGCCACAGTCACAATGTCCGCTGTTATCCAGAGAGCCGCCTGGAAACTCCGTCACAGATATGTTCCCAAATTATCTAGTTTGTATCTTCCCAGGACCCGACACTTGAGCACTCAAGCAGTACGTCGACAAGATGGAGCCAGCGTGGGTCTCTATGGATTCGATCACTTGAAGACTCCCAAAGGCTTTCAGCGCTTCGTTGATGACGCCATCGAGAGGTAACTCTTTTGTTTAATTCTATACGTCGCCAGAAGCTAAAAGCAAACGAAAATATGAGGTGAAATTTACTATTATTTTTTCCTTTCCCATTTCTTGTTGCGACAGTGAGGTAACTGAAAACCTCGAACTCTAGGCTTTTTTGTTCTTGCGTTCATACGAGTTCACCTGCAAAATGCGATAGTTCTAGATTACTTCTGGTGTGGTATTTGTTTTAATGGCGATAGTTCTAGATTACTTCTGGTGCGGTATTTGTTTTCATGATTTATGACGATTAACCTAAATTTCAGCTGAAAATATCTTTACGTGTCTGGAATTCTCCTTCTCATTGATTGTGGTCTTCAGTTTAATGCATGCTAATTTGGCAACCAGAAAAGAGCATTGAATTTTAACAATTTATTCTGATAAATTCCTAGCAATTAAGGTTTATACATTTATGATTTTTATTTTTATTGCTGCTTTGTATACTTTTTGGTGAAATTTATATTTTCTTTTAGGTCTGGGGAACTAGTCGATCATATTTCTACAATGCCTTCATCAGCTGAAATTGTCCGAGCCATGGATGAGATTTCAGACACAGTATGTTCTGCACTTAGCATGTTTTTGCTTACCAGTTGTGTTAGTAATTAATTTAATTTTTTTATTTTATTTTTAGAGTGTTTTTGATGTTTGATATTGCAGGTGTGCTCTGTTGTTGACTCGGCAGAACTTTGTAGACATACTCATCCAGACAGGTCTTCTTTTCCCCACCAAATATTAATTTGTATTTGACATCATGTGTTTGAGTGATATTATTTGATTTTTGTTATTCACTGTCATTTTTTTTAGGGAGTTTGTTGAAGAAGCTAACAAGGCATCAATGAGAATCAATGAATATCTACATGTGAGGTGACCAGTAGCCTGTTTGGTCTATTGCTTTTTAAGTACTTGCCCATATAATTGAGTCTGTTATTTTCTAGGTCAAAGAGATTAGTTTCATCAGATGTTTCATATAATCGCTTTGGTGCGTTTTCTTCTTTGTTTTCAGTATCTCAATACAAATCATACTTTATATGCTGCGGTTAAAAAAGCAGAAGAAGATGGGCATTTGCTAACAAAGGAGGCTCATAGGGCTGCCCACCACTTACGCATTGATTTTGAAAAGGGTGGAATCCATCTATCTGTTGGTACACATCCTGTTGCTATTGGTTTTATATTCTTCCTCTATGCAATTTTCCACTTATGCAAATTACATTTATAAAAGAGCTCTTCTCTTGTAGGTAATAAGCAAGCTGTTTTTCCTTTGCAGAGAAATTAGATAGAGTAAATCAGCTAAACATTGACATTTTTCAGCTTTCTAGGCAGTAAGTACGATTTGTTTTTCCTTGCTGCTTTGTCTTAGGCATCCCCATGACTTCTTCTAAATGAATTGATTATCATCGTGATTTATATTTTCTTTATTTATTGGTCAGATTTGGTGAAAATATTAGTATTGATCCAGGTCAAGTGGATATATTTCCAGCATCGAGAATCCCAAAAAATATTCAACCTCTCCTAACTCCTGTTCACCGCTTCACATCTGGAACTTCTGGAGGATTGTTAAGGTCACAAAAAGAAAAAGGACTTAGGATAATAACAGAGCCACGTACTCTACTTTCTGTTCTGCATTGGGCATCAGATGATGAGGTAGCTTTCATTTTGTTGATAGTATAGATGGTAACCTTGCCTCTGACTTTTTAGAAAGCTGAGATTCCTGGATGCTAGCTCTAGGTTCTAGAATTTCTGAAACATTTTTTTTTCTCTGGCTGTTCTAGTCTTTATTTTTAAATTAAATTACCCAGTTAAACTGGTTAGAGTTTGAACGTGAGTGAGAAGATATCTTTCTCTCTCACATGTGAACATTCCCCTTTCTGTCATCCGGAATTCTAAACTTTTTTTTCCCTGTTTCAGGTTAGAAAGATGGCATATATCGAAGGAAACTCAGTTCCATGTGCAAACCTCAAAGTTCTTGATAAGCTTATTGCTGCTCGCCATGAGCTTGCTCAGGTTATTTATCATTGTAGAAAATGTTTGGCAATCATGGATAATGTGTCAGGCAGTTTGATTGTACACTTTGATGGTTATTTATTATGGAACAATCTCACATGTGATTGTATACTTTTATGGATTGTGCAATGAAGCAGCTCTCATGATTCAAAACCACATGCCCTGAATAAACGTTGTTGGTATAATGTCAGCATACATTGCCTTAACTTGATCCAAAATGAAATTGCTCTGTTCTCTCTCAAGCTTGGATGATATTATAGAGATCTCCCTCCTGATGGGTATAATTATGTTTTGGTGTCTCATAAGATAGCCTTATATACTGATGGACCCATGCATAATGTCCATGAGAGAGCCATCTCTAATCCATAATCAAAATGGTGTGGCTCTATCCAATTTATTGAACCATGGTAGAGGTCTTTGTTCTTTCGTCAAAGCACAAGGAACATTGATGAAACATGCTTGCAAACAGCCATTCCTGCTATAAAGACATAGAATTAGCTGTCTAGATTTTTCGAATATCTTGAGTTGAACAGCAAATGATCTTAAATGGTAATCAATTTCCATGTGTAATTTCTTGTAAGGTTCCATGCTTTATATGATAGTTTATAAGGTTCCCTTATTTTATTGTTCCTTGTGAGAATGCAGATTATGGGGTATAGATCTTATGCTGAATTCATGGTGAAACCGAACTTGGCTTCATCACCTGAAGTTGTGACGTCTTTTCTCTGTGAGATGAGTGAGATGATCAGACCAAAAGCTGATAAGGTATCTCAGTGGACATACTTGTGATGCATGAATTATTACTACTTTTTCACTGTGGCTGTGGTCACTGATTTTTTGCTTTAATGAGCACTTGATTTCCGTATAGGAATTTGAGACTATTCGAAACTTTAAGAGAGAAAAATGTGGTCAAAGATGTGTTAATTTAGAGCCATGGGACGAGGCATATTATACAGGGATGATGAAGTCTTCCGTTCAGAATTTGGACTCTTCGGTGGGTTGTATGTTTCTGTTTGTTCTTCATTTCATTTTTATGGGTGTATTTCTTCTAGTTTCTTGTGGATATAGAGTAAGCTGTTTAACCTTCAAGTATGAGAAGGATTAATTTTCTGTAAAAAATTCTCCCTTAATTTTCCCCATCTTCTAGTGCAGATAGTAGCATCATATTTTCCTCTGCAACAGTGTATTGAAGGTTTGAAAGTACTGGTGAAGTCATTATTTGGTGCAACGTTTCATAGTGTCCCAATGGCTCCAGGTGAATCGTGGCACCCAGAAGTGCTTAAAATGTGTCTTCATCATCCTGAAGAGGTATATAGATAGATGAATGAGTAAAGTTGTAAAGCCCTTAATATTGTTTGTTTTTATCACAAAACTCAACATATTTATATCCTATAGGTATTTAGATACTCCACGAAATTGTCTATGCATGTGATATATTGATGTAGAATTCAATAGCTTGAATTACGCATCAATTTGGTTACTTTCACATAATTCCAAATGTACACCTGGTAACTTCAAACTTACTTTCCCCTTTCCAGAATTAAGTAACATCATGTTAACTCTGTCATAGCTCCACTGGAAACATATCAAGGAGGAAGGAAAATAGAGTGAGAGGGGGGGAGAATGAAGATGAAAGTCAGTCTCTCATTTATTGGGATGGGAAAAAAACGGGACATTGAAAATGAGACAAAAAGTTGTTTTACTGTGCAGAAATTACGAGCGTATCCTTTCTATAGTTAAATATGTTGTCATAGGTGTAAATTAGTTATTTCATAAATTTTGGGAAGAAATTATTAGTGGTCGCATGTACAATTTTTCTTCAATTTACCCTTCTCAGTGTTCTCCTCCAATTTTCCTTATTTGCCTTTGTTCTGTCTGGTTCTAAATCATATCTACAGCACTTGTTGTTGGTTTCATTAACTTTCTGTTCGTTAACTGCAGTTCTCATTTATGTGCATGTTCAAGGCGCTCTGACATAGTTTACTCTGATTCGGGCATTATGCTTTTGTTTCAGGGTAATTTGGGATATCTGTACCTTGATTTATATTCCAGGAAGGACAAATATCCCTGTTGCGCTAATTTTGCAATTAAAGGAGGACGCCGCATATCTGAAACAGAATACCAGCTGCCTGTAAGTTAATAGTTTTGTCAGCATTGGTCAATTTTTCATTGTATGTCATGTTTTTCCAAATATTTTACATTGTAGCATACAATAGTTATTGTTTCCAGTGCTTTGAGTTCAACTGGTTTTAGTTGGAAACTACTACGGAATCATTTAAATAAGAATGTTCAATGGTGTTTGAAATATTAAGATGGACCAGGCGGAAAAAAAATATTTAAATTCTAACCAATTGAGACATATCCTACGAATCCCTCGAGGGAGCTGGTTTTAGTTGGAAACTACTGCAGAAGCATTTAAATAAGAATGTTGAATGGCGTTTGAAATATTAAGATAGACCAGGTGAAAATATATTTAAATCCTAACCTATTTAGACATCCTAAGATTCCCTCGAGGGAGCTTGCTGTATCCAGATCAACCTCTTTTGGTTCCAAAACCATCAGGATAGGCCTACGATCATTCATCTGTAGTCGTAATATTGGCTGTTCTTGCCTAAGTATATACTAAGTTGGAGTAGTTTTGTTGGTTTATTTAAAGAATGTATCATGAAATTGATATCATCATGGAAGACCAAACTTTTCAGTACTTCGATTCATCTGGAGGGAAAGGGTTGATTAACTCATTTATTTCCAGTGGCTCTTTACTAGGAAAATGTATCAAGTAAAGCTCATATCCTGCAGTACTAATCCAACAGAATTTATTTCCTGGCTTAAGTTGTTTTTACTTTTATGTTCTTTCATTAGCTTAATTTTGGTATACTGCAGATTGTGGCCCTTGTTTGCAATTTTTCGGGATCATATAGTTCACCTGTGAGGCTTAACCACTGGGAAGTGGAAACTCTATTTCATGAGTTTGGACATGCTCTTCATTCCTTACTCTCGAGAACGGTATAACTGAGTTCTGTGTTCAAACCCTGATGTGAAATAATTGAAATTAGGTTTCTTTTTTTTTCCATTTATATTCTCATCATTATTCTTGTAGGACTATCAACATTTTTCAGGTACTAGGGTAGTTCTCGACTTTGCCGAAACTCCTTCAAACCTGTTTGAGTAAGTAGCAAATTGTTAGTTTCAATGTTTTCATCCTTTTTTTCTTGCTGTTATGATTAGTAAATATCTTAATTACACTTTTGGAGGCAGTAGCATGATAAATACATGGATCATTTAAGAGGTCAAATAGTTTCCGTGTCACATATGCGACTTTGTTAAAACTTTGAGCCAGTAATTACCCTGAAAATATAGTCCCAAGTACTGAAGCATCCCAGTGTTGTTTCAATGTTTGGTAGAATGGTAAGCTTAGTTATGTTCAGTTTGGTATGATAAAAATCATAAAAATAATCAACGAAATTGGCAATTCATATGTTGATGAAAATCCCACATGGTCCAGTTGGATCACCTGTAAACTCTCAATTGAATTTTTAGTTGGTTTGGTTCTAGCCATCTGAGTAAACCCAGAGAAGGTAATCTGTTTCTTAGATAAGTTCGACTGTAAGTTTTATTCATGTTTCTCGCATTTGAAAATAATTACATAGCACAACTGATCATTGACCTGAAATTGATCTGGGGGCAGGTACTATGCCTGGGATTATCAAGTCCTGAGAACGTTTGCCAAGCACTATTCAACTGGTGAAATAATACCTGAGAAGTTGGTCAAGTCAATGCAAGGTGCTAGAGATATGTTTGCAGCTACTGAATTGCAACGCCAGGTTTATTTTTCTGGGCCTTGAATGAATTAACTGTTCGATGCCACGAAGTAGTCGTGTGAAGCAAAAAACATATTTAACCAAATTTTGTTTACTTGTCTGGTACTCTTTAGGTTTTCTATGCTTTGGTTGACCAAACACTTTTTGGAGAACAACCAGCTTCTTCTAGGGATACCAGTTCTATTGTTGCAGATCTTAAAAGACAACACACCAGTTGGAAACATGTCGAGGGTACACATTGGCAAATCAGATTCAGTCATCTTGTAAATTATGGAGCAGGTATATCTGGATTCATGAATCATATGCTGTTTCAATTAGTGGACAAAGTTGGCAATTCGTATTTGTGCGCGCATCTGTGAGTGATACCTGGGCATCAATACAATTATAATGAGTACAGAAAATAATGAGCCTGGCTATGGTTTGAGTAGTGTAAGGGTTGTTGATATGGGGCTTGCATGGTTTTTAATTTTGATTCTCATTTCTCACTCTATCTATAGTTAAGAAGTAATATTCTGATATGCTTCTTGTCCAAACATTGGAACTGCTTAACATGTACTTACGAGATCTTTGTACAACGTGCAGGTTACTATAGCTACTTGTATGCTAGATGTTTCGCTGCAACCATATGGAAAAAGTTATGTCATGAAGATCCACTTTCATTAACCACAGGGACTGCTCTTAGAATGAAAGTATTGCAGCATGGTGGAGCCAAAGATCCTTCAGAAATGTTGAATGATATAGCAGGAGAAGGGATTTTAAGGCATTCCAATGGAGGGATAGTTCCAGACATGACAAGCTTTTTGGACGAGTTGAGGTTGGTGGATGATCAACATTAAAAGATGGAGAATAGCAATAATTGGATAAACCTAGAGAAAAGGATATACACTCATGGGGCAAAGTATGAAGCAGACAACCAATCGTTTGATGATTTTATGCAATTTTATTCTAACAGCGCATGTGGGAAGAAGTGTCATCTGTTTTAATTCCCATCATCGGACAAAGGACCCAACCCAGCAAATATGGGCACAGCGAATGGTTGCATGCCATGGCCGCTTCAGGAACTGTGCCAACGTGGGAGTGAGAGAGTTTCATTTGAAGAGTCCTTTGAGTTTTTCTTGCGATGATAAATGATTGCAAGATGAAGTGAGATCGACTATTTTTTATTGATCACATCCATCATAACCTTTTTTATTTTGATTCTTTTGAAGGTCATTTATATCAATTATAGAACAGCAGACTTTCATATGATACAAATAATTTATAATTATGAATCGATGAGAGCAAAACCCATCAAAATCACACTGCTTGCATTTGATTACACGATCTTTATGTAAACTAACTGTCCAAAAAGAATATTGCGAATATGCAAAGATTTTTATTATAATTATTATATTCTAATTAAGAGATTTAATTAGTATTTTTTGATTTAGAATAAAAAAAAAATTTTCTTTCTAATTGAAAAAGAAAAAAGAAATTCTTCTAGAAACTCTTCATTTCGAACCCTTGTGTAGCTTATGTTGAAGTTTCCATTCTCCTTTCGCTCGTCAAGTTACTAGTATTGCACAATCCTATTAGAATCACCCTGCTCAAACTTGGATACGAGATCATTACACGGGGTTGGACAAGGAATTCAAATACGGCTTTTACAATAGGGTAAGATTTACTTACACCTACTTAATGGATGGTTTCATACAAGCTAATATGTTACTACTGTTTTATTTTTTCCAAAATATGATTAGAAATATAATCATTTGAACAAAAAAAACTATTTGTAATTAATTTGACATATAAATGAACCTATACAATATAGATAAGTCTTTCCCTTTACGCCAATAAAAGTAAGATCCCATCAGAATCACCTTCGAACTTGAATACTTCATCTTTATCTAGACTTGGATCCAAAATTCTGAGCAACATATTCTTCTATTGAGGGTTCAAAAAATAACTAGAATGTGGATTATCCACATTATCAATATCTTCAATCATGTAAGCTGAAAAAAGAATTGAAGCGTTATTCTACATGTTAATTAGAAATATAACCTTCTCTGTACGACAGCCATCCGCTTACCAACAAGCTATGAGACGCTCCGAGCCAGAATTTTGCTTTCTGCTGTCACTATCCATTCACAAATGATTGTATTCACTTCTTCTGGTTTCTCATCGTGGGGGCAGTGGCCTGAAATTTTGACCAGATTCAATGGTTAACTGCACTTTCCAAGAAAGATTGGGAATAAAAACTTATTGATGACACAACAATGGAACTACCAGCATCCAGTTCCCGAATTGCGAACCCAGGACAGTGCTCTTTGAACATGGACACTTTGGACTTGGAGTTAGAGATGGGATCTTTCATTCCCTAATTAGAAAATAAATTGAAAAACAGCAGTACATATTGCAGTTAGATTATCTAATCACAGAAAAAAACGGAAAGATAGATAAAAAAATGCATGGGTTTGTCGAGTTGCCTAGCAAGCAGAAATTACCTGTATGATTAGAACCTTTTCCTTGAAAGCTTCCAAAAGATAATTAAGCGGAAGTGAAAGGTTGAAACTGAAAATACTTTCCAGGACCACTAATACACCAGGATCGAAGGACTGTCATGTGTGTTAAGATTATGATTCCATTATGAAATTTCCAATCCCAGAAGAGTCAAATTAAGTGGCTATGATATGTTTTTACTAAGGAAGAGGATACAGCTCTTAGCATTTCATTAATAAGCCAATCATCAGCTCTCTCAGTTTTCTGCAAGGCAAGAGGATGCAAAATAAAAAATGCATGAATATTGATGCAACTGAAGAAAATCAATGTGGAATTATATGACCACTCACAGTTGGGTAGCAGTTATTCACTATTGTTCTGATGTTCAACCTCAAATAGAGCAGAAGAAGTTGGGCACCTAGCTGTGCAACCATAGAAGTTTGTCTTTCCTGAAAATAAGAGACAATTAAATGCCTGAATATGCTACTCTTTGTGATGTCAGCTTTTGAACCTGAATGAATTAATTAGACACATGGGGAGCGCTCAGGAGGTAGGGTTGGTAGATTTTAGTTCGAGATTATAGCAGTAGCGTTCTCCAGACTCCACTTGTAACACACAACCAGCCACAAAATTGAAAATAACTTGTGAAGTTGCATTTAAGAAAACAGTATCTCGGCAATTGCTACAGGGATCAAATTGGCAGTTTTTAAGAGGCAAAGGAAACAAATAAATTAAAATGGTGCATGTGACAACTTGTGATGAGTAAGGTATTCAGACTTACTTTGGTGAATTGTAGGTAACCATATCCTGGAATAACATCCCCCGCACTGTTGATAAGAACAACAGACTTTACCAAAGAAGGCCAAAAACATGCAACAATAGATACAAAATAGCCTGGAGATAGAGACCAACAACTATTTAGAATTGGAAAGAAGCAACTGGTTGATGAATTTGCTTACTATATAAATTCAACATAACACACCAAGTTATGTTTGTCAAAGTAAACAAAAAGCATACGAGAGACAACCTTAACAGAGAAATAAAGACCATCACCACAACATATATTGTGCATTGAAGAGTGGCTTTAAGGTAATTATTGAATTGGACATGTAGGTTGGAACTTTGACATACCACCGACAGAGTTCCCTACGAGATGCAATGGTTCACCAACAACTTCAATTATAAAATCTCTGAGCAATTCAGCCCACATAAGTTCAGTGTATATAACATTTGGCTTTTCTGACTTGCCAAAACCCAAAATTGTGATTGCCCAAACACAGTTTCCACCCTCAGATACACCACATATGTTGTCACGGTAATGCTCCAAAAATGCACCAAAACCATGAACTAGGAGAATAGCTGGACCTTCATCACCAACAACTGTATACTGAAAAATGAACAATAATCAAAGAAATATTAGAGGAATGTATAATCTAGTTCCAGCTAAGTATTTCAACCAAATAAAATGCATAATTTGTTCAAGAAGTGAAATAAGTAGCAGAACACAGGAAAGATAAAGAAGAAATTGATACTGACAAATTTGATCGGTTTTCATCTACAAACCTGTATTAAATACCCATTCCATCGCCATATCCTTATAGAATATCTTCCTGCATCATTTATTTGACCTTTCAGAGCCATAAGCCAATACCACTGCCACAAAGTTCACAAGAATCCTTCAATAGGCTTTCAGAAAAGAGATAGGTTACGGACAGAAATAAAAGGAAAAAAATGATTTTGAATAATATATACTAGAAAGTAGGAAAGAGAGAAAAAGAGAGAGAGAGAGAGAGAGAGAGTAATATATACTTCACAACAACCAAACATCATAGATCTAAAGCAGCTAACAATAAACACAACAATAACCTCCATTGAGCACACGGCATCAGCTGCTGCAGCAACAGTTGTTGTTGAATATCCAAAGGGTGATAGAAAGCCAGCATTTCGTTCCTTCTCGTATTTGAGTGTTTCATAATACACTCTCCTTCTGGATATGACCCCAAGACAAAGGGCAGGACCAAAGAGTGTGAGAAATGAAGCCCCATCCCGTCTTTCAGCGTCACGTAACCTCTGATGTACCCTGCCATGAGATGAAGCCAGTAAGCAAATTATACTGTTAATGTTATCCACAAAAATGTCATTTTGCAAAATCACGATGCATAAAATACAAAACTATTTTATATAATTTCTAAAGACCTCTGCCAAGAATCCAACTGCATTTCTCTTATTTTCCAGCCACAAAATTACATAATTGAGAGAGAGATGTTGGATTGGCGATGTTATTTCTTAGGAAGTTTCATATCAGTAAAAACTGAAGGTAAAAATATATGACATGTAAACCAGGGAGAAGGTCATATGTATGTCAATTCAGTGTTTCTAGTTCTATGTTGTGCTGCATTTAATTCATTGGGATGATTGTGATCTTCTACAAGATAAGAAAAAGATTATTTTTGAGTAAACTAAGAACAGATTGATCGTGGTTCATGAAAGGTTACCATATAAAATCATAAAAAACAAATAAATAAATACTGGCAAGAAAGTATAATTTAAGTATAACCAAAAAAAATAATAATCACCACGTACTCTTGCCAGTCATCTCGAGCTGTTCCTTCCAAATATCTCAAGTATGCTGCCAATGCATTTAGTATGCTATTTGTCCCTCCTCCCACAACATTTTGGTTTTGTGTGACAAAAACAGATTGATCCACTCTCTTCCTCTGACTTTGCTGGAAATTCAAATTTGTTTCCTTCAACTTTGACAGCCTCTTCTGCAATAGAGTTTCAGTTGACATCTCCTTGATTAACGTCCAACTCTCTCTCAATTTATGTGGATTTTGATTCATAAATTTTTTCAACTCATCCAATGTTGGCAGAGAACCTGATCCATGGTTCAATCATCAATTCATCATTCTCCCCAATGTTCAAAATTGCAAATCAAAGGATGTTTTGAAAATAGAAACCTATTTCCATTATTTATTTAGTTAGTTAGTTATTTTTATTTTAAAATAAAGAGAAAAAAAAATCGATTGATAGAATTAGCATTAGGTTAAGTTTCAATAGATTGGAACATTACCCCAGTCCAAATCCATTGCTGCACCAGGTAAGTTGGGGGGCAAAAGAGGTGAAGTTGGCGCTAATTGAAGTTTCTTGAAGTCATCATGTGATGCAGGAAAGCTCTTTAGATTCTACATAACACGGATGCACAAATCATATATGTTTTTAACATATAAAGTCATATAAACAATGAAGAAATGAGGTAAAGATGGTACCTTAATATCATAAAATGGAGTCCGCCAAATTACTATCTTTGGATTTCCATCCGAAAAAGGCAATCTTACCAAGCTTTCTTCAACAATTCCTATTGTCATTTTTAGGTGGTACTCTACCTCCTCTTCGGCAAATACATTGGTAGCTTTCACCTGTGCCAACAATCCCAGGCAATAAACTTAGCATAATAAACTGAAGGTTCTTGAGGTTTCTCCTCATGCCTGGACTGTAAATATCATCAGAATAAGTGAGTGATAACCTCTTGTACAAGGTCACTTATGACATTCTCCGCACTTCCAAACCTGATCATTAAATTGGATCCCTGGTCCTGTAGAGACTTCCTCAAATCTTCCAGTGCAAAAAGAACAAGTTCTAGCACATCATCAGAATAACCTACAAAATGTCAATAGAATCACTATTACTCATTTCCAAAGGGAATATTAGGAATTAACAAAAGCCTATCATTTCCACACAATAGTATTGGCAAAATCAGCTCCGGTACAATCATGTGATTAAATTTAAATAGTACATTGCAATTAAGTGATAATTAAAAAAAATGAATTGCTTAAGTAGTGGTAGGACATGATAATCATGTAATTTTATAGTTTTTTGAAGAAAAACAAATTGAATTCCACAAGTCCATCCATCTTTGTTATGTTTGGAACCTAATAAGAAATTCATTTATAATTTCACATTTTTAATAACTAAATTAAGTTCACTATAATCCTCTTACTCTCTCTGTCTCAACTTCTTCTTACAGTTTCTCTCCAAAATCCAAATGCGGATCACTAAAATTTTAAGCCTTGGCGTACATCAAACATTGAACTTACTCACACTTGAAGTTCCAATAGAATAGAATTCATTTCGTACTTTTGTCAAATTCATCTATACAAGTGAAATTCATTAGTTTCCAAAAATGGCATTCATATTTCAAACTGTATAAATGTTTAAATCAAAATTAAAATAAATAAATAAATAAAAGAAAGCATAAATTGGAATACGAAGACTCACCAAAAAGAATCCGGTGATCGAAGACATAAAGAGGAACTAAGGAAGAAAACTTAGAAGCTTCAACAAGGCCGGGGTGATCATCGACACGAAGATCCTGCTTGAACCAGAGAATCGCCGAGCCACCACTGCGGCGTCCATTGCTTGTCACTGCTGGTGTTTGAGCGGAGAGAGAACAACTGCATCGATTCCTCCGAGGAACAGAGCCAAAACTGAACTTTGGCGCATATGCAACAGAAAGAAAGCCCGGGAAGAATAGGAGGGCCATGGAAGGTTAATTGTGAGTAGGGTATATAGTCCATGAAGCAGCAAAGAGAGAAAAGAGCGTGAGGTGGAGGGGACTTTTAGAGTTAAGAGGAGGTAGCGTTTGGCATGGTTCTGGAATTGTGGAGGAGAAAAATAGTGACGGAAATTTGTTGAGGAGAGTGGAGAGAAATGAACCACGACTTTCCTTTGCTTTCCTTTGTCTGTTTGTTCGTTTGTTTATTTCTCTCGCACATACAGGCAGCTATAGCGTTGCTGTGTTGGAACTTGGAGGTGGGAGAATCTCGGTGGGGACTACATTCTATTATCAATTAGTGCCACTGGCCTGTCCTGTCTCCACTTCCGGCCGGAATGCCAATGTAATGATTCCTACTATAAATTTTTATTTTCGAATAATTTCCGAAATTGAGAGTTTTTTTTTTTTTTTTTGAGAAGAGAGAATTATTAATTTTTACCTTATAACTTATTAGAAAAAATAAATTCGCGAAATAATTAACATTTTTATTAATTAAGATTGATTTACGTTTTGTGCAATAATAGATGTATAGATATTTATGTTCATATTTTGCAATGTGGTTGAAATTGAGTGTAATTGCAACAATATACTCCCTCCATCTCCAAAATTAAATTTTATGTTCTTTTATAATCTATTTCTCAATAATTTCAGCCATTATAACATAAGAAATTGTAAAAATAAGATATTGTTGTAACAAATTGCAAATTTTTGGATACTTATGCTTAATAATCTCTTTCTCAATAATTTCTCTGTGTCTTTTGATTCCGAAGGAATTAATTTTTTAATCTAACAGGAATGAGAAGGCACTCTCGATTGGTAGTTTAAAAAAAAAAAAAAAAAAAAAAAACATGTTGCACTATTGTAAGTAAGGGGCAATGGGACTCGAGAGGTACACTTCATTTGAACCTTGGGGTACATCGCTAAGCTGTGGGGGTAACTAGTTGGAGCAATAGAGCGCCACCCACAGGAGGCCGGTGGTCCTGTTTCCGAGTGACGACAGAGTTTCAGTGCGCCTGAACTGTTAGAGTGCCCAGAGATTCGGTTTTCTAGCAAGCAACGCCAGCGCCCTCTATCCTTTCCTTTTGGCTGTGTAATCACATGCAAGCATTCAGTCTCGACTGACCAAATTAAATCCCTTCTGAGGCAACTCTCCAGGTAACTCACATATGAGCGCATTTCAGTTGCCCGCCTATATAAGAACACTAATCCCCATTTTTGTGTTTTCCTCCTTTCTCCTCACTTTCTGCACTTAAGTCCAAAACCCAAACCACTTTTGGTATTTGTGCAAACAGCAAAATGACAATCAAATGTAATTCTTGCCATCACTATCATCATAAGAATTACATTTACCCAATTATGTTTGTCCACGGGAGATATTTATATTGCTTGTATAATTCCTCTAAAACAATTCCGTCTATTTCGGGCCTACACGCCCATGCAAACTAGGAAACCGAATTCATAAAGAGCTGGGCACCCCCTTAACCAATAAGTCTACCATTTACATCTATACTCCCGCTAAAGGCTAAAATATTACTGATCCAGAGAACATATGGTAAACACATGATACTAACTCATATATTGGAGTATAATTACCATTAGAAGGAATTTTGTATAAATGACGTACTCCTAGTTCCAGCTTAATGTCCTTTTTATCGGGTACTCGGGAATATATATACCCATTGCTTAGGTTGTTTTTATGGTTCATAGAATGCCAATGAAATCCGGGTAAGTAGCGGGACAGGGTAACATAGGAAAGTAACTAGTTAAGTTTTATTTAAATTAATTTTTGCATATACTTGGTTCTTCTTTTGTACTTAATATTTATTATTATTTATTTTGATTCACCGGATTTTTTTGTGGGCGCGCACTAGGTTGCATACAAAAGGCCGGTTACTCAGGTGTATTAAATAATTTATTCGCGTGAGACGCAGTCTATTAACACAATTAATTCAGACCATCCCCGGTTACGGGTTTATTTTTTAAATTTACCATTTAATTAAAGAAGAAATTTACTCTTGACCTTGTCTCTAATATCATAGATTTATTTTTAATGCACCCTTAAAATCAGCAGATTAGCCATGTACAGCCAAGGAACCGACTAATTTAGGAGCCACAAGAAGTTTTCCCGGCGCCAAAACATAAAGTCTTCCACCAGAAATATGCCCTTTTCAAAATATAGTGAACTTCTTTCGAGAAAAAGAGATAAGGTGTTAAACAAGGACAGAAATAATAAGGAACAAAATGATTTCTGCTATGCCTGGATTTTATTGATAGGCGATTATGAAAGTTGGAAAAGAGAAGACAAAAGAACGAAGAGAGAGAAGAGTAGAGAGGAGTACATAATAATACTATCCTCCACATATCAATCGCAAAACATCCAATATGAATCTACTATCCAGCCACATAGGTTGGTAAAACTGAAAATTCATATCACGGTCTACACTTACATTTGAACTACATCCAATTTTATCCCGGAGCATATACATTAACTGCCTAATTCAGCAATGGCTTTTTTTTGCACATTTTGCCATATACATCGCTCATTCGGGAGATTGATATGGGAGCGCAATAAGGGTAATGATTACGAGTCCCTCAGCAAATTTTTCGTTCTCATATCCTCGTATCTTAATTGATGAGGTGATTTCGGATTTGGCGGTAATATTGAAATATGAAGGATCCACTAAGTTCTTCTCGGGGGTCCCTTTCTGGATATGTATATTTATCACGCCGGACACGGTTTTTACTCGAGGAGACCAGATAGATGTGGGTAACTGAATAATTGGACCAAGAGGAGTGTTTGAGATAATGGCAAGCCACTCCCATAAAGAGCTCATTCTCTCCGTTCTCTTTTTCTTTATGTTTTCTGTTCACGTTCATATACCTTTTTTGATGTTTATCTTTTTGAAATCACGTTGGGGTTTCCTTGCAAGCTGAGATGAAGAATGAAGCCAAGTAAAGCCACAGTTATATTACAAACTGTATTAAATTAATTTTAAGGATTATTAATTGACCACATGTCAAATGATATTTATGCCAACAGAATAAAAAATCGCACAGATGCGGATAGCACACGATGACTAAAATAATACAAAAACATTATTTTCATTAATAGTAATTTTGGTTCTATTATATGTTATCTTCTTTCTGGTGCGCCCAAGATAAACATCTTCACAAAACGTCATGCATTCTTTTCGTCACTTTGAGTTATTATTTCGCTTTAGCGACCACAAAATCATTAATTTAAAGCATATATAGATTTTGACCATGAGATGAGGATATAGAAGTCGTGAGTAATTGAAGTAAAGTCGATTGAATTATATTGTAAATCTTAGGAGGGAGTTTCCAGGTGGTAGTCTAGTAACTGATTAAGGACCTTAATAAATTGAGGGATGAATCTCTATGTATTTACCACATTGCAGGGAGAAAGGTGCTATAGATAGGTTATGTCAGAATATACGACATGTCTGTCTTTCTAGGTTCTATGTGGTATGGTTGCTGATAGACTCTCGGCGGGCATTGTGTAATTAGTGGGATGATTGTGATCTTCTACAAGATAAGCAAATAAACTGATATTATTGTTTTTTCTTGAGTATAACTTAAGATAGCAGATAATTAGATCCCGTCATAGGATGGACATTTGATAGGTTTCATATGGTCTAATGATAAGAGTATTATGGCCCCATATACTGAAATTGTTCATAAAATACAACAAAATAAATAAAGTACGCTTGTGGTGTCAAAGAAAGTTATAATAGAGTATTTTAAGTTATTATCCTCTATATAATACATAGATAAAATCATTCTCCACAGTACATTACTTTGCTAGGTCCCATATCTTCTGAAGCTGCTCTATGTTGTTACTCTAACTTCGCTACCAATATTCATTTCAATAGTTTATTTGTTGTCCTTGTCCTAATTTTTTCTCTCGCATTTTTAGTTTATGGGCTACTCCTGCGTCCCTTCGCGGGTCCCACATTGGAGGGGGTTGGTTGTTTTCTTAATTGTGGTGACGGGAAAAAACAGATTGTATTTTCCACTTCTTCATAGTTTGCGCCTCCTGACTTTACCATGCCATGTTGTAAGGATGTACACCAAATTTGTTTCCTTCAAACTTTTGACAGCCTCTCCCTCGCAACCTAGAGTTTCAGTCTTGATTCATCATTCTGGCGGTTGCTATCCTATAACATCGTCTCAACTCTCTGGGCGCTAAAAATAATTTCTATTGATATGTTGGGGGATGATTATAGATTTAATTTTACCTTTATTTATGTTCTAACCTGATTATCTAAAAGGAATATAGATTAATCGGAGGAAATAAACGGTTAATGTATATTTTTTGGTTCTTAAATTTTTCTTAACATCAATACCAAATAGAAAATTTTTGGCTGGACAATAGGCAGGGGAACTAGAATATCTGACTCACCCCATCGGTTTTGCATATTCATTCAATTTCATCATTTTTCTTCATTAATTTTTTTAGCAAGATATCCCATTGTTCATTCATTATAAATTAATCCAATCAATCATAGAAGGTTTAATTGTCTTTTTCGTAATAGACACCTTTATTTCCAATATAATAATTCATTAATTTTTCAGCCCCTTAATTAAGATTTGGGGTATATAAGAAATTAAAGGTTAAAAGAAGATGTAAGTTAATTTTGTAATTTTTGTATAAATACCAATATATAGAGGAACGAGAGAATAAAGTGCGACTTCCGATAGAATAGATTGAGTGCAGATTACCTGGAGGTTAAGTTCAATAGATTGTATTTGGATACACTTTATCACCCGATATATGTGTGATGGAGCAGATGTGAAGAATCCGCCAGCCTACCAAAGTTCCAATTAAATATAGCCTGCACCAACCGGTAAAGGGTGCAGGGCGAGAGAGCACGGAGAAAAGAGGAGTGGACAGTTGTGCGTCCTCGACATTCCAACTACCTGTGCTGCAAGGTTTATCCTCCTTGAAGTCACGATGATGTGCCCAATGCAGGACTAGTTCCTCACCTTTAAGACCATATCTACTATTTAATCACCCCGGATGCGCATGAGGAGAGGTGGGCAGGATACACCATTATTTTTGTTTTATTTTCTATACACATATATGTCATATAACACACCTAGAGAAAGAAAAGTGAGGTCACCGACCTGGTATCCAGCTCCTTAAATGACCTCCTGCATAACCATGAGCATGTGACGTCATGACACTGTCATCCAATCTACTACTCAGGCATACAATTTGGTGTGGGGAATTATACAGCCCATCCGCGGGAAAAGGCAATCGTTACCCAGGAAGACTGTTACTTCAACTAAATATACCTTATTGAAACTTCATGATTTCGTCTGTTAGTGTGTGCCCGGGAACTTAATTTCCTACCCTTGATTATTCTCCTTTACTATGGACGGCGTATAAAAAAAATTTACATGTTAATAACTAAGGTTGAATAAGGGTATGCTATATACACAAACCTGTTGACCTTCTTCCATATTCAATACACCATTGGCTAAGAGAGAGTAGATAAAACTTAGTAAGACATGAATAATGACTACATCTGGAAGTAGGTATATATCATTAATGAGAGTATTGGTCTTCCTCTCATGCCTCTAATTTCTTGAGAACTTGTGGTATGGAGCATTTATTCTAGGTATATAAGAATTAGTAAGTGTGAAGTGATAGACTCTCTTAGAATACAAAGTTAAGTACACTTTAGGAGACAAGGGTTTCATCGGGCGCACGGATTTTCCAGAAAACCTGTATCATTCTCACAATTTTTTTCGGATCCCTGTCTTGTTAGTTCCTCTGGTACGATGACTTCCTCAAATCTTCACAGTCAGCAATGAATAAACCGCCAACAAAGATTGTTCGATTGGAGCACTAGTTCATTCAGCACAGTATAACTACGATAATGATACCGAAAAAGTCAATAGAATACACTTTTAATTTACATTTCCAATCAAATAATTCTCCAATAGTGGCACATAATCCATATTAAAAGGAATTTTAACATATAGGAGCTCCTATATCACGTGTATCCACACATAGTAATTGGGCTATATTAATCTATAGACTATCGACGGATCTAGCAATCAGTGTGATTAAAATATTTCGAATTGAAACTATGTATTGCATTGCAATTCAATGGGGTGATAATTATAATTAAAAAAAAATGAATTTGTGTCTTAATGTTATGAGTGTGGTAGGACATAGATTACTAATACTTATGTAATTTTGATGAGTTTAGTATTTTTTGAATAGAAATATCTAATATTTAGATATTCTACCAACATACGTAACACCCTACATACTACTTTGTTATCATTATTGGGCTTTTGGACCAGCCAAATAATCCGTACCAACGTACAATTTCATATTAATTTGAATTTGTTCTACAAGCCACACAATATTTTATTATAAACTAAATTTGTAATGGTTCACACTAATTATATACACATGGCTCTACTCTGCTTCCTACGTCACTCATACTTCTCAGACTATATGTTAAGCAGTTGGTGTATCTTTTACGTTCAAATTATACAAATCCAAAAATGGGACAGTGATTATCTAACTCACACTAATTCTAACCTTTTAATGCACTTTGTTGCGTACATGTCAAAACAAATTTGACAACTATAATTACTTTAATCACACTTGGACTTACGAAGTTCTCATATTTAAGAAGGACGTGATGTCATTTCAGTTACTTTTTATGGTTTTCAAGTTCCATTTCTTGGGATAACAATGTTGAATATTCACATTCCTAGATCTGTCACCCAAGAACAAGGCATCTCGGTGATTTTAACATACATAAGATTTCAAACTTGTTTATTATTAATATGTTTTTTATAATTACAGAATGTTATAACAATAATATTGATCCATAATAAAATATAGTACATAAAAGTTAAGCATAGAGTGGTTAAGAGGTAATTATACGAAGACATATCACTAATCGCATTAATATAGGAGGAATCCCGGTGGATCGCAAGACGATAACGATGAAGTGAATCATTTTAACCGTATGAAGGACCTAAACTTGAGAAGCTTTTCCAGACTCCATAGGCGTTCTGCCGGTTGTAATTTCTTATTCACTGACACCTGAGATCCTAGATATGTGAAACCAAGAGAGATCAGCAACAGGAGGCGCTATCTACATACTCCCTACTACTTCTTTGAAGGGTGCAGAAGCAGAAACATAAAGGTAATATTTTTGGTTGGGTTTGCGCGCCATAAAAGTTGCCAAAATTGAAATACGGGCTCGTTTTAAAAGCTGGAAAGGAAGAATGAACTAATTCCGAACGGTGGCGGGTCCCCAAAGAGGCAGGGAATCCACATACTTCTGTAGCCTGGGGACACAAGCGAATTTCCTTTGCGTGAAAAGAAGTAACAGAGCCAGAAAAAACTGAACGAACCCTCTCCTGACGCGCGCGCAAATTAAGTTTGTTCAGAGACAACCAGAAGGATGTAGCCCGGATTTGGAGTTATATGGGAGAGAATAGTGACGCCCGGGGTCCAAATTGGATTGGTTATATTTTTGGGAGAGAAAGTAAGGCGATCCGTATATACCGCCTCGCATAGAATGTCCCGCCAAAAAGGAGACCGAGAAGTGGATATCGGCGGTAGCGTGAGGTTGTGGAGGCTGCGCCGACTTTGTGTCGATTAGAGTATCAGATGAGGAGGTGTAGCATAGTTATATCATTGTCATGAGTTTTTTCTTGGACCTATTAGTTGTAAAGTGTTGTAGAGATATAAATATAGATGACTGTGAACAAAATATATTTTTGTTTGAGGAAGAGATGCCTGTAAAAGAAGAAATGATTACCTACTGTCATACTTTTCCCTCGAGTTGCTGCTTTCCTTTTATGTTGGGTCTGTTTTTTTTTTTGTTCTACGTTATTTTTTGTTAGTTTAGATCTCTTGGGTTAAAGGTTTCGGTATTCTTCTAATGTCACTATTTTACAGTGCACAGACTATAAGATTTAGGCACGGTTTTTGCTTAATTGTGATTAGGTAAACTTGAGTAAGTAGTGGGTAGAGATGACGCTACGAAGTAAGTGGGTATAACATCTAAAGCATTCTTATTTTTATTCAATATTTTTTTTAGAGTGAAGGCAACATGGGCCTTAGATCAGCACTGATATTTCTCTACTGGATCAGGCCGCCGAATAATAGAACTTCATGTAATCGGGCGGGACCTTCCGTTTATCTAATTATACATCAATTGAGTGGGTGGTGTCTCGTGATTTATCATAATGTATTCGCGATATTATTGTATTCACGATATAATTTTTGAAAGTATAGTTTTGGTTTTGGAAATATATCTTGGTGTAATTTTGCTTTTTTTGGGAGTACAGTTTAGGAGGGAATATAATATATCTGGATTCTTTATCCACTTCATAACATCTTCTCATTTAGAGATTGGATAAAGATCTGTTTATATCTGCGGGGTGGGATAAATATTAACACATATTATTATTAATTAGATTTCGATTTAACGATGCTAGTTATTGTGCAAATAATTAGAAGGGTGTAATAGGTATATATTTTTACTGCCTTTACATTTTCATTCTTTAGCAAAACTTTGCTCCGAGTTAACTTGAATATTGATTTATAGTCGTCATATTTTGCTAACAATTAGTTAATCCACTCCATTATTTATCTATTACCAATATAGTTATGGAGTAATGTATTAAATGTCATTACTTTTTTCATATCAGTACCTAATTTAGTTCTCAATTATTTTTTCTAGCCCGATTGATTTTTTTTACATTTTTATTACTATAAGTTATAAAATTGATTGTAATATATTAATGTATATTATGAATATTTGATATGTGATTTTATGTATTTAACTCAACAATTGTGATGTGGCTTAAATCATTGGGTGTATTTTATTGGTATTGTCTTATTGCTTATATATAGGTTCACTTTATCATCATTTATTTCATTTCTGATGGTCTTGGGATTGCTGAATTTCCGCGGGAAGGATTTTTATTTTTGTTTATTATTTTAATCATCAATCTTTTAGTGAAGGTGTAGTAAGGTATCAACTCCTCGATTGGTAGTTTATATTAAAATTAAGGAATGCAAAAAAAAAACACTTTATATACAATAAAAAACAAGTAAAAAAACAGTGAGATGTCGATCTGAAGGATTCCTAAAATGCTTAGTTCTCTACTATACACTTTATTGAGAGGGAAGTAGTTTGACTGAAATAAAACACAATAAAACGATCGATAATGTCAAGGTATTAGCGATTATTATGTTATAATATCCACACAAAAAAAAAAAAAAAAAAAAAAAAACACTTATACAAAAACAAAAAACGGGAGGCAGGCTTCTAATGCTATTCTAAAAATTTTTGGGGAGGTGACTGAAATAAACCAAAAAGCGAATGCGAAGCCAACTAAAACGGCAAATAACGGGCATTCGGTAACCGCGTAAACTCAAAATGGCGCTACAAATCTACTCTCCATCCTGTCTCACCAAAAAATCCTATCAGCATCTTCTCTACGCTCCTGTCCTCCTCTCCAAAACCAAACCCAAACTCAGAATTCAATCCCAAAATCCCACTACCGACACCGAAAACACCAAGGACTCAGCCACACTCAAGAAATCAACCGCGCGTGGGCTAGGGTTTGGGTCATCATCTCCTGCAGCTTCAACCAAAAACCCAAATAAGGCAAGTGCTAGTGATGTGACTAGTAAGAAGAAACAGAAGGGTAAAAGAGAAAGGGCATCGATAATTAGGCGGACACCGGTTGAGAAGCCATCATTTGTAAGCCAAGTGGATGAGACTAAAGCGAAGGAGCAGAGTAAGAATGAGAGTGCCTTTCTTCTTGCTTGGTTGGGGCTTGGTGGGATCATTCTTGTAGAGGGTATTGTGCTCGCTGCATCAGGTGAGTTTATTGGGTTCTATTAGAAATTATAAATTTGTTAAATCTATTGTTGAATGGATTCAATTCATCTGCGCCATCGGATAATTTAGTTAAATTGGCTAAAAACATAATTGACAAAGACGGTCAAATTGAACTGAATAATTTAGACAAGTCCAAACTAGTATTAACTTTGAGACAGCCATAATTTTGAGAGTTTAGAAACTTGATGAACGAAGTTTATCATCGTGTTGCATGACTTGGAAATTTCAGTGGTGGTTTAATTACATTATGATGAATGATATCCAAGTTCTTGTTAGACTTTTTAAAGTAATGTGGATGCCTCCTTGTTTGGGTCATCATTTGTCTAACCTTTCAGAAGTTTTTTTTGACTTGCAATTTTCTTTAAACGTTGATTATCTAATTTCCTTTTTAATTTTATGCGATGCATGTTTATCCATTACAAGGATAAAAGTCTCTCTCTCTCTCTTCCCTCCGTCCTCCCCTCTTTCTCTTTTCTTTAGTTTTTGATATATGTATTAACATGAATATTTTTTGTGCCCTTGAATAATATTTACTCTTACTTTTACTTTTTGTGCCCTGGATTTACATGTTTATCCACTCCTTTTCTGGTGAATTACTTCTTATTTTCCATATTAAACTTAACAAATTAATTTTTCTGTTGTTCTATTGGAGTTTAGTGTAATCCATTTTTTATCATCATATGAATTTTTTTTTTTCTTTTAAATGTATAGTTGTATGCTGTGTCCACTGGCAAACATGTGCACTCACACATATACACAAAAGTGCATCAGGACAGATTTGCATAATCTGTCTGTTTGCACTATAGGTAGGTCATGCCAGGCCTCATTATAGGTAGGTTTCGAATTATATTCAAGCTGAGTGCACATATTTTTGATAGTGGAGATAAGTAATGAATATTTGTGATAAAAGATGAAATTTTGGAGGCAAACAAGTTGCAGGATGTTTCTGGCACCAAACATTCAAATGTTTTGGAAGGCTTCTCTGGATGTGTTAACAATGCAAAGGCTAGGAAGATATTGTGTTTAAGAGTAATGGTACTACGGTAGAGTATAGGAATGATGCTTCAGGTTAAAAAAATAAGAAGAGCAGAGAAATTTAGAGGTGCTAGGTGCTATAAAGAGTTTGTGGGGCTCCCTCAATTTTTTTTTCCCTGATAATTCTGTGCATTATAAGATTCATAAATTCTCAAAGTGGTGAATTCTATCATTCCAATTTTAGGCACATGAACTTGGTACAGACATTCAAGATAATATTCTGTGTGCCTAATAAATTTGTTGATGAACAATGACTTTGGTCATATTTAATTCATAGCACAATGATTATGATGTCCTTGTTTAAGGAGACAGGTAGACTCTAATAGACGACAATTTTTGCACCATGGAGGTTGTTTCATTGGCTAGTTAATGAGTTTTCCTTAGTTTTTGTCTTCTTTTCCTCAGCACAAAAAAATATGCAGTCTTTCAGAGAGACATAATAAATGATCTATGGTGCTAAATTAAACTAAATTGGGATAGCCTTGAATTAAGAATACAGGAATGAGTAGGCTCTTTAACTGAACGTAGATAAATAGTCTTTTTTTCCCACTCTAATTAATTGAGGATTGAGATTTAGTGGAGCTAAGAATGCAAGAATTGCTAGGCTATTTAATAAGAGTGTGTTTAAATTCTTCACTTTTACATTTTTAGGCCAATAATTAATGATAAAAGGCTTATATCCAGCTTCAATTTACAGGTTGTTCAGCCCATAGAAAGTGGTCAATTGAGTGCTTATATTTTCCTTTTCCTTACAAATTTTGAGTAAGGCTTAATTTTTTTTTATTTTTTCATTACCTTAAGTAATAGCATGATTTGTAAAGGTAGTTTAGTGTCATAATGAAAATAACTAATTAGTTTCTCTTCAGATCTTTATGTTACAATATTGTTTCCAAATTTCAAGAATAACTTCTTAGCAATTTTTTTTTCCCCACAGGCTTCCTACCTGAAGAATGGGATAAATTTTTTGTGAAGTATTTGTATCCATCTTTCACCCCTACAGTCTTCTTGTTTGTTGCTGGGACTGTTGCATATGGGGTGTTGAAGTATCTGCAGAATGAGAAACTTAAAGACCAAAATTGATGGTTTGTAAATTTACTAATATTTCTGTTGTATGAGCAATTCTTTTATGTAGATTAGTTGTTGCTCAAAGTTGTTTCTTAGGCTTTATTTTGACATTATTGTTAACAAAGTTGTATCGTATGAGAAATTCTTAGTACTTTATTTCTTCAAAAGGAGCCATCTGCTGGTGATTTTTTCAATTTGCTGAAAATGTTCTAACTGCCTATTAGAGCAGGTGCATGATTTATCTTGTATATTTACCTGGCCATTTACATTATCCCTTATTTGTTCACATCTGTGGTAGAAACTGATATATCTGAAGTATTGACTAGTTTGCACACAAACAGTTCACAATTATTGACTAGTTTGCTCCCAAACAGTTTATACTTTTCGTTGTTCTTTTGAATGGCAGTACCTGAGCATTTGAAGTCCTGGATGTTAGTGCCATTGCAATTCACTTGTTTACAACTTTTTAAAAAGAATAAGGGGGTAAATTTGACAAGAATGTGTGCTTCTGACATAGGAGTCTCAGACTCTCAGCACCTAAATGTATCTGACCTGGTGACCAGAAAAGTAGAAAAAATTGGAACTCAATTTAACTTTTGAAGATATGCTTTAAATTACTGTGAGACAGAAGTGTTGGGAAAAAAATAAAAAAGAAAGAAAGATAGCACGAAAAGCACGAAAGCTTGTGTTTGAGCAATTGAAGATTTTTGTTTTTTTTTTTTGTCTAATTTCATTTTTCGCCAGAATTATTGTGCTGCTTTATTGTTGAGATGAAATTGATATGTTCTTTTCAACTTTTGGCAAAAATATGAAAGTAATCTTGACTTGCTGGAACTTCTCAAGTGATCTATTCGCATGCATATTATTTCTGTTTAACTGTTTGTTTCTATATTGGGCAAATTTAATGGTTAGGGTCCTTTTTCACATTATATGCATTGTTTTCTTACTTATTCTTCTTCTTCTTCTTATATTTTTATTTTTTGCCTATAGTGGCAACGCGTGGGCAGAGACAATTGTGGATTGGGTGGATATAGCAGTGTTGGCAGTTAACAAGTTTGCTATAGTTTCTGAACGCCATAATACTCTTGCTTTTATACCATTCATCTCCACAAGTACTTAAGTTCAGATTTAGTTAATTCCTTGGTTGAAGTTTTACCATTAATAACGAAAGGCTGATATGTTTTAAGTCCATCTTGCAATTAAAACATCATCTGTTTGCAGACTGAGAAGTTGTGAAAGGTTAATTTGATCCTCTACTGAAGCTGATCTCATGGAACCTTAATACTTTTGTGGCAGGTGTGGCCTTTTCCTTTCTAATATTTTGACAGTATCCAGGTATGAACTTCTGTCTCATAATAAGGTCATGTTGAATGCAGTGGTGCCGTACATTGAAACATTAAATGAAGCGGTTCATTCTTCTTCATATTGACTGCAAATTACTAGGGTCAGATTTCAAGAAAAGTAATCATTTAATAGATAATGTCTAGACGGTTGTTTAGTTATTGCTATTTCTCACTTCAGTATTAATGTATTATTTCTTGAAAACAATGGAGATGTCTTTCCATAAATGGTTATGTTGCAATACTAGCTATTGTAACAAATAATCTTGTCCTCAAGAATTCTAGGAACTTTTGGCGTCAATTTCCACATTAAATCAAACATTCATGAGTGCACATGCAAACAAAAAAAAAGTTGTAGTAAAAAAATTCACTTTACGAGTACACTTGAGGTATTTGCCATTGGGTGTCAACGTTGCGCTTCCCAATTTGTCCTACATGTATATCTCTTACCTTTTTGATGTTCATTATATTGAGTCAAGAGTCAATAACAGGTGAGAAGATAAATGAAGAAAGTGTGAAATGATAGCTTTGTTCATTAGCAATAATAACTGAGAGTATACCAGTTTGACAGAATCCAGGGAAGATAAAAGCGGAATTGTAGGCTCCAAAAGGGTGATGAGAGTTTATTCGGTTTGATTTTGCATATCTAACGTACCCTGCTAGGTAGTGTTAAGCATGAAGGCCTTCATTGATATGCACGATTGTAAGCATAGGCATTTGACATGTACCATGCATAGTCACCTCTAATATGACAGGATGAAACTGTTGTTTTCACATTCTAGTACTATATTATTGTACTGAGTTCAGTTTGTTACATTGTCTATCCTCAAAACTCTTATTATCGGTTTGGCCACTTTAACCTAAGGTTTTACTCTATTTTCGTTTTTTCTTCCTGTTGTATGTATCTGAAGTTCAAGTATCTGGCGTCACTCTAGGAGATACCAGGGATTGTTTTCATGGACCACCGAATCAGTTAGTTTTAACGCGTACGAACTGGTTTCAAATTTATCAATTGAATGCAAGCACTCTTTTGTGTCAATTCATCAAAGTTGTGTGAAAATTAGATGACACGAGCCATAGAAAAGGTCCCCTCTTCTAATTATTGCTTATCCTCCTTTATATATATATAATATATAATATATATATATATTATATCTTTTTTCCCCTTTTCTTTTCTCTCTTGGTGTTTATTGTTAATTTATTTCCTGTTGCTATTATATATATATCTTTTTCCCCTTTCTTTTTCTCTCTGGTGGTTTATTTTAATTTTATTCCGTTGCTATCAATTAGACAATTAGTTCCATGATGTGGGCAGGGCAGAGAATTCTCTACTTTTTTTGCTCTTTTTCTTTTCCTTTCTTGATCATCATTTATTTCTTTACCCTGCGTTTGATGATGACACCTTGTTCTTTTTCTAGTTAATTTGGTTGTCTACGGAGAAAGAAAGAGAGATAGAGTTAATAAGAAGTTGCAACTAGCTAGCTACAGCCTATAAACAGCTATTACTTCCGTCTTAAATTATGTTTGAAGCTTTTGTGTGGCAGACCTTATAAGGCCATACCGATAGCATAGCGCCAATGCGTGGATGCATCATATCTTAATCACCTGCAACCAGAAATATTACTTTATGCACTTCATGCCTGCAAATAGACTAATTAGTCCTTTTCTCCTTGTTATTTACTTATTTGAATAATAAGTTAAGTACAAGTGAGAAATTTTTAATGCATGATAAGGGGTTTCGGGTCAAAAAGATTGTTCAGGCGCCGCTACCACTTTTCCACCGTTTCTGAATTCCAATTGAGTGTTTCTATATTACTAGGTCTTTTAGAAATTGATATTATGGTTTTCTTTATTGGCTACTGCTTTAATATTTTATATTCCTTACCTACTCTATAGAAGAGAGTGGCTCCAAATTCGTACAGGAACAGGAGTCAAACCAAGGCATTTCGTGTTTGTCTAACTTCTTTTTTCTGTTACAAAAATATTGATGATGCCACTTGAAACTAGGGAGAGCCAGCCAGCCAGCTGGTTCCCAAATTTGCTTGCATTAATTTAGTATGTTTGAATTGGACAATGAAATGAGTGATTCCTTATGTTGTGTTATGATGACATTATGAGATTAAAATCTGAATAAAAAATGAAATTAGCAGTGTCACCATCTCCTAATGTACTAAATTGGGTGTCTTTATTTTTCAGGGCAGACTCTCCTCTCCTTAAATTAATATTGAAAAAGGAAGAAAGGTAGGGAAAAAAAAAAAAGGTTCTAGCGGCAGCTTATCTTCACATCTTGTGCTGTTATAAACATTATCTCGACATCTCCATTCTCTCTGCTCTGTTTTAGGACTTCAGGTTTCAATCCTGAAAAAGACTTAACCGTGTCCAAGTTGATTAAGTATTGAGCTTTACGCACTTGATGTTGGCGGTTTTCTCCATGTCTTGACATTTTCAATGCTTTCATATATTCTCCTCTAAAACAGTGTCTTACTGTCTTCCCTGGACACTGTGCGTCTTTTATCATATCGAGGGTCTTTCTTTGTTGTGCATTTTCACATTTTCATGTACATGTATAAACATAAGGACACTTTTTTTTTTAATATAATAAGTTGGTGCATGACTTTGTACGGTAGTATAGTATCAGACCATGTCTTTATTTAGCTATTTTCTCTCTTTTCATGAGATATCAGGATAGAAAAAGAAAATTATGGAGGATAGAAATTTACGAATTATATAGAAATGAGAAAAAGGGTTGAATCTGAAGTTTTAATACATTGGTCTTACATAAGTTTACCATTACTGTGTCCTTTTATTTTAACCCAAGGATGGTGAAGAAGTGATGGGGTCGTTCACTTATTCTGGGTTACGATAGATTCCTTTATTTTGGAGTACATGACAAAGTGTGCCGCTCTGAAGAAAAGAACACCGAAAAGCATACAAAAAATTGTTATTTCAAAGAAGAAAGAGGCTAAATCAAAGGCTCGTGGCTCAAATCCCAACAAAGTTAAATATTAAAAATTTGGGAAACAAAGTAAATGTGAATGGGTCCCTTAGATACAACTAAAACCCACAGCTCGTTTGAAAATGACTCCTATTCCTCTACACCATGCTTAGGATAGGAAGCTTGGCCTGGTAATATAATCATGGAAATCTTGAGATAAGCTCCAGTGTCAACATCAATTTTGCAAACCTCTTTGCAGCCCAATTAAAACTTTTGTCTCTTTATACTGTCATTGTACAATACAATCATTGAAGCAAAATTGCACCATTCAAATTTGTTGTACAGAATTCAACCCCCCCCAAAAAAAAAAATTTAAAATTCTTACTATATAATTAAATCCATTCTATAGTCTTAATCGGTACCTTTCCGAGAGAAAATTTTATGTAAGAATTATGAATTTCGAAATGTGATAAAAGGAAAGGAAAAGTGAATGCGTATAAATATATACTTTTGACCAATGGAGAAAAAGGGATTCATATCATATTTCATGCTCAGATTATACGGTCACAATTCATAAGTTTAATCTTCAATTTTGATTAATTTTTCTTTATGGTCTCTGAACTTTTGCTCCTGAGATGCTTCCGATTCAATAATTCTTGAAAATAGGATTGCTAAACTGCCAAACAAAATAGTCTTCGCAAATCAAAAGTGGGAGGAATCGAACCTGTCAAGATTGAATCATGATTTTTCACTTTAACATTTCAATAATAAATATGTTATTCGCTAAAATAATTGAATCAGTTATTTAATTTAATTAGAGACAGTTATTATTAAAATGTCAAAGTGTAAAATCACTCTTGAGCCCTATAAAATTTGCAGGCCACAAAGAGAATAGACTAAAATTCAGAATTAAATTTATATATTAGGCCAAATTTTTTATGCATTTACTAATAAATTATGTTAAACGAATGTGAAAAGTGTACGTATAAAAATATGAAGTTGCAAAAAATCTGCTGGTACAAGTTCTGGATCTTTGATGGTGGTTGAGGCAATAAATCTGTAGAAGCACTGTCCGGAGCCCCGTATCCAGTTGCACGTTTATAGAATCATTATTGCGTACCTACAAAATTGCCAAGCATTATTCAGTTTGATCCAAATTTTGACACCTCCCATTGATAAAGATGAGAGAGGAAAGTTATTGGACATCTAGAACTGTCTTCGCGCAGGACATAAAAGCCACAGTTAAGCAAGCACCTTCCTTTCCTGTGGTTAAACTGTTGGATGTACATTGTACTACCATCTCCAAACAGTTGAACAAGATATTTTCTGAAAATATCTTTACTGGCGTCATCTACTAATTTTTAAATAAGGCGGGAAAATAAAAATAAAAATAAATATATATTTTTGTATACAAAAACAGTATACGTAAAATATTATTACACATTTTTAACAACCTTAACTACCTTAAAGCCAAATAAGCAATATTTGACAAACCCCACAAAACCTACATTCTCAAAAAAACCCATCAAAAATACAACCCATGAACATATTATAAAACCCCCAGATAACAAAATACCAAAATTACATTTTACTGATCAAGTGCGTTAGGGCCAGTACAGTAACTGACCACATGATTCCACAACCACTGTACCAAGAACCTCCGTCTGATTCCATTCATATTATACGTGGCACCATCATGACCCTCCAATAACTGTCCTGTGTAGGACCCACCGCCCCCTGTTCCATATATACCCTCGCACAAATCTGCTATCTCCACCGGGGCAGTCGGGTCCCCACCGGCGTACCAGGCGTTCACAAGCGGATTCGATGCCAGCTCAGCCATCTCGTGACCGATTACACTTATCATTCCGTCTACTCCTACGTCGCCGTTCGGTGACTTTCTCGGCTTTAGTCCTGGCATATATTCCGGCACAGCGAATGGATAAGCACACACACCTGGACAGAACTTCGCACTATTACCCACCCAAGCGTACGGCAGCGTATAACCAACAATCGAAGGGAATGTGAAATAGTGGAACCCGCATACGTTCCCACAGAAATCCTGAACGTACACATCATCGGCCGTGAGCAGAAGATATAGCCCACTTTTTGGATTTATAGGTAACGGCTTTGATCTGGCTGTGACCGCACTTTTTATCACGGACTGTATCGATAACCTCGTGAGCGATTTCCCGTGGGAATAAAACCGGTCATTTTTCTCCTCTCCTAAAACAACCGTACGCGAGATGTTATGACCGGTTTGATCAGTGTAAAGTTGTACGGTCTTCCACCAACCGGCGACGGAGGGGTGGCTAGAACGTTCAGCTGAGATCGAATTAATGAACTCGCGAATGATCTTCTTTTGAGATTTCTCCCACCTGCCGTACCAGATTGTGTGTACGGTTATGTTAGCGGTGAGCACAGGACCCATATGGTAACGCAAGTGAACGAACTCTGATGAGCCCTCATATTTTTTGGAGCCATCGTAGAGAAGATCAGAGGAGTTTGGTTTAAGGTGGGGCCATGGACGCCACCCGAAAACGGATGGGACGGCGCAGAGCAGGGAAAATACGGTGAAGACGAGTAGCACCGGAATGTGAGGTGCTGGGTTCATGGTAGTGAAGCTGAAAGCAAATAAGGACCAAGTGTTGAGCTCTTCAAAAGAGCATTATTTATATATAGATAGAAAAAGAAATTGGTAGAAGAAGACAAGACTCTGAGGAAAACATAAAATTTTTTTTTAAAAAAAAAAAAAAAAAAAAAATCTGAGGAAAACATAAAATTTTTTTAAAAAAAAAAAAAAAAAAAAAAGAAAAGAGAAGAGGAAGGAAGAAAAAAAAAAAAAAAAAAAAAGAAAAGAGAGAGAGAGAGAGAGAGAAATTTGAAATTTTGAAAGGGGCATTGATTTGCGGGTAATGGAAGACAGGTAGATTTTATAAAAGTGAAGGGAGAGGCAGAGGAGAGGGATAAGGGAAAAGTGGGGCCTACAAGTCAGAGGGTAAAGGGCAGGGGCATCATAACCATCATGTTGCTGGTCCTCTTCAACTCATCTGACCCTCGCCTGATTTTAGCTTACACTTTCTGTTTCCAATTGCGCGGGAAAATGTTAAGCAGGGGCAATATGGGAATTACGTCGTTTTCTTCTTCCCTTATGTCTTTAAGAGGGACCACAAAACTAGAGGTTAATTTTAGAATTTTTACGGTGAAGATAAATAAGATGATTAAGGAAATATGGGAGTAATGAGTGGCAGTTGCTGGAGGTAATTTTGCAATGGGTTATTATGAATTTATTTTCTGACTTGTCAGTGAAATCAGAAAGCATACGAAATGGGCTACACATAATAATTTGGTTGTGCGTTTTTCACCCACTCGCATATATATTAGGTCAATTTTAAAACTTCGGATCCTTCTTTTTTTTTAATTGGGACATAAGTGTTGGACTGCCGGAATCGAATTAACTTTTGGTAAATAGTGATGGGATATGATTTAATATAAATTTTATATTAAAAATATCTTTAATTATATTATATAACATTTTATTACATTCTTGACTTCATATATTGTTAATATTCATTTTATTTTTGTTATCATTTTCATATTGACTATTACTTTATTGTTGCACCAATTTTTTAAATTGATTAATAGCAAAATGCATAATTTTACTTTATATAAAAATTTCCGTGGCATCTTTAATTTTTAATTTAATTCATTAAATAATTCAATTTATAAAATCTCACCTGTTAACATTCAATTTGTAAAATGTAATCACATATCAAAATATCAAATCAATATTTTAAATTTAAAAATAAAAATTACACGTAAATAATTATCACTAGTGCGAAGAAATATGTTCATATACTTTTGTTTGTAATTAATATTTGTACCAAAATGTGGATTGAGTTATATGAAGTTAGGTTGAAAAGGAATAACTCAAATATCTGCTTTATTGATTTATTTTGTTTATTAACGACCCATAACATGACACCAACTCTAGGGATGGGTAAAGTCGAATTTTTCAAAACCTGCATTCGATTTTTTTCCAACCAAAAATATTCATTTCTGATCTGTTATCCGACCCACCTCAAGTTAATAACGCGCTGGAATTTTGTTGGTTCAGAATTTTTCTTACTTTTTCTTTAAAAAAAATAAATTATTTATACCATTTCTCTTCATATATATATAAATTGAATAAATCTTTTTTTGATGAAAAATTAAAATACAACCTTCAATATTAATAACAAAAATATAAAATAACATATAACCGGATGAAATTTTTAGTTGAAATAATGTTTAATTTAAAAAATAATAGAAAATTTAAATTTTTACCGTAATCGCAAGGGCAAAACGCGACCAATCGCTTGGGAATTGGGATCGCTTCTTCAAAAAAAGATTGACGAGACCTCTCAAATCAAATCTTAATCGGTCCAAACTATTCCGGCTGGCTTTCTTCATTTACCAAAATAGCCTTTGTACAGCACAGATAGTGACCGCATTGGGACCCACGTGTTGTTTTCTATTTCCCTTAAAACGAGGGCATTTTTGTACTTTTCACAATCCAAAATTATTTTTACCTTTTCTTATGTTTTATTCTACTCAAAAAGTAGGAAGTAGGAACCTCCTTTTCTTTTTTTTTTTTTTTTTTTAGGAAGTAGGAAACCTCCTTTTACTTTTTTTTTTTTTTTCCTTTTCTTTTTTTTTTTTTTTTTTAGATGAAAGAAAAGAAATGAGCTTAAAGCATTAGGAAATAAACTGCCTTAAAACATTATATTGTAAACTTACCTTAATTTGTTATAAACATAATGATCCTCTAAATATTTTAAATCATCTATTTGTTTAAATCACGTGTCGCGATAGATTATAATCCAAAAGCTAACTAATACCTACCTAAAAAGTCAATGCCATGTTTAAATAATAATTTGGAAAATCTAAGTTTGATAGTTGGTAAATATTCCTTTATACTCAAATCCAACTTTAATGTGGCATTTTTTATATTCACATTAGTTTAAAAATTTGGCTTACACATTGATTGAGTTGCGTGGAGCAATGATAAGTTTTGGTATTTAGATAAAATATAATATCTACTCAAGTGGTAATTAGGCCACTTAATAAGCATATAACAGTTCAATATAGGTCTATTCGAATACGATTCATATAAAAAATTTTTTCACGTAGATTCATAAATTATTGATTGAAATTGATTGAATTTGATTAATTTGTTTCTATCATCTAGATTCTTTTAACATCCAATCCATTGGATTGCTGGAGAAATAAAGGAAAAGGGAATTCAATCACCGTTGTGCCCTCCAATGAATTTAAATCCACTACATTATAACAAAAGCCAACACTTAAAGAAATAAGAGGATTCCTATTTTTACAACTAGAGCATCTTTATCACTCTCCTAATCTAAATGAAAGTACTTTTTTACCCTTCAACTTTTTAACATTTAATTTTTAACTTCTTAAAAATAACAAGGTGAATATCCGAAACAGCCATAGTAATTTTATTGCTGCCGCTTGTTTTCCAATTGCTGGCGGGACAGTTTATGATGCAGAACTTGAGGCTTTGATTTGGGGGCTTTCTTGGAGTATTGATAAAAGTTGTTATCCCCTCCAGGTGGAAATAGATTGTATGGAACTAGTTGCTCATGTTAATCGGGCACAGTGGATTAGAGCAGGTCCTTCGGTTTTGCTGCGTGTTACTGACTTGTTGCATCTTCACTCTTCTTCCATTCATCACATATATCGTGAAGGAAATCAAGTCGCACATCTTTTGGCCACTCATCATAGATTTCATCATACTTCTCTTTCTTTTACCTTTTTTAATTTTTTACCCCATTTGATTAAGGGAATTGTATTATTGGAGGTTAGAAGGATTAAATATTTGAGATAATAAAATAAAAATATCTTTTGCTAAAAAAATAATAAAAAAATAACAAGGTGAATATTTCTTTATCCGCATTCAAAATTTTTTTTTTTTTTAAATTGACAAATCATTACGTTATTTCCTCGTCTTTTCATTATAAAGTAGACTAAAATAATTGGGTTATTAATCTAATATATCAATATATGAATTTCAATGGAAGTTGAGACAAAAAGGTGGGTGACCAATGTTGGAGGCACTATAAGAAAAATCAATAGCAACACCTTTTAGCCCAAAGGGTCAAAAAAAAAAAAAAAAAAAAAAAAAAAAAAAAATCTGAAGTATACACTAGAGTTAAATTGCAATATGTGAAATTCAAAATAGATGAAACTATTTTTAATACACACCTTTGTTTAAAACAGGGCAATTATAACATATTAATAATTTGTCATCCTATTGATTTATCAAATTAGTGAAAACAATTATGGTCCAGCGGATTCAAACTCGAGATCTTCACTCTTTACATAAATGAAAAGACCAAGTAAACCACCGCCTGTCATATAATTTATTATCTTCTAAGTAACTATTTTGAATAATATTGCAAGCAATATCTAGTCAAGATGACTAAGTTGATGCCCTAAAAAAACAATCTTGAATTTTTAGCATCTTCACCTTTTACCTTGTAATTTCTGGTATTAATCTTTTAAAAAATATTGTAAATAGGGTATTTTCCATAAGAACCCAACGTTTGATTCAAAAAAAAAAAAAAAAAAAAAAAAAAAAAATCTATTGATGGCACAAGCAATATCATTAAAACATTGGTTCCATAAAACCGTGTCCGCTAAAAAAAGCCAGACTAGCCTCTTGCAATACCCCACAAATCTATTAGAGTTTTTTGGATGAATTCAATTCGATGAAAGAAAATGAAAAAGTTAAAAAGTATATCTTGTTACAAAAGGCGTTTATAATCATTTCAGTTGGAGATTTGCAGATATGTATTTCATCATTTTGTAAAATCCCAAAACGCAAGGGATTTCATTCAATCATTACATTGGAAACAAAAAAAAAAAAAAAAAAAAAAAAAAAAGAAACTCTATGATGGCACAAGCAATATCATTAAACATTGGTTCCATAAAACCGTGTCCGGCTAAAAAAAGCCAGACTAGCTCTTCAATACCCATCAATCTATTAGAGTTTTTTGGATGATATTCAATTCGATGAAAGAAAATGAAAAAGTAAAAATATATCTTGTTTACAAAAGGGCCGTTATAATCATTTCAGTTGGAGATTGCAGATATGTATTTCATCATTGTTGTAAAATCCCAAAACGCAAGGGATTTCATTCAATCATTACATTGGAACTATTGCGATCAGTCTTAAATCCCATAATTGGTTGTTAATCCATATAAATCAGAATGCTATTATTAATTTAAAAATATTAAACCGTACGGGTTATAATTTTATTAGAACGTCTTACAATAAATTATCTAAACGCTATCACATCCAAATTATAATAATATATTTAAAAAAAAAAAGAACAAATGAAAATAAAATAAAAATTGTATTACTCACGATTGAACTAAACAACAAATGAAAACATACTTAAAATTGAAGATACTTGGTACCAATTTAAGATTGATGCGTACATTGTCGATATTAGCTGGAAATGAAAACTTGTGGGCATTGAATGTTGAGAACGAAAGGAATTGGAAGAATATACAAATAAATTCCGGTAGAATTATTAATTATACAAGTATATCATACTCTCACAAGACAAGTGGATGGATGGAGGAAAAAAGGAGGTGTTCTATGGCAAATGGCAATCACGGAGTAATTTGCGCGGCTCGCAATGATACACAGCCAAAGAAAGATAGAG